GGCGCGGTGTGCAGTCCCAGCGCCGCCCAGCGCGGCGGCAGGCCGATGACTCCGAGGAGTCATCGCGTCGCTCTGTCCCCCTCGCACCCCTACGGAACGCCGCCGAAGTGCGAGAGAGACAGAGCGACGCTGCGGAGGCAGCCCGCCGGGCGGCGCGGCGGCGGCGGGGCTTTAGATCGACATTTTAACGAGGCGATCCAGGTTGCCCAGGTTCAATTTGGATTATCCTCGAGGCGTACGTTTGGGCCGAGCCATTCCGATCCATTCCGCGTCGTCATCCACCATTATTGCGACCCGCCGGAGTGTTTGGGCAAGTTTAGCGTCCCGTTCCAATCCGGTGGGGCCGGGGCGCGCAGGCAGTACAGTGTGGGCACGCCACCAATCACGCCCAACAGATTTGGCCGGCCGTTCGGATCGCGCGGGAACGCAGTGACGAGCAGCAGGGTCTTTTTTCCACTGGACCGCCGAGCGATGCCGAAGCGCAGAGCTTCGGACTGTTCTTCTAGCTGCACGGAAAGTCGATAGCGCGGCGACTCAGAACGGCTAGCTTCGCGCAGGCAGTGCTCGCTTTTGTCTCTCTCGCGCCCATGCGCGTTGGGGGCGGCCCGCGGCGGTGCGAGCGAGACGGCTGGCCGCAGTGCCGTACTTCCTTATTGAGCAGCGCTTTATCGACACCTCAGCGCCACTCAGTGTTTCTCATCCTCGAAGAAGGCAACTTGCATTAGGGCGCTGTGCAGCGCCGCGCCGCACGGCCTGCTCTGTCTCTCTCGCACTCGCAGGGCGCGCCGCGGGGCCGCGGGGGTGCGAGAGGACGGAACGTGGCCGGCCTGTGAACACAGACGTGATTCAGATAAACCAGAAAGAAAGCGCCGCGCGATGAAGGCGGTTGTGCGGCGCTGTGCGGCGCTGTGCGGGGCTGTGTGGTGTGGGGTGATTCCGCCCGTGCGGTTCGGCCGTCGGAGTCTCCTCTCTCTCGCACCTGCACGGGACGCCCCATGAGTGTGACAGAGAGGGGCAGAGAGGGAGGGCAGCCGTCGCGAAACGCACACGTCGGGGAGAGCTGAAATGCGCACGCGCTGATATGGCTGGGAAATGGTTCTGGCGGCGAAGCGCGGCAAATTCGAAAACGCAATGTGGAACCACTTCCCAGTGGAGTTCCCGAGTTCACCTTCCTCTCAGAGGCGGCGGTGGGACTTCCCTCCACCGCACCCTTTCCCCCTCCAATCAATGATGAAAAACTCCAGCCGGACCCCGCCACTTCATTAACGGTATGAGTCATTAATCGGCCGTAAACGTCGAGAAAACTAGGGGAAATTAATTTAAAATTCGACTTGTTGACTCCGTCTATAGAGGCTCAGCTTCGACACAAATCGTTTATGTTTAGATAAAGTTGACATGATTGCGACTGCTTTCTGTCCCTGGGTAGGCCGCGGACTAGGACCCAGCAGACTGAGCCCGAGAGTCGTTTCCGCCGCTCTGTCTCTCTCGCGCCTAGACGGGCCACCCCATGGGTGCGACAGAGACAGGCGACGGAACGGGCTCTCGGTGTGCAGAGTAACCTCGCCGACACCCCGACGGGCCGGACGGGCGGCCGGCCGGGCCCGCCGCATCATTTTAAAGCAGCATCAAGCTTAATTGTGAGGTTACAAATCTTGATTGGTAGGTGTTTATGCGGTGAAAGGAATTGTGTAGTATGAGGTGAGAGGGGGTGGGGGAGGGTGATCATCTCGATAGGATCTCGGGCACGCGGCTCAGGCGGCGGGGAAGGTGTGAGTCCGTACGGTCCGGCACCGCCGGTGCGCAATGCCCTGCTGCCTCCACGCCGCGCTCCACGCCCAGCCAGGCCCAGCCAGACAGGGCCCCACACTGCAAGCCGCGTCCAGGACTCCAGACTCCAGCAAAGCCCGCCTTGCCAGCCCTGGGCTGATCCGCGCACTCTCACGGAATGTTTTCTGTTTTTCTTTTTCTTCAAGATTTTCTTCGGTGCTTGTTTCCATTCGTCATTTTCATGGACGTGGTTTTCCCCCCGTTGCACATTTTTAATTTTCTATAGTGTTTCTATAGTGCTTTGGATTTCGATCGACTGCGGGTGACTGCCAGGTGAGCGGGCCGCCGCCCGAAATGAAGCAATGATAACAAAAGACGAAAAGGACGAAGGGGGCCCGGCCCAGCCGGGCCAGCAGACGGCAGTGGACAGGACAGCAACGGCTCTGTCCGCGAAAGCGATATAATAACGAATGGCCCCACGGCTCCCCTCTCCGTCCCTCTCTCTCCCCGTATTCTTATATTCACTTTGTCCTTGTCTGACGCCGATCGCAAAGTGATTGCCGTATTCGCCATATTCTATTTCATCCGAGCATAACTTCTTCGCGATAATGCGTCTACACCCCCCCCCCCCTCCTCCTCTCCAGTTCCTCCACATCCACAGCCACATAAACACAAGTTATTTTGCAGATATGCCTGGTTTCCCAGACAGAATCCCACGCGTTTGACTTTTTTGATACCGATCTGATTTTTTTTTGGTTTGCTCGTCGTTGAAGATAAAGGAAGAGGGGGTACTGCCGCTGCTGCCGCTGCATTCCAATATAATGTATCAGGAACAATAGACGAAAGGATTACGTAAATTATGCAAATGCGAGTGCGGCTGAGCTCGTGTGCGCGGCAGCGGCGGCGGCAGCGCGGCCAGTCTGTTGTTGTTTGTGTCCGTTGTCGTTCAGGAGTCACACAACAAGATCCACCGATCCGCGGCAACGCCAGGCAAGGCAACGCTGGGAAGCGCCGCGGCCGCGCGACCGGCCGGATGCAGAGCAGCGCGAAGCAACGCGGAGACACTTTCCGAGTGCGTCGGATCGACATAGAATCGAGTCACTGTCACGGGGGAAGTGCCAAGTAGTGCATGCGCTGCAGCTAGCTGCGCTACGGCCCGCGAAAAACACACACTCCCAGAGTGAACACGCACACACACAACCGCGCCGCCTGCCCGTGGCAAGGCAAGCAGAGGCAGGCCTCCGCGTCGGCAAGCCGACAAAAAGACCACCCAGCAAAAACGAGCCAAGCGCTTGGAGCGGTGAGCGGTTCGACCGGGATGGCGACGGCGCGACGGCGGCGGGACACACCCGGGGCCCGGATCGACCCGGATCGGCCCGGATCGGCAGTGGCCGCGCGACGCAAGCGACACAAGCGCGTACCTCGGCCGCGGCGGGCGGCGGCGGCCGGGCAAGCCGGCAGTTGCGCCGCGTGGAGGCGGTTACGCCGTTAAGCCGCGCCGGCCGTCCAGGCTGGTCCCGGCCGAGAGCGACAGAGAGACAGAGACGCGACTCGCGCCGACTCGATACCTCGATACGTGCCTCGATGGATCGATCTATATACATCGTTTAAGGTATCGGTGCTAACGGCTCGGCCGCACGACTCCGCGCGCTCGTCACCACCGTGCTTCGGCTGCCTTCGAGTTCGCTGTCTTCGAGCTCTCGATCGTGGGGTCGATGGCGGGCCGACCGCGTCCCGGTGTCCCCATGGTGCCCCCTGGAGTCCCCATGTAGTCCCCATGGAGTCCCAATGGAGTCCCCATGGATTCCCCATGGTGTCGCCATGGAGTCCCCATGGAGTCCCGGCCACCGGCAGGCGCGGGCAGGCGGCATCCGCAGGGCGTCCCTTATGGGTGCGAGAGAGACGCGCGATGAAAACGACTTTCGGAATCAGTCCGCCGGTCCCCCCGGGCACCGCGGACTGTTTGCAAATGGCAGTGGCGTGGCGTCTAGACTCCATCAAGCTGGGCGCGACGCGGCGACGCGGGGACCGGCGGGGTCCTTTAGCTTGACAGGGGCCTCGCCGCGGCAGCCATCCGATTCCGGAGGATCCTTAGCGCTGTCTCTGTCGCACTCATGGGGCGCCCCGTGGGGGAGCGAGAGAGAGAGATCACGCCAATCACATTCCAGGAATAGCGCGTTTGTCTTTCCAATAGGGTGTCCTTCGTTCATGCCTCCGCCCGATGGCTGCTCTGGCGCATTGACATTTCGCCGCGCGGAGGTGGTGGTGGTGGGGGGTACCCATCGGGCTTGACATTACCGCCAGCATGACCCCCGTGGCCACCAGTGTGCCGGACGTTAGCGCTACTTACGCGTCTTCTTCCGCCACATGCAGGGCGGCTACTGAAATTGAAATGGTGCAAGAGAGGAAGAGGGACGGAAAAGCGTCTCTGGCCGCGGTTGGGGGCTGAACGCTAGCTGGAACTGACCCATACAGTGTGCCACGAGAACGCGAAAACGGCGACGACTTGTTTTTGTTTCGGTCGTCCGGCCCGGCGTCGCCTCGCTGTAGCTGCTGCAGTGCTGTGGTAGCTGTGCCGCCTTTCTGCCACTTTCTGCCCCCGCGCCGCCCGCCGCCCGCCGCCCGCCGCCGCCCTCGACGTCTATATTCTGAGAAGCCTCCGACCGCGACGCGAACGCCGGGCATATGCGCCGCTCCGAGGTCCGGCATGCAAATAGCCTCGCAACAGGTACACTGGTACATACTGGTACACTGGTACTCCGGTACAGGGTGATCCCGTTCACTCGACGCATCGGTCGGTGGTCGAACTTCACTCAGGTTTAGCGGTTTACCTGTTGCCTGGCTTGAACCGCCTCAGCGCCTGCGAGGTAGGCCACCAGCCCGTCCCGCAACACACCGGTGTGCAGATGATGGCCTACCTTGCCCCTGGGAAGACAGGCGCAAGGTAGGCCACCGTCTCCACACTGATGTGTTGCGGGACGGACCTCTGGCCTACCTCGCAGGCGCTGAGGCGCGCTGAGGTCACCAGCAAGCGTTGCGCGCGGGCCGGGGGACATAAAGGACATGAGAGCAGCTACCAAACCCTGCCAAACCCACACGACGAAACTGGGCTTGTGAGGCCTCATCGTTGCGGCCACCAACAGCGACTGAAAAGACAGACGTCTTCTAAATGCTTTGGACGCGCTGTTTGTCATACTCTGGGAGCAACCAACCAATCAGAGCGCAAGAAGAACGTAGTGGGGGCACGCCCTCGCCTCGCCGTCGTCACAAATACAGAACGTTTCTCTAGGTTTGGTTCACGACAAGTGCAGAAGATTAATTTTGTTTATTGACATAAAAATGTCCTCATGATTTGGACACGATTCGCTGATACAGTGTGAATCCAAGACATTTTCGAAATGGCGTTCTCCTCTCATCGTTATTATATTATCTGAACTAACTTTGTTTATCACAGGTTAGGATGTTTTTAATTTTTATTCGAATTCCTTTGGTCCTACTATCGTTTACTTTGTGTAGAGAATAGCCTCCTTGTTTTTGGCGTTTTAATTCTATGTAAAAATACACTTGGGTTCTTCATGTTCCAGGACGTTCAAAAATTAGTGCTTGGATCGACATATCATGGTAAACCATGATTCTCTATTTTACCTTTGTTATCCTCCAAGTGATACTACTTCGCCCCCATGTGACTACGTCTGAACTATCAGCTTTTCAATGCGGCCCGTCCTTCAGAGGCCGGTGTCTTTGTGGCAGTACAGCCAAGGAGGCGTTCCTGGTCAACTGTACAAACACTGGTTTCACTAATACAAGTATGCTTCAGAACTTGCCACTAGAAACAGAGGTACCTCATGCTAGTACTACATCTCAATTTATAGTGGAGGATGACGAAACTCTGATTTTAATCTTATTTTCACTTTTGCAGTCTCTTATATTCACTGGCAATAATATTCCTATTTTGCCATGGAATGTCTTTGGAGATCAAGACCAAACTCCTCATTTAAAAGAGGTGGATATGTCCAACAATGCAATAAAAGAAATTAGAGGCAAAGCATACCACCATGTGGCCAGTGTGGAACTTCTCATTCTTGACCACAACGAGCTATCGTTATCTTCACTGAAAACAGGGGAAGAAGTTCACCGCCACTCTCGGATGTTCTCTAATTTCCTTAATCTAAGGGCATTACATTTAACAAATGCTTTTAAAGATAACTCGCCCGCCAATCTTGCCAATGATCTTCATGACATTTTTATAAACAGGTGTGCTAACATTTTTTAGTTATTTACCATTGTTCCAATAGAAGCACTGTGCACTGATACATAAAATTTTCTTTCAGCAATTTATCAGTTTTGATAAAGCTGCACCTTGAGCAAAATGAACTGACGGGTTTTGCAGATCCTATGGTGTTCTGTGACTTGCCAGCCTTAATGGACCTTCATCTAGGTGATAATCTTCTTCGGAATCTTCATTTTAATATTACTTGTTTGCACCACTTGAGGTTTCTTGATCTTCGTAAAAACCGTATCACACGGTTAAGTAAGTCTGATCTTGGTACTCTTGATGAGTTCCCCGCTAGAGGGCAGCCCCTCACTATTGATTTGGGAGGCAACCCCTTATGTGATTGCTCGGTAAGTGACAATCTATCTATATTCTAATCTTATTGGTATACCTTTTGATCATGTCTCCATTTATTTTTGTCTCATATTTCTACAGGATTTGCTGCAATGGCTGAACACCACTAAAGTAATTGTTCGTAATAAAGATTCTTTGGTTTGCAATCCTTCATCTGCAGTGAGTGGCAACACCCAGGAGGACGCTTTTCAACATGTCTCATGTACAACATTGCACAAAACTGCTACTGCTAATGTTGCCAAAAGTACTCCTCAGGGTATGGGCAGGGGAGCCGCCTTATCAGTGGTTCTTCTGGCTTTGGCCGGTGTTGCGTTAGTCATTGGTTTGATTTACCTTAGACGTATTCAATTCAAAGCGCATCGTGGTTTACTAGATACTGTCTCAAGAAAAGTTCAGTATACAACTATTGGACATCATGAAGAGGAAGTGGATGTATAAATCACAAAGATGTTGGCACCTCAAAAATCCTGTCTCTCATATTTGTTACCAACTACTTTACAAATATTCTTTGCAATGGCATCTAAAACATTAAGAACCTGGGAAAGTTGAGAAAAATGCCAACAGGAAAATCTCAAAAGCAGGAAATAGGAATCATCAGAGAGTACCTATCCATTCAGCTAGTAAAAGGACTGTCTTTGCAGGGTTTGACTCATTATTTTCCTTACTTGGTGTCAACTTCTTAAACTTTGAACTTATTCTAAAATTTCAGTATTTAACATAAATATTTTGTGAAGTAAAATCATGAGAGGAAGTGACTTGTTATTATTTGAACGGGCTATTAGAAGTCAGCAATTGGTTAGAAGTGCCCTATTGCGACTTAAATTATCAGTATTAAGAGGGGTGTGAAACAAACTGTCCATTTGATATCAATGTCTCAATGAATTTGGCCACTAAAACAGATTTATTTCATGTTGTTTGTGGTTATGGTATTGCATTGCAAGTATGACCATAAAACACTATGCATAAAGGTCATGTAAAAAAAAATTTGACTGGTTTTTGTGGTACTTATTGCATTGCCTTTTTTTCTACTTTAAAAAAAAAACTGTATTTATGACTGAGTGCACAACCCACATTTCTAGACTGACCGCAGTAGCAGTTCATCCTTGTTGTAATTTTTGTATCTGAAGCTTTAAGTTTCTCCTCAAACTCTCAGCAGTGAATAATGTCAATCACTAATTCTAAAACACAGGCTAATTTTTTTCGCAGTTCAAGTGGTTACATCAGGATGATATTAAATATTAAGCTCAATTCAAATGAGGAGGGATAATTTGTGTTCTGCTAATCTTAGTAATATGACCACCTTAGTTAGGCTTTTGTTAAATGACTGCTGGACTTGTACTGTCCTTTTAATGGATCTGTGATTCAGTTTTGTTTTCTCTTAACCAATGTATCAAACTTAATGTTAAGGGACCACTAGTATGTTTGTGCCATTTTGTACTTAATTTCATTTTATTTGTGCGGTAAATTAATAGGTTTTTCTTTTACATTTTAGTCTTAGTAAAGCTAAGACAGATGGCAGCTGTATCCTAATATTACTGTATTGTTGCACTGTATTCTTGTTCTATTTTCTAAACGTTTTGAATGTTTTCAGATCTTACTGTGTGCTTGGTTTTGTATGTACATTTGGGTTAATATATATATTTTATATAATGTTATGAAGTGAGTTTAATTTACTACACGAAAGGTATAGAGTTATTGGCCCATAAATGAAACTAGACATTCACTTAAAATTTTTAATAAGAAGGGTTATTCCCTTGTTCCATAAAAAGTAGTTAAAACAGAAATTTGTGTAAAAAATATAAAATGTACAGGAACACTCAATAATACAGTCGGGTACAATATTAATGCACTATCACAGGATGTCTTAGATTTTACGATTTCGCAACGACCTGACAAAACCTTCTGGTGTGGTCCCACGCATACCATCCACCTACAAAACAGGAAAAAGAAAGTCAGTTTCTAGAGATTCACGCAAAAACTGCACACACACAGCCATTGACATTACCTCTAGAGCCTCAATTTCATCACAGTCAGTGTTTGAATACTGGGACTGAGTCCTTGAGAAGAGGCGCCTTGTTTTCCTTTTAGGTTTAACTTCAACTGAATAACAAAAAGACAAAATAAATATCCCTAAATACAGTTAGAATGTTTGTGATTCATTTTACTTACTTTCAGGTTCTGCTGGGGCCTCTTCAGCAAGTTTCCTAAAAAAAAAAAAAAAAAAAAAAAACATTTTTTAATGTTTGTTGCCCTTATGTTAGAATGTCACTCACAGTAATAGTTAGCAATATTTTGTTATCAGAGTACTCACATTTTACTGTTGGAGCTTGTATCATGTTCACACTCAACAGCCGCTGTTTTTTTAGACTTTGAAGCCGCCACAGGAACTGAAAATGTGTCTCCACTGTTTTCCTGGTGGGCAAAGTCAAATGTGATTTGCATCCCACATCAACACTAACATTGAAACGTCACACAAGTAACTGACAAATTTTAGTTTTCATTATAAAACGTACCTTAAGACTTTCATTGCTAGATATGGATTCCTGTTTAGCTTTCCTAGCACTTCTTGGAGGCTTCTTTCCTGACGGTTGCTCCTGAGAGAAAGGGAAACAAAATCAGTCCTAGAACAACAACTTAAAAGTACCATTCCTTGCAAATAGAACTTACATCTCGCATTTTATATTTGGAGAGTTCCGCTTGTAAGCTCTCTACAAGATCCTTGTAGTGCTTTATTTCTGTCTAGAAGGGGGAAATAAACACCAGTTTTAAACGACCGAAACATTTTCATGAGTTTAGTTACAAAGAAGAGGACTATGTATTAATATGAATAGTTACATTTGAATTTTTTTTGGGAGTAGGGGTGCTCTTGTTATAAAGTGTATCACGAAGGCGAACAACTTCCCTCTTCTCTCTTTCCAATTCCTCCTGAATACTTTTGTATGCATCATCATAGCGACTTATTAGCTCCTGCCTGTGAGTTTGAATGGATTCTACCTCGAGGTCCTAATTTAAACAAATATGATTCAGAATATTGATAGTTAAGAAGAATTCACAATGTCAAGGCAGCAGAGTAAAATGATTCACCTTTTCATTCAGAAGTTTCTCTCGAGTCTGAATTTCTAATTGGGCTTCTTTCAATTCCTTTTTTAATTGCTCATTTTCTTCCTTCCACTTATCTAGAAATTTCATTGTATCTTCATAGTTCTTTACCTTACTTCCCAAGGTTTCTATTTCACTCTGGGAGGCCACACTGGAAACAGAGGAATGAATAAGTCCAGCACTAAGGAACAGAACACCTTGAAAGAGAAAAGTAGTACCTTGAGTTGAGTTGGGTAGCAGACTTCTGGAGAACTGATTTTAGTTCTTGTTCTAAGCGCGTTGAGCTGTTTTGGCTGCTTTCTAGCTCTGACTGAGTATCTTTTAACTGTTGCTCCGCAGCAATATTCTTTTGCAACATGCTTTTAAGATCTGAAAGGAGAGCACGACAACATTAACAACCTATACATGTATTCTGCAGGAACCAAAAACAAAACACACCCCACCAACCTTTTTCAAGACGTTTGATTTCATCTTGCAAATGCTTGATGCAAGAGGAGTCTGTGTCTTTCTGTGCCATATTCAATGAAATGGTAGCACTCATCTGCTTCATCTCATTTTCTAATCGATTTCTGTCCTGGGTGAGAGAGTTAATAGTTGCTACCTGCTCTTGTACTGTATTCTCCAACGCCTGTAGTTGTAGTTTCATCGCTTGAGCTTCAGAAAGGTACTGTTGTGACTTGGTAACTTCATCTTCCTTCACTTGCAGGAGGCTTTTCATCTCAGACTTCAAAGCTGCGACTTCATCTTCCTTAGCCTGCAGGAGGCTCTTCATCTCAGACTTTCTGTTTGCAAAGTGTTGAAGTTTTAATTTCAGAGTATCCAAAGCACATTGAGTGACTGAAGTTAGTGACTTTGGGCCTTCAGAATCTGAGGTAGCTGTGGCACTCTCTTCATCAGACACTTTCAACAATTCTAGCTGGGATTGAAGTTCCTCAACAATGAGGACTGTCTTCTCTTGCTCCTATTTCAGAAAAATATGGATGTGAGTTCAAAAAAAAGAGTAGACATTTAAGTTATTCTTTTTACTATTTTAAGTTACCTACCTTTAAGATTGATGAAATGTCATTCATGCCTTTCACACTGGTCCCATGGGCCTAGAACAGATAAAAATAAAAATGTGAGATCTAGGCTAAATTTGGGTAATCTTGATGTTTATAAAGAAGGCAACTTAACAATACATTAGTCAATACCTTTGATAGCCGTTCCAATTCTGCCTCTACTTTGTTCAGCTCCTCTGTGGCCTTAGAGTGCATTAGACCGGAGAGTTCAAGTTGTCTGTTAGATTCGGCAAGTTCATATTCCTACAAACAGAGGCAGAAGTATGGTAGAGACAGTTCAAAGACATAATGAAAAGAAGCAAAGAATGAACTTGTTTTTAATAGTGGTACTCACTTTGTTCACAAGCTCACTTTGTATATTGATCAGCTCTTGATCAGTTTCTTCTTTCTCTCTGATGGCAGCATCAATATCTTGTTTGGCTTCATTCAATAAGTCTCGCAAAGTCTGCAGACATAATTTCAATACAACTATGGTAGAAGAAAAAAATTTCATTTTTAAAACACAACATTTTAAAAACAGAAGTTTAAACCAAACCTCATTTTTCTTCATCTCGGCAGCAAGTTGAAGTTGAAGTTCCTTAGAAAGAGCACCTTCAGCACCTCCACTCTGTCTGTCCAATGCCTAATGTCCAGATTTCATTTAAAAAAAAAAAAAAACAATTTAGTCATAAGATGGAGCTAGAAATAAGATGACTACTGTTAGGAGATCATTTTTACCGTGAGTTGTCGTTGAGCCTTTTCTAGTTCCGAGTTAGCATTTGCAAGCTCAAATTTCAGAGAGGACACATCAGATGAGAGAGATGATTGGATATCCTGTGCTTCTCTCAATAGCTGATGCACAGCACTGCACTTTTCTTTCAGAAGCTCTATTTCCTTCTCCAACTCCTGAATTCTTCCATCCTAAATTGTCAAGATGAAAATCCCAATACAATAACAAAGTCCAAGTTTATTAATAGTATGCAGATATTAAATGTGAACCATACCTTTTCTGGGCTATCACAAATCAGAATACTGCTGTCATCTTCAGAATCTCTACGAGAACGCTTTCTGGAACTCTCCAGCTTTTGCTGGTAATACTTTTCAACCTGTGCTATCCTCCAAGAAGAACGCTGTTCATTACGCTCCTCAAGATCCTCCAATTTGGCTCTGCAAACAAACACAAGGACACATCAATTCTTGAATGCAAAGCTAACAGTAGGAAATTTATGCACATTTGTCCAAGAAAAGGCACTTACTTCCATGTATTCTCCATGTCAGTAATGATTTTAGAGAATGTTTCTGTAACACTCGCACGAACATCTCTTTCCAAATTTAAATTCTTCTCTCGTTCTTCAACTAATTGAGCTTTCAGTTTATCTACAAGTTGTATCAGCTCCTGGGAGGAAAAAAATGTCATGAACATTCTTCAAACTTAAAACTATATTTGATGTTAAAATTAATACATGCGTCACCTAGCGTCACCTACCTCATTACGAGCATTGTACTTCTGCACACAATCATCAGAGCTAGCAACTGTTGAAATACTTGTATCTGCATCTATAATGTAAATGCATAACTGTAAGGCACATTCAAATTTGTCTAGAAACCAAACCATCCCAACAAAACCAACCTTGAGGTGGAGCATCCCAAAGAATGGTAGCATGTGGTTGAGATGCTAAAATAGAAAAGCGACTTTTCTTCTTTCGCTTCACCTTCTTGATAGGGGTTTCAAGAACAATTTGTTTGGCAATCGCAGAAAACTTCAGGACATTAAGCGTTTCGTCAAACAACACTGGAGAAGTATTTGCAGCAACGATCATAGTGATTCGCTCGTGACCAGTGAGAGCGCGTTGAAATATTCTAGTCAGTTTAGAATCTCTGAAGGGCACTGGCTTTTTATCATGCTTCTTCTGGTTCTCTCTGTGTGAAGAAGACAGAAAATAAAAAGCTAGTACAGCAAAAGATGGAAAAAACATAGGATCTCACAGAAGCACTGACCTGATTGTGGCTAAGCATCGACCCAACACATGAAGTGATGTGTTAATGTTGTTGGATTCTTTTAAACGATCTCCAGCATTGAGAGTTTTTTTAGCTCTTTCGGCGCCAGCCAAATCACAAAATGAAAATCTGTTTCAAAAAGGGCAAGTGATGAAAGGAGTGTAAAGATATAAACTTAACAGATGAAAAAAAAATATTAAGAAGATAATCAAACTTGTTACTTACGAGCTGACAATTGCATAAGATGGGTTGTCAGAATTAGCATATCTAACAAGCCTTATGGTAAAAATGCAATGAGAGCGACTAGATCGCATATTCATATTTGTGGCTGCCACTTGCAAGTTAGCTTTTCCATAGTGCATAATATGAAATGCCTCATCACCGGATGAAACGTGAATCATTCTCAAATCTATAAATTAAAATGATACAGGAAATATAGATTTCACAGTCACATTACGGTGACTTATTTCATTAAGAAAGATACTCTCAGCAGCTACAGTCAAGGCTACAGTACCTCGAACATAAGTGCTGCCTTCAGCATCTTGTGCTAATCTCAATGGAATTCGTTTGCGATTACGGGTAACCATAGGATCAAGAAGGTCAAAAATAGACTCATTGTAAACTTCAGCAAATGAAATCCAGACACCGTAGACCACATCACTATCATTGGCCATATCAAATGGAGAGTCATTGGAGATTGTTTTCTGCATCTCTCTATACGTGTTAGAGATAAAGTCTGAAAGGAACATTTTTTACATGAAAAAAAGGCAAGCTTATAGAAAGCAAGTGCAGTAAGCATTGATGTATTTTAGTATTTACAGACCTGACTCACTGTTTGCTGAAATATTTGGAGATACATTTGACCCAGCCTTTATTGGTTCAAAGGGCTGCATGGAGAAAACCACAATTAGATTACGATTCAGAAAAATGAAGTACCAGCTCCTGCGTGAAGAAATTAATTATCATCACCTTATCCCAATTCCACTGAAGAATCCTGTTCTTGTAATCAAGTTCTTGGCTTATTGTTAAGGAGTCCAATTGCACCAATCCTTCAACCTTGTCAGGCTTGTATAAGCCAACTCCAGCTACCTGTCCTTGAATACTCTTAAACAGAGCATCAATGGCTCTTGGAATGAGGCCAGGAGAGGTTCCACTTCCTGGCAAACAAAAACCATGATTGGCAAACTGCTTTGCATTTTGAGTTAACAAATTAAGGTAAAGCTAATACCTTGGACGGTGTAGGTCTTTCCAGCATTCGTAGTGCCATAAGCAAAGACTAGACAGTTACTACCAAGGATGAAGTCTTTCACTTGAAAGGCAACACATTCATCAAATAGCTCTTTCTGAGAAGTATCTGGCCCGAACACTTTGGAAAAGGAATACCTAGACACAACGGAAAGTTATCAATTGTTGTAGATTCCAAATTAAACTATTGCAAAAGACATTACTTACTGATGTACCACTCTCGCAGATATACTGTTCTTGAATGCAACAGAGTCTTTGGGAGCGTTAGTGCCCACAGTCCTTTCATTGAGGATGGTCAGGGTAGCCTGAAGACAAGGCGAACAATAGTAAAACGAAAATCTTTAAACAAAATAAAAACATGAAACTTAAAACTATGAAGAGTCTGAAGTTAAAAGGAAGGGACAAAACAAAGAGTACGGGACACAGGACAGAGCAAAACGTAGGACGAACCTGCTCACTGGCCACAGCGCACGGCTTCAGGCGCAGGTACGTGCTGATACAATTTTTTTCAGGTTTGGCATTTTCATCTTCCTCTTCGAAGATTTTGTCGAAAAGTTGCTTGCGGACAGGATCGACGAATCGCAGCCTTTGGTCCCAACCTGTGATGCTCGGGTCTCTGGGATGCAGGAAGGACGCTTGCTCCAAAGCACCCGAATTCAGAGACATCGTGAGCGCGGGGCATTCATAAACTACTCCGATAAAGGACCTTCCAACCGATCCAGAGGCTAAGCCAGGGCACAAAAACACGCCGCGCACACAGTGAATTCACGACAAGAAACTAAAGCTCCGCACTCCACACCCGGTGTGAGAGGTTGCGAAGAGTGAACGCGCCAACTGAAACGTAAACATCGAACACACCAGGTCGACCACAGCAGACGAAATGTTTTACCACTATCTGAGCACAGGATGCGTTACTGCGGAGGGTACATGTATAATTAATTTTCTGTATTCACGAAAAATACCCTTTAAAAAATATTTAAATTTCTGTGAATTGTTTCGGAACTGATAAAATAGAAACTATAGCAGTCAATGTTTCATTTAGTAGGTTGTCGGCTTGGAAACAGCATGATTTACCAACTATGTGGTTTGAAAGTTTGGGTGTCTTTTTGTGGTACGCATTGTCAGTCACAGTATTATACCCACTAAAATTAAAACTATTATTTTATTTTATTTTGAAACAAAATCAAACATTGGCTGGTGTAGTGGATTTATTTAGTTTTATTTTGAATTTCACCTGGCGGGATGTTGAATGGCCAACATAACACCGCAGTCTCCCGTTTCTCCCGGTTGGGACCGGGACCTCACGAAACGTGGGGCGGGGGAGGGGGGCCGGCGGGCGGCGGACGCAGACGCAGGGAGGAAGGGGGTAGGGGGTTCCGACCGAACAATCGTTGTCGCACGCACTCGTAGCGATGCGAAAGAGAGAGAGAGCGCGCGTGCGACGAAACAACTTTTCGGAATCGTCGTCCCCTCCCTTCACCTTCCACCCCCCCCCCTCTTCCCTTCCCCTGCCCCCTTCCCCTCTCCTTCCTGCCCCCACCTGCGGAGACTGGACAGAGGCAGACCAGCTGAGCACCCAAAACACCAAAACAATCCGAACTGGAGTCGCTGGAGAACCTAACCTAACTGAAAGTGAGTACTTCACGATTCGCATAGAAATAAGCATGCGAAGGCACCATTCAAAGTCTTCTTAATTTTAGGGCAGGGGAGAGGGTGTTGGAATAGGGTAACGAGCTATTCTTTGTTCTTTAGAAGTTTGCTTGACGAATTTGGACTGAGCCATCATTTAACAATGTACGGCTCTGGTTTTTGGGTGCTTGCGTTCGCGTCCGTTTCGAGTTCCATCGACTCTGCATTTTCCCCTCTGCTCGTTGGTAGGAATCCCTTTTAGCGAACGATTGTCAATTTTGACTGTGTTGAAACTGTATTCTAAAGAAAAGCCTTGGACTCGGACGTTGGTTGACCACTGCCTTGGGAATCGGGGCGACACTGCTTCTGCCGCTTCAATTTCAGTGGGGTCCTTCGACGCTACTCCACGCGCCACGGAATGGGGTATCGGCATTTCTCTTGAGGCTCCGAGAGTCGTTTTCGTCGCTCTGTCTCTGTCGCACTCATGGGGCGTCCTGTGTAGGTGCGAGAGAGAAAGAAAGAGAGAGAGCGACGTAAACGACTCTCGGAATCAGTGTGCACTCTCGATTTCATGCAGCCTTCACGGTGCGTTGACCCCGTGCCCGAGGCCCCGAGGCGTGGCGTGGCGCCGCCTTTCGAAACCACCTCTTGCAATCCTTGAGACGGTTTTGAGCTCGCTCCGATAAAAAGACAAAGACAGCCCCTTGCGGCGAGGCGGTGCCTCGTGGTTCCCAGTGTGTGCTCTTGACCGGGTCGGCTGCCCCTTGGGCCGACCCTCCGTGATGGCCAGTGTGACGAGACAGAAGACAGCGCGCCGCTTATTGTTCTGAAATGAGTGGCGGGGCGGGGCACGGCGGGGCACGGCGGACTCGGATTAAATGGAATTAATGGAGTGACCATAAAACAAGCGTTAACCGCTTCTCGGCGGCCCTCGCACAGTGGGCCAGACGCCACCCTCGACGTGGTGCCGGCCGTGGTGTCGACCTCCCCGGGCAGCGCGGCTTGCAACCCCCACACTGGAAGTGGCCGCCAAGTACCGTACCGGCCCAAGATGAACGGGATTGCCTGCCAGCGCCTGCCAGTGGCAGTAAGTGGCTCCATTGTATTGCCTCTTCATTGCCGCTGGATTCGTAATGACAAATCGAAAAGTCTGTGGATGTTATCGAAACCGAAAGCGCACTAGTTTTCCCCGTTCTGCCTGTCAATGTGACGCGCTGCTTGGCAAGGCGCGACGACGGGTCAGTTCAGTTCCCGCCCAGCCGAGCCGCTGCATGGTCCCTGCTGCATACGCTTGACCCTGTTGGCGCCACGCGTCGGCCAGCCGACCGATTCCGGAGGGCCGTCTGGTCGCTCTGTCTCTATCGCACTCACGGGGCGCCCCGCGGGGGTGCGAGAGAGACAGAGCGACGAGTCGACCCGCGACCCCCACGCCGGCCGGTGCACTCCGTTCGTTGCTCTCATTCAAGCGCGGCCCCGAAAATCGGCCGGCGCGGGTCCGTGCACTAGTGCGTGGCGTCCCGGAACATGCCTCGCGGAACTCCGCTGTCAAGAAAGTTGTGTTTGAGGGGAGGCTCATTGGATTCAACAACGGGCAGGTGCGGGTCCAGCGGAGGGGAATCAACCAAGCTTCGAGTCCTGCCGGTACAGTGCAAAAGGCACCGAATTCGCTAAAGGCGGCTAAAGGCCCCTGGCCGCTGCTTCGCGGCATTCGCGGCTTGGCGGGGTGCGCGTCCGAGATGTGGGTCAAGGCCACCAAGACATGGCATGACGCAGGGCACACGGGGTTGGCCGATGCATCGGGTTTCAGCGACGCGGCGGGCCCCTGTGGTGTGTGGTAGTGTAGGGCCCTGCCCGTGCCACCACCGAGGCAGGGGGTCTCAAATGGATCCACGATTTTAGACCGCCACCCGAGTCGACCCGAGTCGGTTCGGGCGATCACCTGGCGAACGCTTCCCGATTTCCCATTCGCTTCCTCATTCGCCAGGCAATACTGTTAGTCCGGCCGTGGAGATGCAAAATGGCGACAGCGTGCACTTTCTTCGGGGACGCTTCGTGTCTGTCTGTCTGTCTGTCTGTCTGCTCTGTCTGTCTGTCTGTCTGTCCGTCTGTCCGTCCGTCCGTCCGCCAACTCGCCGCCCTTTCTCCCTATCTCCGCCGCCTATATCGCACTACTGTACGTTCCGGCCTTAACCCGTTTCCATACGTCACTCATTCATCGGCCGTTCGGCCGCTCTGTCTCTCTCGCACCCACTCGGGACGCCCCATGAGTGCGAGAGAGACAGAGCGCCGAAAACGACTATATCTCGGAATCAGTCTGCTGGGGCTTTGATTGAGCTCACCCGGCTTAAGATCCGCTCGTCGTACGTACTCACACACACATCAAGGTGTTGATGGTCTTTCCACCGACCGTTTGAACTGTTTGGTTTACAAAAACTGAGTAGGGAGGCGAGGAGGGGCAAGGGGGGCGGCGGGGAGAGTCCGTGATAGCACTTATCACTGCGAGGTCCATGGAGGGCAGGCCGAGACGACTGTCTCGCGTTCTGCACTGGCAGACTTGGCGTAAGTTCCCCGGCTTGTCCAGCAGACTGACTCCGAGAGTCGTTTCTCTCTCTCTCTCTCATAGGGTGCTCCCTCGCAGTGCGAGAGAGACGAAGTGATGAGTCGGTCTCCAGGCTCCGCAGCAACGCCCGGTCCCTGGCCGAACCAGTCCGTCGTTCGTTCTCTTTTCCGCTCTGGCCCGGGCTGTACGTTTACGTGACCGAGCAGAGGTAGCCAGGCCGGGCTGCACATCGCCGGGCGCACCGGCTTGGCAGAAGCTCAAACAAGGTTATGGCCCGGCTGGAGTTCCTGGACCCGGTGGAGGGGAGGGGGTGAACTTGCGAGCCACCTGATGTTCCCCTTGCTAGAACAGCCCGAGCGGAGCGTTGGCTTCAACTTGTCAGAAAAGTGTAGCCGTAGCCCTTTAATAAAGCCTACGCCGTTTGCCGTGGTTTTGTTTCGTATTATTTCCTTCGTTTTCTGTTTTGTTTCGTGGTACTTTGACCCCGACCCAGAGGCTCAGGGAGCTTCTCGCCTGGTTTGGAGGCCACCGCATGATTGCGGAACAGTGTATAAACTTGCTCACTGAGCAACATTTGTTGACATGCGTTCTCCAAAACATGATTGTACTCGTTTTGTTGCAGCTGTGCCGCACCGTATGGGTGTGCGGTAGCTCTGGACTGGCCAGCGAGGGGTTGCTCTGAAAGGGGGCTGTGCAGTCCAACGCGTCCTGCGCGCCGCCAAGATGTGAAGAAGGCGTGAGGCTTGGCGTGAGGCTACCGCCACAGCGGCAGCGCGCCGTGTCGCCACCACGCCGTCGTGCCCCCAGACGCCCTCTGGGACCACGCCCAGGCACTGCAGTGCTCCAGGACCGCGCCGAAGGGCTTCGAAGACGACTCTCCGTCCGTCGGGTCGTCGCGGTGGGGCCCTCCGTCTGGACCGCCCCTCCCACCACGCCGCGGGGCTTGAGGCGCGGCCGCGACGCCCTGCCCAGGGCAGCGCAGGGCCTAGCCTGGCCCCCGACAGTGCCGGCGACGGCGCGGACGCGGGCAGACGGTGTGATGCCAGCGCGGGGCCACGGGCACGGCCTCCTCGGCCTCCACGGCCCGGCGCGCAGCCCGCGCAGTCGCGCCAAGCGTTCCGAGCCGAGCGGAGGAGTGGATCCGAGGCGCGCTGAGATGGCCCGGCCCGCGAGGCCCGCGGAGTGAGTGAGGCACGGCGACGACGACGCGACCCCACGCCACCGCAACAAGTGCCTGTGATTCTACTCGAGGGAAGTGGCCGAGTGTTTCCGGGGCAGTGTTCATCGCGGGGCGCCATGAGCGTCTCCGGGGTGCCCCTGGGGGTGCCCCTGGGGCCCATGGGGTTGCCGACGGCCGACTGGATGCCCACGCCGGCGTCCTGGCTCAACGACTCGGCGGCCGCGTCCCCCGCGTGGGAGGACAACGCCACCGCGCTGGCCGTGCCCCTGCTCCCCACCAGGCACATCAGCGTCACCACGGAGGTGAGTCAGTGGGCCACTCGGGGGCGGATCCAGAGCCGGACGAAAAAAAAGCGGGGTGAAGTAGCACTTGTTGCCGACGCACAGGGGTAAGGTGTTGCTTTTTGCCTACCTTCCAGGCGGCTATCTAGGGGGAGGGGGCTCTCCTGGACCCGCGCTTGGGTACACCACTGTCTCTCCCCCACCTACGCTCCTTGAATGCCCGCTGAAAGTCGTCCCTTTCAACGAAAGCAACGCGCTGGTTGAAACAAAATTCAAGACTGGGGTTTTCTCCGCTACTGAAACAACATCGCGCGAGCGCTTATCGAAACGCGATGAAGCAAGATTTTTTCCTGGCGTCGATTGTTTGCCTGGCCCTGTCGCCGTTTTGCGAGATGATTTTTCTTTTCGCGCCATTCGCGTCAGCGGCTTGCACGGAATCAAGCTTCAATCCGCATCCAAAACGACGCAGTGAGTGATTTAGCGTGAACCTCCCCACCCTTTCGGCCGCCCACGTGTTTAGGGTGTGCGAAGTGCGTTCGCTCCGCTTCAGAGTCTCGGAGGTGTGGGAGGAGGCTGCCCGCTTCTCGAATGGGGCGCGTACACTGTATCAACTGTATCGGCTTTCTCGCTATCACTCCGTGACGCGGCGCGGTGTCGACGCGCGGGCGGGGCCCAGCCGCCGAGCAGGGAAAGGAATTTATCACAAAAAAAAACAAATATGAACTTGCGGTTGTTGGACAAGAAGAAATAAAATTATGATCAGTTTCCACAATTTTTAAGAATTTATTTTTTCGTGTGTTTTTAGAAATGTCGTCGGGCCAGCGGAGTTTTTGTGTCCAATTTAAAACTCCCTCTCGTTTTATTTTTACCGATTTTTTTTTGGTAATATTTAATCTAGAAAATGACTGAAACTCAACAACCTAGGTGAATTTCAACAATCGACTAAGAACCCGTTAATTCGTCAACTGAAGTCGAGGCTTTTGTCGGCGTGTGTTTTCGGATTCCATTTCACGCCTCAGGGAAGGGAGGCGGGCGGACGCGTGAAATGGGTGGACAGGGCTTTGTACTCACGGCGCTGCCTGGCATCAGATTTATCCCCAGCATTTGCATACAAGGGAAAGGCAAGCCAGATCCGCAAACATAACCAAAATAATAATTGTTTGGTCGGAGGATTACGTGCTGCTGCAGCTCGCTGGGTGTGTGCTTTGGCGCAGAGGTTCGAAGTTTGGAAGGGCTGGGCTCTCCCGGATGATCCTGGACTGCGAGATCGCAGCATTACCGCCAGGGACGGTATTTTGGCATGCGGCGGTGGAGTATTTTTGTGCAAAAAAAAAACAACAAAAAACAAAGTAGTGGCAGGACTGCCTCTCTAGCGTCGGCGTGGCGTGTCTCTCGCACCTCGTGGCGATAGAGAGACTGCCTCCCTAGCGTCGGCGTGCGGCACCGCGTGACGTGGGCCGTGTCTCTCGCGCCCTGTAAACGTCCCTCTTGAAATTATGGGACTTACGGTGAGTCGCCTCGCTGGCCGCCGATGCCCTAGACAACTCGCCGTGTAAATTATAGGGCGCTTTGTTGGCGCAAAAACGCGGCGCCGCGCCACTGTAAACGAAAATACTGTGGCGGCATGGTGACGTGTTTTGGGCAATGATCCGCGAAAACGTTTCCGAGGTGAATAGCGGAAGTGGCCAAGTTCGAGGCAATATAGAGTCGCTGCTCCTGTTCACGCTGCCATTAGATAGATAGATAGATAGAGAGAGAGAGAGAGAGAGAGAGAGAGAGAGAGAGAGAGAGAGAGAGACGACGACGACGACGGAAATGTAGCGATGGGGGAGGGGTGCAAATTGACGCGGATGGTTACTATCGAACACAACCCTAGCCGCCTCGCATCATTGCCAACCGGTTCCGAGGGGTCGTCGCGTCGCGCTGTCTCTCTCGCACCCGCCCTGGACGCCCCGTGAGTGCGAGAGAGACAGAGCGACGAAAACGGCTCTTCGAGATCGGCCCGCCGACAGCCCTCTAACTCAATCCACTACGGCCCGGCATTGGAAAGTCACGCCCCTTTGGCGCCAGAGAGACACGGCCGGCTTCCGGAAGGCCCGATCCGTTTCTTTCGTCGCTCTGTCTCTCTCGCGCCCGCGTGGAGCGCGCCATGAGTGCGAGAGAGAAGGAGCGGAATGAAACCGCTTTGCCGTGGTCCGCGGAGAGTCAGTCGCACGGAATTAACCCTGCACGTCGCGGGACGACGGACACTAAATCGCGAGGAGAGAAATATGCTCGGACCGCGGGGCGCTGTCTCTCTCGCACTCGTGTGGCGACCCGGAGGGGTTCGACAGAGACGGAGCGACGCGGGCGAAGGGAACCCATCGAAGGCACGCTCTTGCACGCTCTGGCCCAGTGACCAGTGAAATTCGCCCGAAAGGCCCGGGGAAGATGTTCGGTCGGCTTTTCCGAGGAGCTGCCCGGTGGGGCGGCATTGACCTTGCGCACGGCCCGTCGGGCGCGTGCATAGTGGCATAAATGTTATTCATTGAATTAAACCGCTTCGCCACGCCCGCGCCTTGCCATGTTCGGAGCGTGGGGCGCGTAGAGAGGGGAATTGAGAGACAGAAATGGAGAGGGAGGGAGGGAGAGAGAGGCAGCGAGGTACGCAGGAGACCAGCGATGTGAAGGAGCGGTTACGGTCAGAGGTCAGAAGGCCGGAACCACCCCGAGAGGCGCCGAGAGGGGCCTCGAGGCGGTGGGAAGGCATGATCCGGATGGCTGGAGGTTGTGGAGGGGGAGGGGAGGGGGCGTCCTGTAAACTTCGCACCCTCACTTTGGGGCGGGGGAACCACCACGTTGGGCACGGCGCTGCTGTCTCAAAGATGGCAGGTTGGGTTAGGCAGGTCGCGGCGTCGAAACGTGGCAGTAGCGCATGCAGTTTATGGGCAGTCCCTTGCGGAAGGTCCGGGTCCGGCTGCGGGCGGTGCGGGGGCCGGCCTTGCCCTTCAGCCTGGCTTAGGCCCCCAATGAGTGCGTGCGTGTGAGGGGTGGGGGAGGGTTTGCGGTTTGGTCAAGAGGGTGGGACCAACCCTCACAGCCAATACCTCATTGTCATGGTGCCTCAAGGAGCCAAGAGCCTGCGGCGTGGAGAAGAATTGCATTTCATTCGGTCGGCTAGGTCGCTGTGAATTCAAATGTAGCCTCTCTCTCTTCGTGCGCGTTGAGTGTAAACGCCCCGCGGAAAGGCGGAGGCAACAGTATTCGTTTTCGTCGAGTGTAGGCCCCGGGTTTATACGGCAGGCCCAATAGGACGTCCCTGTTCTCGTCGTGATCTGGGCCGGGACGCTGGGCCGGCCTCTATCAGCGCGCCTCTCTTTTACGACCCTCAGGGCTCTGTCTCTCTCGCACTCGTGGGTCGGTCCCTAGGGGTGCGAGAGAGACAGAGCGATGCGAAAACCGTCCGGAAACGGCTCTGCCGACGAGCCGAGGCTCATAGCGCCGTTCTCACTCCGCCTCGATGACTGGATAACAAGAAGCCGTGAGTGAGGCAGCACTGCGAATGATGACATCGGGCCGAACGATGGGTCTTATATCATCTGAAGAGGAGATTGGTGGTGACAGAAAATCGTTGCTTCTTTTCGTGACGGTCTTCGAACTGCCCTAATTTTTAGACGAAGACGAATGGATGAATACAAATTGGTTTTCTTTTGATATTGCCTGCCGCTGTACCTCGGTGTACGCGGTGTGTAGAGAAGAAAATTGGAGTGACATGATTAGAATCAGGAGTCCCTTTGAAGCGGTGGCGTCCACGCCGGCCACGCCGGTCGCGCCGGCCGGACAGTGCTATCAGTGTAACGACGGTCTTTTGCCGCGTGCCTTTGACGCCCCTGTGTCTGCGGCCAGAAGGCTGAGCAGTCGCTGTCTCTCTCGCACCCATGGGGCGTCCCGTCGAGAAACCGCTCGGAATCAGTGTGCAGGAGCCACAGCCGTAGCCACCCCTCTGTCCTCCATCCCTTCCTCTTCCTCTCACGTGCTTTTCGCCTCGTGTTCGCTGTCTCCCTTCGTCTCCCTTCCTCTCCAAACTTCATATTGCCATGCCCTCTCTGCCACTGCCAGCCTCCCGTGCCACGATCGCCATCCTTGTTGTGATTGTTGTTATGTCCCATTTAGTGTCCTGTGTTGGTTGATGTGATTTCCACCGTGGCGCCGGGGCTTAAATACCTCAAAAGGTTTTCTATTTTCTCAGTGTTTTATCATCATCTCTATCCTGTCCTTGCTGTTCTTTACTCAGAGTTGCTTTATATCCTTTCTGCAATCTTACTCGTTATACCCCCAGTTCGTTTCATCATCCTTCCTCTCCTCTCCCTGTCTCCCTGCTTATGTGTTACTTCATCGCCATCCTTGCTCGCCATAGCCCTTTCGCCCTAGAGAGCCCTTCTCTCTCCATCCTCCTCCCTCATTGCCCCTCCCTCATATTTTCGTGTCCCTAGGCCGCAACTTTCTCAGCACGTCATGAGTGTCGCGATGTATGTGCCCTGACTGACCCCCACACCCTCCCCCGCCACCCCTCTTGTCCCGCTAGCCGACTTACGAGTTTTCCTCCCAAATTCAGCGTGGCCTCCCCGAAAGACCTGCAAATCTACAAATCTTTGAAATTAACATTTCCATTTATGGGCAACGGACTTGAAAGCTACACACATTTGTAACAGCAAACGTGTGCGCCCTTCAATGTTAGATTTTTTTTGGCTCACGTCGCTGATTGACTGGGATTTCCATCGTCAAAACTTCGACAAGGCGTGGCGGCGCCTTTTCCTCCTGTCACTTGTGGCTCCTCTCTCTCTCTCTCTCTCTCTCTCTCTCTCTCTCTCTCTCTCTCTCTCTCTCTCTCTCTCTCTCTCTCTCTCTCGTGCGAGGCACGCGGCACTATTTGTCGCGTGGATTCGAATGCTGTGCAGCGTGTCGCCCCGGGGGAAGGGGGGGGAGAGAGAGCGCAGTTAATATTCTGATCCAGACGTCAGAATCTGTGAGGGGCGGGGGGGAGGGGTTCGGGTTGGGAGGGGTGCATAGCTACACAGCACACAGTGCGGCCGCAATCGTATTAGCAACAGCGTGGAGCGCGCAAGGGCCGAGGCGCGAATGCCCCCCCGGGGGGGGGGGGGGGTCTAGTCCGTGGGAGGGGGGTAGGGGGCCTGATTGCCGCGGCCCCACCCCCGTCGTTCCCGACACGGCGTGGCGCGGCGTGTCTCTCGTCCGAATCTTTTTCCAGGCGGCCGGAGCGCCGTCTTTTCCGGCGCGGCGCGGCACTTTTCACCGTGGCCGCTGGAGCCCGCGCTGGAGCCAGCGCTGGAGGGACGTTTAAACTGCCCTTGGCCTTGGCGGGCCCTGGGCCGCCCTGGGCCGCCCTGGGCTTGTCCGGACCGACGCTAAGCCCCCGCCCCCGGTCCGAAAGAGTAGCTTCGCCCTCTTTCTGTCTCTGTCGCACTCACGGGGCGTCCCGCAGGGGTGCGAGAGAGACGGCCTGCTCTCCCTGTGAATCACACGGCTGGCCGGCACCCGGAAACTGCGCGTAGTTTTGTTTGCCCGGGGACTTTTATTCCTCAATTTCACCCGGCGAGACGGCGGCTGCCGCTACACTGGCGGGAGAATCAAGTCGAAATGAGGAAAGTTGTTTTTGGTTTTCTGGAAACTTGCCGGAATTTTACTATGCATGACAACCAAGTTATTTTGGCAACACTGAGAATTCTAGTCGCATCCATAGAGAGCACGCTCGTAACTTGAAAGTAAGAATAGTTTTCACCGCTGGAATAAAAACTATTCCATACGTGAAAATAATGAAAGAAGTAGTAGAAACTGGGGCCCAGAAATTGAGTCCGCTGCCTCGTGGCTGGCCGGGCCGGCGGGGGTCTAATTCTTGTCGGTGACTAATCCAGGCTTCCAGGCTTCCAGGCCGGCCTGTCCAGCTAGCCGCGGTGGAGCCGCGTCGCTCAGCCACCCTCTCCGTCACGCCTCCCTCGGGGGTGCTACTCGGTCCGGGGGCGGTCCGGGGGCGGTCCGGGGGCGGCCCGGGGGCGGTCCGGGGGCGGGGCTGACTTGGGACGGGTCGCGGCCTGGCCCTTCCCTCGTGAGGGGCTGCGGGGGCGGCACTGTGAAGAGCAGAGGGGCCGCCAAGACTCTTGGCATTATGCAGCCAAATTCATCTCCAAGATGAGTTGAGACCATACCCGATGCTTGCTTTTCACAGTGCAGGGAAGTGCGTCACACCGCCCCAGGTCCTATAAAGCCTCCTTGCGACCACGGCACTGGCGTGGCGGGCGTGGCGCCCGGCAATGCTTATTATTGGGTGGGGCTCTCGGCCGGTGGCGCGCCGCAAACTTTCCGCAATGGAGTCTCGTGTGGAGAGCCAGCGAGCCACGAGTCTACGCTTATTTTGTGTTCCGGCCGCCGGCCTTGGGGAGTTAGTTCGCCAAGGGCTCGAGCGCGGTGTGGGCGCCGGTTATTGCTACCGCCATACCCGGGCTGTATTCCCACTTATCGTGTGGTAGAGAGTCCGACTCGCAGTGGGCCAGCAGAGACCGGGGAAGTCCCGGACGCGTTTTGAGCTCCAGAGTCGCTAAATGGGAGTCGAAATGAGCGTGTGGCCCCCACCAATGGATTGCTCTCCGAACGAGGAGTCCATTGGTGGGGTCACACGTTCGGTTCGAGTCCTGCTTAGCGACTATGGAGCTCAAAACGCGTCTAGAATTTTGGCCGCCGGCGCCGGTCTTCTGGCTCACTGTGCTACTGGGCCCAACCCAGTTCGCAAGGCCTTGCATGTCCAATCGAGATCCCCCCTCCCCCGTTTCAGCCCCTAACTAGCCCTTGATTGTTCCGGCACTGCCTCCGCCAGTGTAGGACCACTCTGTGGACCGAGGGAAGGAAAGGAGACAGCGCGAAAAAAGCGTCGCGTCGCGGCGGGGCCGGGCGGGGCGGGGCGGGCGGACATCTTGACGTGCAGCGCAGTGGAGGTGACGTGCCCACCACGCCTTGTTCATATGCGTCACTGCGGACGACGCGCAGCCCTGCCTCAAGTGTGCTCTCCCCCAAAAAGGGCTGCCCAGCGCTGCCAAAACCAAGAGGTTGTACGTTTCCGAGTGTGCGAGTATTGTCGTTTTAGACATTACTTCGTTCCTCGTTTTGCTCACTATGAAATGGAGAGGGCTGCCGGATTCTGTTGTAACCGAAAATGGCCAGTGAATGCCATTCACTTTACCCGTTTGGAAGCTTTGTTAAAATTGGCGTGGGCAGCATGAGGTTTGCATGCGTTAAGAGCGCGTGCCTGTGAGCCGCTGTGAGCGCCTCCCGACGCTTTTGGCGAGGCTGACGCCGCACATCGCTGCCGTCGCTCCGTCTCTCTCGCACTCACGAGGCGGCCCGGCGGTCCGCGGGGGTGCGAGAGAGACGGAGCGATGACACGCCGCGCCTTTCCACCGAACGGAAGCCGTCGGGAGTGGCGAGTCCGAAAGGGGAGGGGAGGGCGGCGCGACGCGGGCATGCCAACGAGCAGCCGACTGATTCCAAGTCGCCCTGTCTCTCTCGCACTCCCACGGGGTGCTGACGAGAGCGACAGAGACAGAGCATCCGCCCGGAATCACCGGAGCAGCGCGGCGGAGCGCCGGGCGGGTAGGCAACGTGAGGCCTTGCGCGCAGCCGTGTCCGCGCGGAGCCTACCCGCCAGGCGCTCTCCGCGAACCGCCGCGAACGGCAGGGAACACACAGTGGGCCAGAAGACCGGTGGAGGCGGCCAAAACTCTGGACGCGTTTTGAGCTCCAGAGTCGCTAAATGGGATTCGAACCGAACGTTTGACCCCACCAATGGATTGCTCTCCGAACGAGGATTTAGCGACTCTGGAGCTCAAAACGCGTCTAGAGTTTTGGCCGCCGCCGCCGGTCTTCTGGCCCACTGTGGAACAGTGGCGAAACCAAAGCGCAGATGCAGCCTCCATTCAAGCATTCAACAGTGTACACAACGCGTTTTCTTTCTGCTGCAGGTGGTGCTGACGGTGTGCTACGCGGTGGGCATCGCGGGCAACCTGGCGGCGCTGGTGATCCTGGTCCGGGGCGGGCGGCGCGCACACCGCAACGCGCGCCACTCCCTGATGCTGCGCTGCCTGGCCTGCAACGACCTGGTGGCGCTGCTGGGCATGCTGGTCATGATGCAGGCCCAGCTGCGGCTGCCCACCGCCCTGGTGCGGTCGCGCTGCTTCTGCGGCCTGCGCGTCGTGTGGCGCCTCTTCGGCCTGGGCTCGGGCTCCGTGGCGCTCGTCATGGCCCTGGAGCGCTGGCTCGCCCTCACCAGGCCCTTCCTGTACCAGAAGGTGAGGCGGCGCGAAGCGGCGCGGGGCGGCGCGGGGCGGCGCGGGGCGCACAGTGGGCCAGAAGACTGGTGGAAGCGGCCAAAAGTCTAGACGCGTTTTGAGCTCCAGAGTCGCTAAATGGGACTCGAACCGAACGTGTGACCCCACCAATGGATTGCTCTCCGAACGAGGAGTCCATTGGTGAGGTCACACGCTCGGTTCGAGTCCTGTTTAGCGACTCTGGAGCTCAAATCGCATCTGGAGTTTTGGCCGCCTGCGCCGGTCTTCTGGCCCACTCTGGGGCGCCCTCCAAGTTCAGGGTCCACATTAATTCCATCCCTGCCGCTACGCGAAGACCCAACCACCGCGGGGCTGGAAACCACGCGCTCGCGTCCGCATCACTGCCCTCCACTGTATTTTTCTTTGGAGCGGCAACTTTTTCGGCTCCGCAGCGTCGTTTCGCCGCTATGTCTCTCCGTCTCTCCCGCACCAGAACGCTGTGTGAGTGCGAGAGAGGCAGCGCGACGAAAACTGACTCCCGGAATGAGTCCGCAGGTACGGGGCGCGGCCGAGCGGGCCCAGCGTCCTTGTAAGAGCAAGCCGAGCTGCGACGGGCTTCGCCAAAAGGCTTCGCTATCAACCGTTATGCCCGTGTCGCGCCCCCAACGACGGCCCGGGGGGGCCTGTAGGTGGGCACAGACCTCCCCAGGCCCGGCTGCCGTGCCGTGTCGCTCCTTGGCCGCGCCATCGGGAGGACGTGGCCTGCCTGGCCTGCACGAGGTGGAAAAAGAGGGGGGGGGGGCAGATCGGTCCTCCGTCGAGTAATGGAGAAAAATTTGGCCGAGGCGGAGGTGCGCTGGAAATGAGGCATGCCGGTCAGAGAGTCGGCGCCCTCACTGTAAAGGTGGGGCCGCGCGCCGCGAGCGCTTTCAAGCTTTTACGGCCCCCGGGCGGAATCGCGTCGCCATTCACGCGGCCGCCCGGTCGCTCCGTCTCTCTCGCACCCTCACGCGACGCCCCGTGAGTGCGACAGAGACGGAGCGACGGCACGGTCCTTCGGAACCAGCCCGCTGGGGAAGGGAGTAGAATGAGGGCGACGTCGATATAGCTTAATTTTACGCCGGCTAAACGCTCCGCGACGGGAGGGGCACTGTAAGGAAAGCGACACGCATTCTCTCGACAAAAAAGCAACGCTGTGAACCCGATAGATATGGATTCCGGTTGCCGGTCGGTACGATCATGTGTGGTCTAGCCCTTAATGGTAATGGTAGTGGAGGCGGGCCCGCCGAGCCGGCCTGTTGAGCGGGTCTGCCTATCGCCGGGTTCGCAGGCGTTTCCCTCATCCTTGAACGCGTTGGCCACTCCCGTCACGTCGACACAGTTTTTGCGGGTGTCGGGTGCCGAATGAAAAGGGTGGCGCCCTTGGCCGAGGGGTGGGGGGCGCTAATGCGACCCCGGCAGACTCAAAGCCACCGAGACCCTTCCCAGTGTGGCAGAGGGCGTGTGGACTTGCTCAACGTCTCTCTGCTTCGTGCCTTTTCCTGTTGCTGTTGAGGGAGTCCTTGACCTCTCAAATAGTGGAAAAGGGGCCGCGTCTCTCCGCGCAAATGCGTGGAATTCAATAAAGTGTCCGGAAGGAGCCTACTGTACGAAGGCACGGCGGTGCGGCTCAGGAGGTGCGCCGGGGGCGAGGGCTGCGGAGTGTCTCAGCACGCTGTCGCATTAGCGCGTGTCGCGTGCCGAGTCAAAGGCGTGGCTTATTTATGAGGATCGTGTTGGCCGTCACGGCTTGGGGCTGGGGCACTGCACTAGGCTGCACTAGGACGACTAGGCCGCACCGCTTCACAGTTTATTTTGGACCCGCTTTCGCTTCTCCACCGACGCGCGCGTACGTCGAGAGCGACCGGATTCCTTCGGTATTCCATACACCAGTGGGGGATTCGCCTGTCGGCGTGCGGTGGGTGGTGCGGCGGTGGCCTTGGCTGCAGTGTAGGTCCCGAGCTCCAAGCGACTTTCCCTGTTGGATGGTGGGACATACCGTCCGAGGGGTTCCTTTGCGCAACGAATTTATCTATTTATCATTTATTTATTTATTTCGCTGCCAGCCTCGGCATAAGCTACAAACACTCTGACCATTACTGCAGAGATACTGCGTGCCCCGCACATCGCGTTCAAGTTGATGAGGGTATAAGGGCCCCCATCGCGCCACTTCGTCTTGTATTTTTGTCACTTCGTTCGGAGGGACTTGGTTTCCGGGACCGTCAACAAGCGCCAACTTCCCAAGGATAGCGCGAGGCAGAGAATGCGCAAAACAAGGCGATTCGTAATTTGTGCAGAGAGAGAGAGAGAGAGAGAGAGAGAGAGAGAGAGAGAGAGAGAGAGAGAGAGAGAGAGAGAGAGAGAGAGAAGCATCTGGCGACGCAAAGGCTGCCGCCTGTCGCCACAGGCCGAACCCAAGAATTGCTGTCCTTCTTGGAGTTTTCTTCTCCGAAGCCGTTAAGACTGCGATCGAGCTCGCCATCGCCGTCCTCCAGAGCGCTTCCAGAGCGCTGTGGCGCGCTCCAGGGTGCTCCCGGACCATTCCGGTGACGTTTGATTGCGAGCTGTCTCTCTCGCACCCCTGCGGAACGCCCCATGAGCGCGACAGAGACGGAGCGAACCAGTCGCTGGGTTCGGCGAGGCCCTCGAAGGGGTGACAGCAGTCATCAGGGCTGCGACCGCTGTGACCGCTGTGACCGCTGCGACACTGGAATGGGACGAGTTTGGACAGTTTGGAGAAAGTCCGCGCTGCTGTGCGCTGTAACGTGAACACCCTGCCGCGGCCTTGTGGGGAAAGTCTTTTGCGCCGACTTCCCAAATCCGGGTTGTATCAAAGTGGCGAAAGTCACACATTCAAATTCGCATTCGGCAGGCTGGCGCGACATTGCGGTTCGGTTCGGGGCGGGGCGTTGTTAGCTGCTGCCTACCCATACGGCGTCAAGTGGACTCCCAAGCGGGCGCCCCGGCGTCGGGTTCTTTTGTTTGGGTTTGTAATTAAGGGCAAGAAAGGGGGAGGGGAGGGGTGGGTAATGGTGAAGGGGTTTCCGTCCGCTTTGCGGCTGTACTGCTGTACCGGCCGAAACCCCAGCACTAAAATAATAAAGACCTACATTCGGTTGGTCGGGAGAAATTAGTAAAGAACATTTTTTCGGGGGAGGGATGATTAAATTATGTTCGTTTGATCTTTGCTGTGAGGCGACCGGCAGCCGTCCGTCTGAACATAAGGAGCGAGAGCGCCTTAACTCCAGCCGATGATTTTCGCTTTTCGCGAATAAAGAGGGAAAGGGTGATTCGGGGGGGGGGGGGGTGCGTTCTGGGAAATACCGTGGGCCGAGGCGGCGTCCTCCCGCAGGCAGTCCAGCCAGGCCAGGACCACGCCCAAGTGCGCTCCCCCCTTTCTTTTCCATTGATGAAATGCGAGGCGGGAAGACCGGGGCGACCGGGGCGCGACCAGGCCGACACGAACGAGGCCAGCGCCAGCAGGCTAGCCGTCGAGGGGAAGTCCAAATAGCCAGTGTCTTTAATCGATATTCGTTTTTCCACCCACTAAGTTTGCGTAATTTAGGTTCTGTTTTACGAAAATTTCCGATGTGGTGTAAAGTACAGTAGGCACAACGACATTCGAATTGTTTCCTCGAGCTTGCGATGTGCTCTAGGGCGTAACTGGCGAGCTCCTTCGAACGCCGCCAGTTAGGTAAGCCCCCCCCCCCCTCCTCGCCGGCCGGAGCGCCAGCCCACATAAAGAACCCCTTTTCGGCGACCCGTGGCGACCATTCGGCCGTTCCCGGAACCGAGCGCGGCCGCCTGGCCCGAGGAGGGTGCCGTCGTGGAGGCAAAGGCTGGCAAAGGCCTACCGAGTGGCGGGGCGTGTTGGCCCACATCAATTACACCACGATATCAAACACATCGCGCTGCACCGCGCTGTCTCCGTCGTACTCGTGGGGCGTCCCGTAGCGGTGCGAGAGAGACAGCGCGACAGTCTGCCCGCTCGAGGGTCCTAAATGAGAGTCTCGACGGGGGCAGCCCATCGGCGCGTCAATTATCGAGATCTCGATCTCGTCGGCGATATCGGACACATCGCTGCACCGCCGCCCCGCGACGCCCAGCGACGCCGGGACCCCCCGCGACCCACATCGCGTGGGGGCTGGCTGGCGGGCTGGCCGCCGGCCGGCCGCAGAGACAGACTTGACGTACTTCTTGACGACGGCGCGGCTCGCTCTCGCTGACGTCACGGCACTGCAGCGCGCATAGCGTCGCGCAGCGGCGCCAACCACTGCAGACTTATTACGGAGTCGCTTTCGTCGCTCTGTCTCCCTCGCACCTGTAGGCGACGCCCCATGAGTGCGAGAGAGACAGAGCGACGACAACGACTCTCGGAATCAGTCTGCTGGGGACGACGACGCCAAGCCAAACGACGCGCCCGAGTTCATAAGTCAAAGCGAGGTGCGCGAATTTGGCGGGAAAATTCCGCGCGGGCGCGGGGAAAAGAGAAAGAGAGAGAAAATAGAATCACGGCGTTACGGGGTGAAAGGTTTGGGCATTTCAGTTGACGAAAATAGAGAACTAGCGCCAGGATACACGGCCTCGGTGATAAATGTTTCGAAAATTCATGTTCGGGGTGATGTGCGGGCGGCCAGGACAGATTCATCCCCCCTTCTTTCCGCTCCCCTCGTGTGGTTGCGGTTGGGTGTGGCTGCGCGACGCTGCGCCAATCAGTACCTGAAACTACCCGCGCTCTGATTGGTTGTTTGCTACTGCAGCGAATGGAATCGTTGACACGCGTTGTCCTTTGCAGCACATCACGTACCACGTGGTGCGGCGCGCCATCTTCGGCATGTGGAGCTGCGTGCTGCTGCTGGTCATGCTGCCCCTGTTCGGCTTCGGCCTGTACTACAACCCCGAGTCCAACGAGTGCGCCCGGTACCCCAAGGCCACCAAGCCGGCGGACATCGCGTACGCCTACGTCTACTTCACGTTCGGTGAGTGGCTCTATCGGACGAGCTGGTTGCGTGGTGGTTTTCGCGACGTTACGTCATTTCTGGACGCCCCCTTGTCGCGCAGGCATGCTGCTCATCGCGAGCATCCTGTGCTGCAACCTGCTGGTGGTGCGGCGCCTGCACCGCGCGGGCCAGACGGCGTGGGGCCGCGTGGGCCGCGTGCGCTCCAGGACGCTGACGAGCGCCACGTACTACTCGGACACGCGGCCCGCCGGGCCCGCCCCGACGGCCGAGGCGGCCGATCCGCAGCAGCCGGCCGGCCGGTGGCGGCTCCTCAGGGTGCTGCTGCTGCTGCGGCGCGGCCGGCCGCGCCCCGAGGACGCCAAGGACACCAAGGAGCAGCAGCCGCCGCTGATTCGCCGCTTCTCCAGGAACTGCCACCGCGTACGCGCGCTGCAGCACTCCGAGTCCGTGGACTCGGCCACGCACGAGGAGACGGCCTTCGCCAAGCTCATGGGGTTCCTCTGCGTGCTCTTCGTGCTGTGCTGGCTGCCGCAGATGGTGAGTTGGGTACTGCACTGTATCTTGTGCCTCGTCTCATGGAACCACGCCATTGACCTCCTTGCCCCTGCTTTGCCTGCCTCCAGATGGCCATCCCCCTGACGCAGCTGTGGCCGACGTGGCCGCCGGGCAGGAAGTTCGCCCGCCTGGCCGACTTCTCGCTGCTGCTGCACTTCACGCTGGACCCCTTCGTGTACGTCCTGCAGAGCTGCACGCGCCGCCACCACCACAAGCCGCCGCCGGCCGCCCCCGGCTTGGGGGCGGTGGGCAAGGCGCTGGCGGGGGCGGGCGCCACGGGGGCGGCCTCGGCGACGGCGCGCGCCGCGCCCTGGCCGCAAGCCCCGCCGCCGCAGTCCTACGCGCGGAAGCTGGGCGCCTCGCTGAGGCTCTGCTTGTGCTCGTGCGGGAGCGGCGGCCGCGACGGCGCGTGCAGGCGGCGGCAAGACGGGCTGGGCCTTCCCTCGGACACGCGTGACACGCGCTCGCTGGGGCACTCCAAGGACGTGTCGCTGCTGCACTACCACCGCGGCGACCGCGGCGCGGCGTCGGCCGGCCGCTCGGCCCTTGGCTCGGCCCTCACGCATTCGCACCACGTGGCCGACTCGGTCGCCTTGTAGGCAGCAAGCAGCTTGCCCTGTACCCCAGTTGCGCATCGCCGAAAGGGAATTGATGAACGTTTGGTGTTAGCATACTGACAGTTGCGAATTGTATCGCTGCAAGCTTCAGTCCTACTCGCGTACCGACAGCACAGCGGAACTCGGTACTCTGTAATTGCTGCTTGAAGCTCATTTCGCTGGATCTCAAATCTTTATGTACTTAGGAATGTGTAACTTATTTATTGTGTGAATCAGTCGACAAATTTAATATTTTTGCAGGGACGACTTAAATCAGGATTTTACATTTAAGATTAACAGAGTGATGTAGTTCTATCCTGATCAGTATTTTGCATCTATTGGCCTACATTAGGTTGGTGTAATGAGGGCATACTCCTGCTCCATTTGTAGTGAATGCCCACTGAATGTTAGTCTATAAGGCCTGTGGAATGGTGAGTGTCTGCATTATTCCATTTATGTGATTGTCAGAGATTGGTAGTATTGTAAGTCTCCTAGTCAAATTTTGTAAAATTGCATTGCTTTTGTGCCAATAAACTTTGTAAGTTACAATTGAAATATCATATGACAAGGTAAAATAACACATCGAGGTTACTGGAGAGTACATTATTATTTAATGGTATCCATAGGAGTTGATGACAGCCGTGTCTTTAGCAGCTAGGGGCTCGATACGCTTGCCAGCCTCAGCGGTGAATTTCTGAAAAGAAGAAGAATGCATCATTAATTTTCGACTGGGGTAGAGCTCATTTTGGGTGTGAGGACAACACAAACTAGGGCACCTCATTTAAGATTAATTTTCATTGGAATCAAATAATGTAGGTAAGATAAAGATAATCATCCGTGCTGGATATGGGGTAATAAAGTTGACATAATAACACCACTAACATTCAGCTTCAATGAAATAAACTTCAAGCAACTGAATGGACAGTTAGGATAATGATCTCCCATCAAGGCATCTCATCAAAATTTTTGTTTCATCCAACTCAAATAATGTAGGTAAGAAATATGATAATCACAGACACCAAAATACAAGAAGAAAGAATCCAAAGAAATAACAAAACAACCATGGAAAAATATCTCTGGTATAAGGTACCTTGATAAAATTAATGTTCAGTAAACTCAAATATAAAGTAGCATACTGCATTATGGTGACATGCACTTATCAGACCAACAAAATTCTTCATAAATTCAGACGCAAATTACCCTTTACTTAAATTTCATCATTAAGTGCCACCAATCTCTAGTCAATGGTACCTTGTTAATAAAAATATTTCATTCGAAAAAGCACACTGTACTACATAACTGTGACAGCACTTATCAGACAAGCAAAAACTCTTCATAAGTTCAGACGCAAATTACCCAATAAAGAAATGTCATCACTGTGTGCTTTAAAAACAGATGTTTCACTATGCTAAGGAAATCATAGTGAGGTAAATTTAAAGCAAACAAGAACTCATCTAAGGCATCTCATCGAAATATTTGTTTCACTTGAATCAAATAATGTAGGTAAGAAAATTTATAATCACTGATGCCCCAACACAATTAATGTGACATTACAACAGATCATACATTGACAGTACAGCAGATTAGTTAGTATTAATTCTGATATGAGGAAGGGACGCTGTCATAATAACTGCGGAACCAAACTTACCCTCATGATGTTCTTCTTACGAATGTTCACAACAGCCTTCAGCTTACGCTTAGATTCAAGAGCACGTACGATGTGTCCATACTTCCAGCCAACCTCATGTGAAAGACGGCCAACAGCGCAGTACTGCAAAGCGGGATGAAAAAAAAAAACAGTTAACAGGTGTCACAACAGTGCAAACAGCAGGATGTCAGTAGCAATAGGACAATACCTTCTGGCCTGGCTTCAGACACAGGATCCTAAGAGCAGAGGGGACAACAACACGGTTCCTCTGGTCGTAGGGGTTGGGGATACCTTCATAACAGAAGAGTCTGTGGGAAGCCCTAGCACCTCTGGATGTGTAGTGGGGCAGCATACCTGAAAAAAAAAAAAAAAAAGGTGGTCAATAAGAGAAACAATCAGAATTTTTTCATTTCAAGCTACGCTTTGCTCCTCATAAAGAAAACAGTTTCATAGGGATCAAATAATGTAGGTAAGATGAAGTAATCATAGGTAGTCTAACAATCTGCAAGATTGGATAAAAGAAAAACAAGATTAGATAAAATGAAAACAAGACATACCTCTAACTGTCCTCCAGAAAATTTCTCTGGGGGCACGGTAGTGGAAAGGACCTCGAGCAGGGTTGACATTACAACGCTTGCGCAGGAACGAAAGGTACTTCAGCTTAGCCCTGCAACATAAGAGTTAGAATTAAACCACATGACAACTGACAGTCCACACAGTGGGAGATGGCACAAAAAGTGTAACAAACTTTACAAAATTGAAACACAATTTACCTGAAGAAGTTTCCGGACATGTTCATCTGCTCGCAGCGGACAACAACCACCTTACGACCCAGGAGGAGCTGCTTGGCCACCACAGCCGCCAAGCGGCCGAGGAGATGGCCTTTGCCATCTATGACTAATTCCTGCAACACAGAAAATGAATGGTAAATATCTCTTAGCAGAGGAATATGCTTAAATTGGGTGACAAGCTGGGCACAATCAGACAACAAACGAACTCTTCATGAATTCAGACGCAAATTACCCAATAGTTAAATGTCATCATTGAGTGCTATAAGAGTGAATAAGTGTAAGAAACCACGTCAAGTAAAGTTGAAGTAAGATGTCACAGTGATTCTACATTATAATGCCAAACTTGGCCAGGTTAAGATATAATTAGGAGATACGCAATGTACTAAAACACAGCATTGAGTTCAGCAGAAGTACAAAACCAGGAAACAATAAAATTGCACATTATCAGATAAACAAGCCCCAACAATGAGTCAAACGCAAATTACGCAACGAAACATTCATGGACAGCACATTTACAAAGGTTCCAATCGAGGCAGTGTGCTAGCTCAAAACTCGCACAAATCCCATAACCTAGCACATACACACGACAGTAAACGGGCAACTTAACCTCACATTTATACGAGACTTGGCAGGGCAGTCTTGCAAAGTTTGAACAGAACGACACGCGAGCGTACCAGGGAAATTAAATTAAAGGACATTTAAGACGAGGTAAGTTACAAGAACATAGAAAAGAACAGGAGGAATCTAAAAGTGTCAAATGTGCCAAGGCCCCAAGCCAAAACAGGCTGGCGTCCCATGCCGCATCTCAATGGAAGAACCAACTAAAGGCAAGGATTCAATACAGTAGGGTAAGTGGTACGACAATTTAAATTTCTTCATCTAAAAGAACTGACTCAAGCAAACTATACACTGCAAACTTCATAATTCGAGACGACGCTGTTGCACACGTGTTACGCGAAAGAAACACACAAGTCCGGTTCGAAATAGCAAACCTGATGGACGGCTTGGACCCGCAAGGAACATATGTAATTGACTACGATAAAGAACACGGAAGTCCAGAGAAGTCCATTCCTAAGTCAAATCTTGCATTTAACGAACAGATGTATAAATATTTTCACATCATACCTTCTGTGCCCGGCGCGACATTTTCCTCCCTTAGACCTGAACCGGAAAAGGGGGTCCACGCCGGATATTCACGAATGTAAGATTGCCAACAGTGTGGCGACGAAACGGAGGAGGATCGCCAGGCTGGCCAACTGCACGCCACTGCACTGCACGCGGAACGAACGCGAAGCTCTCTTTTAGCCAGCAAACAAAGAAGACGAAAAAGAAGGTGTAGTGTCGTCTGTCGTCTGTTGTCGGTCTCTCTCTGTCGTCAGTAACCGTTGATCTGCCCTGTCGTTTTCCAGGTATGTATTTACTGTAGCAAATTTCGTCACGTCAAGAAAGTGACCAACAGGTAAAGAATTTGTGAGATTGTTATCCCTCTAGTCTACTGAGAGGTGCGTTTGTTTCCAATTCCTATTTTATTGTTCGAAGTATCTCACTTTAATTGTCTTAGGTGCAACTATCTTGAAACACCCCTTGACATTTGACGTATATAATGCTTAAGTTAAAAACTTAGGTGGTTGATTTCAGATTTGTTGCCAAACATAGCCACACACACTTCGCTAGTCCCTCGTATCTTACAATTTCCATGTACCTATGTTGTTGCTCAACCTTCTATTTTGTATTGATTAAGGATCACAACAAGTCCTGTGGTTATAATTTATCATGTTTAATATTGAAATTTGCTGTTGCATTGCTGTTACATCATTATTTTTTACACTTTGCTTTCTCTTATGATCTCAAGTGTGCCTATTTTGTTTGTGTAGCTTGAGCGGGGTGGCACTCTTACAATGGAGACGAATGGCAGTGAGCAGGAGTTTTCAATGGACATTGGAAAGGAACAAGAGAGTGACACTTTACTGGAAGGACAGATAATTAACTCTTCCGACGGCCTCCCAAACATCCATCCAAATTTTTCTGAGCTTGAACTCCATCCTATTGTCAGTGATGAAAGACCAAATGATGGTGAAGTACGGAGCCTTGATGAGCTCATTCATGATGAAGACTTACCTACCTCACTAATTGTCACAAATTTAGGCAGCTCTGTGTTTGAAAATGAAGATCAGAAGGTAATTACTTGATTTTCCTCAAGTTACCTCTTTTCATTCATGCATTCAGCTCACCTTTTACATCATCTGGGTTTCTTGCATGTTGCAGATTCAACTTGAGGCAATGTTTCGTGCATTTGGCGAACCTGCCACATTCCAATTTTTCCGTAGCTTCAAAAGGCTCAGGGTTAATTACGGATGCCCAGCATCAGCTGCTAAGGCTCGGATTCAACTGCATCAAACTCAATTTGGGGACAGAATTATTAACTGTTACTTTGCTCAGGTGAGTTAAAGCTACCGATGAACCAGTTCTTCATGCAATAGAAAGTAACTCATAGATGGACTTTTGTAAGATATTAGTTCTTAACTATTTAATTTAAAAAAAACTTTTTAATTTTCTAGACTGTGTCACCAGTTGATATCGAAGATCAGAGACTCCAACTCCCACCACTGACCAAACAGTTCCTCATATCACCTCCAGCATCGCCTCCTGTAGGCTGGGAGCCTCACACTGAGGCTGAACCTCTCGTCAATTACGATTTACTTGCTGCCATATCAAGACTTACCCCAGGTAACCAAGCTGTATGCTCTCATGGATTGAATTTAATCACGTTAATTACCAGCATTTAAGACAACTTGGTGTACAGCTACTGCTAGAGGTGGAAAGAAAGCCTATTATTGCCAACATGTTCAGTATGTATCTGTGCCTGATTTTGAAAAAATATGTTTCGTCTTTTTGTTGTAGGAGATTCATATCAACTGCACGCGCCATCGGAGCATCACCCTGGAATAGTTGTTCATGTTTGTGAAGAGGAATCTCATTATAAACCAGAAAATCAAACCCCTCTGAAAGGCAGGATACCCCAAACACGCTGCCCAGATCATAATTGAGAAAATTTTATTACAGTTAAGTTGAAATGCCTTACGTGATCTACTCTCTGCAAATTATCTTATAAGATAGTTGCACCTCTTTCAGTAAAAATATGTTATCAAACAGCTTTTGATCAAATATGAACCTTCTTTTTCCAACTTTATCTATGGTTCACATATCAAAATCAAATTTTGCTTTGCAATTTCAAGTACTGTACTGTAAATAATCAAATGGTGCCCAAAGCAACGCAGTCCTAGACACTCCTTAGAATCATGATAAGAACTCAGGACACACCTTAGTGTTGACTCCCTGTAAAAATATTGTTTTGCCTGATGAATGTAAATATGCAGTGTGGGTTTTCTCTCAGCTTGCTTTGTTTCTTGTCAGTTATAGATAGGATAAGATTTTATTCATTAAATTGTTGACTATATCATCAGAGGTTTTGTTGCAGGTTGGGAAGTGAAGAGTGTTCCGTGGTTGAAGGTGTGACATCATAGAAAATAATTAGGGCTCTTACTCTTCCATTTACAGTACTTCTATATCTTTGTTGGGATAGCCTGACAAATTATCACTATCCTGTAAGAAATGTTGCATTTGCATACTCAATGTGGGGATGAGCCCTTGCCAAAAGAAAACAAAATTGTCAAGTATCCTTTAAAGGAAAAATAATTAGGGAGACTTTATGTGTGCACTGCTGGTTCTGTGTATTTTAGATTAATCCCTATTCCCCCACTATTGTATTTGTTTCCTTAATCCTGCACAAAGCTGCTTACTCATATTTGAATTTTACAGTGAATATATATTTTCTTCCTCTTTAGTTTTGTTGAGGTAGTGGTGTTCTTTGTATTAGAGTAGCATTGGAGTTATGTACCTATTAATGCATCACTGGCCTTGGGGCAAAAGTTTGCCTGTGATTAGTGTATTTTTGTGAATATATTCCAAGATGTTTAAAATGAATAATAATGTAACTATGTATAGAGAAGAAAGATATAATTGTATTTGTACAGTGCTCAGTTTGTATCAGAAGACCAACCTAAAATGAGTAATATGGTAATGCTTTTTTTATTTAACCTGATTTTACATAGCTACAATCAAGTACACTACCTATGGTGTTTTTTTAAATTATGTGTTGTTTGTTTTAGTTCCTTTTCTTTCCAGAGTACTCTCAGAGCACAGAGAAATGAAAGCCAGAAGAACCACACCAATTACTTTTAGAGTTGTTTTAAGTGTTGTTTTCCCATGCATCAGATGTCTCAGGAGAAAAAAAGCTAAACTTATTCAACTTCATCTCGTTTTCAATGATTTTCACTTGAGCTTCAATTGGAAGAAATGCTTCACTGACTGAAAACTCTGGCAATAAATCCCCCCTTATTGGCTTGTGGAAAGAGAAAGATTTCCTTTCCAAGAGTAACTAGTGAAATTATATTTTTGGGAATGAAATGTTTTCCTTCTCCACTTTCAAAGCAAAGCGTTTTGTGTATGTTAAGTAAAATTTAAATGTCTCAAATTTTAGCCTTGGGAACCTTTTTCACATCTCTGAAATCTCAGCTTATGGAATGTTTGTTCACCTTGTTCAGTAACATTTTATCTTGAGCATTTCTTTAAACATGCTGTGTTTAAATTAATTAGTGTATGAAATGTCTATAACATATATTTAAGGTAATGGCTGTGCTGTGCAATGATGTTTATCTCATATTTCCTATAGGACTTTAGCTGTGGCAATATGCATTTGGTAGCTATCAATGATTTTACCTACTACTCCTCTAGTCGCTTTATGCTCACCCTTGGTGGCGGGAGAAGCTGTATGGTTTTAACAAACTTAAAACAATTGGTAATCAATATCTGCCTAATGTGCATCTTTGCTGTCATGTATTTCACATGTCACCTTTTACTGTATGTTCAAGTTACCTCAGTTAGGTTGTCAAATGTATTTTCTTTAATTCATATAGTAAACATATGCTTCATTTATTTGAATGTTTTGAAGTGTTCCTGTTCCTATTTGAGATTTGGTTTATGACCTGAAATAGATTTTATTCTTTCTCATGGTGTCTACTCATTTTTCCTAAAAAAAAATCCCTTTAATTTAAATAATGTCCTTTCAGCCAGCTGGACTTCAGCCACAGGCTCCCTCAGTAATAGTGTTGAAAACCTGTACAGTTAAGAGGATGAGGATTTGAAAAAAGAAGCGCATTGCGAGTAAACTTTGAGCAAAAATAGCTGTTAAATAATTCACTCTATGTACACAGTAACTTCAGTCATTACAGTCCATAAAATAAATACACAATAAGTAGGCAGTTCTAAATGAATCTGTACATACAAAAATATTCTAAAATTTAGAATTTTTAAAAAGGAAATCAGCAATAACAAAATACACAAGTGTGCATTAAGTACAACAACATACACATGTACAACAGAGATTGTATTCTTTTCACATTAAACTTAAGCTAAAATGACTGAGAAGGCATTGCTTGGAAAACAAATTCACTGAGCTCTTTTGTTGTTCCAAATTACAAGTACCTTGTATGATGATGATCGATTCAGATACCAAAACTAAAGGTTTGCCCTAAAATTTATAACTTTTTTCTTCAAAAGATCAACAAAGTAATAAAATGGTTTGTAAATTTTTAGGATAAAATTAATGACATTTTTATTATTTTACTAACATGATGGCGGACTTTCAAGTTTCTAGCGGCGACGCCTTCAAACCAATACACAAGAATTGGACACATGTGAGTAAAAACAAAAACAGGAAAACCATCATAAAGCCAACAAGCAATTTTCACAAATAATCAACTTCTATGACTATGACGAATACAGCTGTGCACATTGTCTTTGTTTCAACCTAATGACATTAAGATATTTATCCTCCCTCAGATCTTTAACTCCGCAGAAATCAATTGTCAGGTAGCAATCAATGAAATAGCCTACACATTCTGTATCAGCAAGGCGATCCACAAGTTTAAACACTCATGTCCTCACATTTGGGAACCTTTGGGAATGAAAGGTTCCATTGTTAAACACACACTTTACAGAAATTGTTAGGTGGAACATGATGGAACAGCAACTTGCCCAAAGTTGACCAACAATGATGGAGTTTGAAGTGAGACAAAAGGCAATTAATAAGTGTTCCATTCAATGACATGATTAATATGATTCAGATATGAGGATGGCAATAATGTTTGACATTTTCCAGTATCTTTCAATCAGCTCTCATTGATCTCACATATCAAATCTAATGTGGGATTAGTATAAAAAATTAATTGCCACAGGTTTTAGTTGGTGGTTTCTAATCACAGGCCATACCTTTTGACTTGGCTCTCTGCAGTGCCAATAGACTTACAGGGTTTGTGGAGACCTGCTCCTAACAACATGATTGAACAAACGTTTTCTCACAGAAACACAAACAATCTTATCCATTGATCTAGTATATTTTACAAACTATACTTAAACAATTAAAACAAAGGGGCAAATTTACATTAAAACAATTCGTTATGATAGAAGATGCAGATAATATCATTGTATGTAATCAAAAACTTGGCGCAGCAAAATGTTAGAAAGTTGTTTGAAACTGTCATGGAAACAAGCTGCAAACAACATTTCTCCAAATAAATTACTCCAGGGGGGTGTCTAATGTTAACTACAATAGAGGAGACTGAGAAGGAAAAAAAGAAGGGTCTTAAAGTCGAAAGTCTTATAAGGTATGTGAGCTGCATTGGACACATCTTTAATTAAAATTAGTAGTGGACGGATTACAGCACAAGTGGACAAGGATTTTCTTTAACTTTTAAGGAACTCTATAAAGTTGAAAATGGATTCAATCACTTAGTAATGAGTACACATTGTACTCGTATGTGAATGCACTCTCAGAAATGGAGCATGGCCAAGTATTTGGTTAAATAAGAAAATATTCAACTAACAGAACACACAAAAATACATCTAGAACAATGTCTAGCTTTAAGCCATATAAATAAAAGTATTAATATCATCTTCATCCCGACGCATATATTTATGTTCAATTAGCCATTCGATTTGTTCTTTGATCATCTTTTTACTAGGAAGGAACATATTCTTTAAAATATCAACAAGTTCAGTTTGAAGTTGAGCATTACTCATTTTTTTCCTCATTTTCAAAATTTTAATAATGGCTTCCTGCAAAAGACCAAATGGGAGTTACTGATCTGAGACACTTGCAAGGTGAGAACTCGAAATAGTAACTCAAATTAATTATATAAACGAATAAGCACATGATAGGCCAACACTTACCTGCACTCGCAATATTCTAAGTTGAACGATGCTTTCATTGTCTTCCTCTTTGCTTCTTTCTGTTGAAAGTTGAAGTCTTCCGACAAGGTTAATCTTCCCTCGTTTTTGCATCTTCCCATTTTTGCTGCATTGGCAGAAAATATGAGGTTATTAAACATGAATTAATGATACTTTCCACACGAAACAACATTATACATACACTAGAGCAAACTCTTGATTAACCCAAAATTGTGTGTCTTCAAGAAAATCTTTGGGGGATTGAGCTTCAGGTCTATACAAAAGAACTTGTCGCCTAATCTTGGGGAAAGCAACAAGAGACCATAGAGTCCGTCTTAGCTCTGGATCTGGGAGCTCTGTTGCAAGTCTAAGATTCTCATATGAAATACGATCTTGAGGTCTCTGATTCCAAGCAAATAATACAGCCATTTGGAATGTGGTGACATCAACATCATAACGTCCTATGGAATTTGCAAAGGTTATCTGCAATACAACAATAAATTAGCAAATTAGTTGATATCATGTAAAGCAAAACCAAGACAAGCTAAAGAACAAGAATGTTGTCAGGAAAATCCCTAATTAAACATACAGTGCCATTAGACATATGATGGTACCACTGGAGCTTCCTGCCACTATGTTTCTTCTTGTAAAAGTCCTCTACTTCTGGAATATAGTCTTCTAGTTCCATAGGAAGTGAAACCGTGACTCGCTCGCTGCCTCGGGCCCACGCACCCGCATTTAAGATTTTTATATTAATGGAATCTGGCAAACAGAGTGTGTTAAATTAATGATCATTTCATAAGATGAATAAATGACAAGAAAGGAACAACGACAGGTTGGTTGAACAATATATACCAGCTATGCTTCCTCTTGTTGATCTACATTGTTCTTTGAATTGTTGATTCAGATCTTCACTAACTTTAACATCTTGGAACATTCTTGCAAGTTTGTTGACGTAATCAGCTGGCATACCAACTTCCCGCAACCTGAAAATAATTTATGTTCAATTTTGTAACAATCAAAACAAATTTCAGTTAAGTTTTTTTCCTTTAATTTCTTGGTTTGCTTTGCAAGTAATTACCATTCCACCATGTTTTCTTCTTTTTCAGAATCTGCAGATGTGTCTAAAATCAATCTCCTTGTCAGATGTGCTTTGTGATAACGCATGAAAACATCCTTATTTTGTACGTATTTTAATACAAGGAGCTGAAATTGGAATGCAAAATTTGACATTAGACCACAGAATGTTGTCACAATAGCAGGTTTACTAGTAACAGTACATACCACATCTCTAAGTTTGCTCTCTATTTCATCTGATGTAAGCTTCTTACTTAATGGTGTTTTTCTTAGGAGCATATCACAGTAGTTGGCCAATAATTCTGGGCACTTTGATTCTGGTGTGCACTTTACACCAGCATTCTGAAATATTTAATTTTATTTATAAAAACGAGAACATTAATATGACAGAACCTGTACTTTGCATTTGTTCAATTACAGCAAGTATCAAACCTGTTTGCTAGGAAGTTCAAGTCGAAAAACTTGAGTGTCATTGACAACTTGCTTGTAGGCTTTGTCTCTGGCTGTCAAAAACCTAGGATCATCACTAAATGCATCCTTTACTAGAAGGCTGAACTGGTTGAAAAGCTGAAGCAATCTTTCTACATATTTCTCTGAGTCCTGACATAGGAAAAAACATAACAGAAATAAATCAAAATGATAAATTTCAAACGAGTTTCAGTAATTATGCTATACAAGATTTATTTACCTGTGTAATGATATCAGCAGAGGCTAACATGTCATCAAGGCCTGCTTGCAATATGTGATCAACTAAGTCATCAAGCATGGGAGAAATGCCATCGGGTACGCGGTCCATTAGCTTGAACATTAACTGCAACTCTGGAGGATGAAATGGAGTAATGTAAAGACATAGTGCACAATAATTATCATTAGATAGCAATTGATAACACTTCATCCACTTACTGTCTGTTTCATTGGCTTTTATCATGCCTGCACATTCAGCAAGAATAGTATTCTTGAAAGCAGTAACTAAAACATTAACACAGCACTCGGTGAGCTAGAATTGAAAAACAAAGCCACAGTGAGATCTTAACAATATTCAGCACGTAGTTTCTTTCTTGCACATACTATGCACACAAAAGTTTATTAGAGAAGTCTTACCAACTGCACTGAACCGCTGCAAGATTCAAGATACTTGTGTGCCCTAAGTTCTTCCTCTCTCAACTTTGCATCAGCATATCTCATGTAGTTTTGAACACCATTGGCATGCAAATATTGAGGAGCTTTCATTTTGTAAAATGCTTCTGTGGCCTCCATGTATGCCTTCTCAAAATTATCTCTATATATTTGTAATTTATCTTTAGGATTGGAGCACAGGTTTACTGCAAAAGATAAGTTGGATTTGTGGTGAACATGAGAAAAAGGCTGTGGCACAAGTCGAGTAACAACGAACTAATTTCTGCATGTATAGGTTACCATAAGATTCTCTGACTCCAATGACGAGTTGCGAATCAAAAGCTTCACCAGCTCGTTCTGCATGTACTAGTTTCATGGCAGAGTCTTGAAGACGTTGTTTAATATCTGAGAAAATACTTTCATTCCAGCTGTCTAACATAAGCTGAAAAAGAAATTATACCATTGGAAAAAACAAGATACAAATTTTAACTTTGAAGCATTATTCTATAACAATATTTAATAAGTATAGGTGGATCTAAGAGCAAAAAAAGACAGAAAAAGAAATCACCTTGCGCACAATGCTAGTCTCTGAAGTTGCCTTGAAACTTGAAGCAGTTTTGTAACCAACTAGTGATGCCTCAAGCTGTCGAAATGGGGTGGGTAAATAGTTGCACTGTGTAAAAAATTTCCTCCATTCTGCAATGTAAGCCTTAAGAAGTGCTTGGTCTTCTTGATGAGACATGACCCTCTACAAATGAAAAAATTTATTTCAAATTAATAAAGCAAGAAATCAGATGGGACTGCAGAAAATCGAGACAAAAACTTCGTAGAGGTTGAGTAGCACTTGACACGTAGAACTGAGTGCTTATTTTTAAGAAACAAAATAAGAAAGTTACTGACCACTTGAGCCTTCTTAATAAACTCCATAATATCATCTGTGAGGGCATCACGAACTTTGACAGCTCCTTTTTCATCCCACAGACAAACTTGATGAACATTGTAAAACAAATCTTGCCATTCATTTTGTGTCACTGGTTCTTGCTGTAGAAGTTTGAGTACAATGGCTCTCATTGAAGGCCATTTGTCTTCAAAAGTGTGCTGCTGTCCTTTATCCTAGAAAGAGGAAAAGATCACAAACATGTCATGAGAAATGGGATGGTAGTAAGGTTCATTTATGCCATACTAGGAACACTGAGGGATGTTTTAAATCGTTTCGGCGAAATATTCGATGAAGTGATTGACTAAATCTCAAAATAATGGGACTAACTGGCTGGCAGTGCTAATAAACGAATGTAAACATGAAACTATTGTCACTGCTACCGGCTGAAGGTGAAATTAGTGGATTATTCAAACTGATATTGACCAGTTAAAATCGGCGTAGGTACTACAGGAGAAAAAAGATGACCGATTAAAAATTTAGTGCACACTCATTTTCATTTATTCACCGAGAAAACAGCTGAAATTTCAGCACTGTCATCAACTAACCTCTCCCACTTTGCACTTTGGAAACATTCAGGTTATAAATCAACGCTAAGGAAGGAAACGCGCATTCTGTCTACTCCTAGCAGGTATAGGAACCAAGGAATAGCTGAGAATACATAGGTACTCACTTTCAACATTCCAGTCATGACAAAACTCCTCTTTTAGGAGTTTACTTTCTGTGAGGTTGTTCGGCGGGCGGTTGGGTTTGGTTGGGTTCATGCGCTACTTGTTTATGGTTGCAGGCAGGCGGTGGACCGGGCACGCGGGGGGCGGGGAAGGGGGGGGGCTAACTGGGTTGGGAGATGAGTGACCTGGCTCGCGGCCCGCGGGAGTGACTCGAGGAAGGGGAGCAAAACAAAGGGATGGGAAGTAGCGAACAATGAGGTCCGAGGTGCCGGACAGTGCCGGGCCGTACACGCATACACTCCAAAAGCGGCCGGTCCGTCTGTGCCGCCGTGCCGGCTGTAGGCCCCAAAACATTTTCAATTAAGCACCTCGCCGGACGACTCACACTCATTGTCCCTGCTCGGCTCGGCTCGGCTCGGCTTGGCTTGGCTGGGGAAGCCCCAACCAGAGTCTCGCGAGCCGCGTTCACGGACGGCCTGCTGACCGATTCCGCAACGTCGCCTCGTCGCTCTGTCTCACTCGCACTCATTAAGCGCCCCGCAGGGGTGCGAGAGTAACAGAGCGATGGAGCACCCCTTCGTAGTGAGCCTGGGGGGGGGGGGGGCATATCTCTCGACGACGGCCGCACGTTTCTCTTGCACGACCCTGTTGGTCCTGAAGGGAGGCAGTACGCCGGACAATCCACCCACGTAGGCTAAGAGTGCGACATTACACACCCCTTCGGCCCCACCCAAGTACTACCATTCTCCCTTTAGCAGTGTACAGAGTGCGCATGCGGTTAGAAGAGGGGGGCACAACACATGCACTGACAACAAGTGTTCCAAGAACTGCTGTCGGGAGCTGTCCTCACCGCCGGATCACCTGATAGGCTGGCTGGCGCTGCTGGCGCTTGGCGCTTGCGGAAGCGCCGGAGCTCTTATGGGCGAGGGTGGGGAAGGGGGAGGGGAGGGGGAGGGGGCATTCGAAAAAAAGCCGCTGTCGTCGCTAGCCACGCGTGACATGACGCCGGACTGAATGGCGCGACAAAATAATAAAATAATAATCATAATAAAACCGGGAAAAGGGTCCTCCGCTTCGGCGTGTTGCCCGCTGGCAGACAAATTGCAAGCCAGCACCAAAACATGAGCACGGGAAGCCCGGAGCGGTGGGGGCGGCGTGCCTGCCGTGCCTGCCTCGCCGTGCCTGCCTAGCCGTTTTCATAAATGGAGACATCCTGAGGCGCCATGGGCAGTGGAAGCTGTGAACCGGCGCCGAGCACAGCCACACATCCCAACCATGCGCGCCTACCTCCGCTGCGCCGTCGTTGCCCTGCTGGTGAGTGTCTCAGGGAATGCCGTGGCCCATCGACGTCGGGCCGGTGAGACTGGAGCGACTAAACACCGTAAAATAAGGAAAAAGTCAAATCGACTCAAGTTTCAAGCTAAGAGACAGAGAAGTGTCTTCGCGCCGACCAGTGTACTGGCCGCGGTCGCCGATAGGACCGCTTCAAAAGTCGGAGTTTCCCACAAGCCAGCAATTCACTCAAGTGGGAGACCACGCAAAAGGAGTGCTTCGTACAGTCGGGCGACGGCGGGTCCGGGTCTCCGACGTCCATGACGTCAGAATGATGCACCCCCGTCGTGTTTGCAGGCCTGCGGGGCCGCGGTGTCCTCCACCTTCCTGGACGAGGCGGCGCTGTCCGAGCTCGCCGAGAGGGAGGGGTACGCCCTCACCCTGCACGCCGTCCACCGCGCCCGGAGGCAGGCCGACGACCAGGTACGACCGCCACCTCGTTCGGCCTTCACTAGCAGTTGGTTTGTGAAGCACCCCCTCTGGATCCGCGTTTGCGACACGTTTCACAGTGCCGCTGCCCGCCGCCGCCTCCGGAGGGCGACGAAGACATGCCGCCACCGCCGCCGCCGCCGCCGAGCCCTGAGGGCTCTTCCTCCGAGGAGGGTGGCCGGCCGCCGCGACCCCACGGACCCCCACGCGGATGCTGGCCGCCCCCGCCCGGCCCCTGGGGCCCCCACGGCCACCACCACCACCACCACCGCGGCGGCTTCGAGGTACGTCGGCGGCGTGCAGCCTGACACACCCACTGCTTGAGCAGGAAGGATGCAGAGCTCCATTTTGCGCGCAGGCCCACAACGCCCCCGCCTGCGAGCTGCGTCCTCTGTTCCGCGTCCCCGAGAAGTTCAACTTCACCGCCAGGGTGCAGTGCTTCGAGCGCTGGGAGCGCGAGCAGGCCAAGGAGCTGGGCATGGCGCCGGAGGACCGCATGGACGTCACCAGTGAGTGCACTCCTCGGCCCCGCGAGACCTCGCCACTGTTTCGACAAAAAGAACGCCCCTTCTCACACACTCGAATTCCTTTTCGCAGAGTACAAGCCGACCCAGCGCAAGTCGCTCATGTGGGACAAAGGGGTAAGCAGTTAGCAGTGCAGCGTGAAAATACAGCAACGGGATGTCACTTAAAATACGAGCGCCGCAGGAAACGATCGAACGTTAAAGTCTGGTTCACGACGTTGTTTTCAGTGTGACACGCAGTGCCACTTCTTGGAGCTCGAGCTGGTGAGTATACACTTTCGGCCGCAGGGTGTCTCTCCCTCTCCCTGCGCGAGTGGCCGAAGCAGCCTGTCGCTGTCTCTCTCGCACTCGCGGCGGCGTCGGGTGGGAGTGCGAGAGAGACAGTGGTGACGGACTTCCCTGCCGCAGCTGTCCGGCGAGGACGACGCGCTGGCCATCGACGCCGAGGCCGTGGCGGCCCTGCTCAAGGAGGAGGGCGACTCGTCGGACATCACCGCCGCCGTGGAGCAGGCCGTCAGCCAGTGCCTGCAGGCCGCGGCCGAGATGGTGCACTCCAAGCAGGTGTGCCGCACCGGCGCCGACGAGGTGCTGTTCTGCGTGCAGCGGACCCTGGACGAGGTGGGTGCAGCGCCGACTCAGCGTGCTGTGCGCTCAGCCAGAGTTAGAGGTTCGAACCGACGAACTCTCGCTGCTGCTGGGTACACTCTCGCTGACAAGTTGACAAGTACACTGTAAACTCGCTGCAAACGTTTCAGTGACCGAAACGTGCTTTGTTTGTTTCAGACGTGCCCTGGATCCAAGTGGATGGGACGTGAGTATAGCACACCCCCATAACCAGCGCTTTGAATTTCGGCCTATAGGGACCCTTGTAGAGAGATTTCTCCCGGTGATGCTGCTAATGATGATGATGGTGATGATGATGATGATGATGATGATGATGTGATGGTCCGCAGAGCGTTCCTGCGACGAGGTGGCCTCCGTCTCCTCCAAGCTCCGCGCGTGCCACATGCGTCGCATGATGCAGCACCCTCACCCCCCGCCGTTCTTCGACGGCCGCCGCGGCCCCCCGCCGCACTTCATGCGCCCCGGCGGCCCCGGCGGCCCCGGAGTGTGGCCGCCGCCGTCCGGGCCGGCCACCGTGGCGCAGCCCAACACCCTCCCCGGCGACGACTCCAAGAGCGACGCCTGAGCCGCGCGGGGAACTGCCGTCGCCTCGGGGCACTTCTGCCTCGAGAACCAGCGAACCTCCGCGCGAGCGCGAAAACAACGTGATAATACTGTGCCCATCATTTCGAGGACGACTTTGATTAAACAGTCCTCGACTTTAAAACAAACCTTTGCCTTATTTTGGGGACCCCATCGAAATTCGGTGCACCCCCGCCACCCGGTTGCCACGGCAACGCCAACCACATTATAGACCCAAAACGCTTTCTCTTTTCGACAATTTCATTCAAAATTCAGCGTAACCACTTACCAGTAACTTCAATGCGAGGGGGATAAGCCAGAGGTGACGGGGTGAGGATCAAAAATTTTAAGTCATCTTTGACGTAATATTTTATTTTAAGGTTCAAAGCTAGACTTTGGCGGCTCTGTCAAGCATAGGTTCGAGGTTGGACGTTCAACAGCCTAGTCAGTAAATGCCCACGGGGTGGATGTCCCTCTGTCCGCCAAGGGGCGTGGCAGGCGTGGCGCGACCACCGCGACGACCACCGCGGCGGCCACCATGGCGTCCAACGCGCACCGCGACATGTCCATGGACAGCGCCAAGGCGCGCCACCTGCAGGTCATCTGGAACAAGAAGGTGAAGGCGCTGGCCAGGCAGACGCGCTTCACCGAGGACGAGCTGCAGGCCCTGTGCCTCGTCTTCCACAAAATTTGCGAGACCTACGGTCAGTGCATGCCGTTCCCATTCATCTGACTTCGGCCTCTCGCTGATGGTCCATTACTTATCAGATTGCCGCTTTCCGTGATCGAGCGCGAATGATTTTGCGATACACAATTTACAGCAGTTTCTTGCCATGTTTTGACGAAGTGACTACACAGTTTTCGTGGGATCCTGTTTCGCCAGCATTCGGCCGCAACTATTTCACTGCACGGCACTCAGTCCCTTTTTTTTCTGCGCTCGTCCGCGCAGCTTTTTGCGAGGGGGAATTCACTCAGGTATTAGTCGGTTGTCGGGTGTGTAATTGGTCTGTAATACTGCCTGTATTAGGTAATAGTTGCGTAATGGCCGTAATTACTGGTAATAGTGGTATTTGCGTCGTATTAGCGCTGTAATTGGTGTAATAGGGTGTATTAGATGAGTAATTGGCACATTTTTTTAACGAAAAGTCTCCGTTGAAGCTCGCGACAGCTTCGGAGAGCCTCTCGGGAGAGACCGCGGTGGCTGATTATGTGCGTTTTAGACATATCCCATGCCGTGGAAGTGTCCTTCCCTCCGAAGGTAGGGTGGGGTGGGGGAGGCTGGAGTCGCGGTGAGACGAGCGTCACAAACCAAACCGCTAGCCTGGCTCTGGCTGCTTCCCATCAGTGGGTAACGCAATTTGCGTTTCTTTCTGCAAGAATTGTTGTAGTCCGGGATGAGTCCCGGACTAATAATGCATTCCGTCTTACTTTTTGCTGAAATATTGTTACTTCACGTGAGACTTATCTTCTGGTATCTATAATCATGGTGCCCAGAGGCACGTTGGATTTCTAACCTTGCCTTAGGCTCGGACATGCTTAGTCAGACCTCTTAATCATAGAACTCGAATAATATTTTTAGATGTTACTGCTTACTGAAATGCTTTCTTTTTTTATAAAATTAAATTTATTGTGGGTCGATGTGCTTTCTTAGGTTATGATGCCCTAAGTCGTAATTTATTTGTGCACAGACCCACACCTGTTGAAACGAATGCAACAAATCTGAGATTTTACAGTAATTTCAGGTAATGTAATTCAAGTAATGTAACTAGACAAATAATATTAAAAAATCACTTTAGGGCTGCGTAAAACATCCAGTGAAGTACCAAACACATGAGGTGTCACAGACTGCTAGTAAGATTTAAGGGGTAGGCAGAGAAGCTCAAAAGATTTTTTTATTCACTGCAAGGGAAGGCGCAACCAATATACGGAATTGCAAAAACTGATGTGATATCATTGCTGTTTTAAACTGCATCATACATGCAAACCGTCCACAATGAATCAAAAATTTCCTCTGCCTGTCAGCTTTGTTTACTGTGAATATTTCGCAATTTGTCCACCCGCAGCGCTACCGTCGCACGTAGATACTCTATGCCCTGATGCAAATAGTGACCCAAAGTAAAGGAAAATTCCCTCTTTGCACTGTAGTAGGGTGTATTTACTGTGCAATTGCCATGTATTATGGTTTATTTGCTGTGAAATTGCCATGAATTATGGTGTATTTGCTGTGTAATTGTCATGTATTATGGTGTATTTGCTGCGCAATGGGTGTATTATCAAGGTAATAGTCGTAATACCAAGGTAATGGCGTAATTGCAGGTAATGTCAAGGTAATAGCTGTAATACTTTCGGAAGGTAATAGTCGGTTGCCCATTTTCGGGAGTGAATTCCCCCTCGGCTTTTTGGTGCCGAACGGAAAAGTGAGTGATGGACGGCGCACTGAGTGCTGCTGGACGTGCCGGACAACTTCCGCTCGCGTGGCGTAGGCCCGCCGGCCCAGTCACTGTCGTCGCTCTGTCTCTCTCGCACCTGCACGGGCCGCCCCATGCGTGCGAGAGAGACAGACCGAGTCCGCGTGACGGTTCGGCACGTGTCGCACAGTGGGCCAGAAACCGGCGGAGGCGGCCAAAATTCTAGACGCGTTTTGAGCTCCAGAGTCGCTAAACAGGACTCGAACCGAACGTGTGACCCCACCAATGGATTCCTCGTACGGAGAGCAATCCATTGGTGGGGTTACACGGTCGGTTCGAGCACCATTTAGCGACTCTGGAGCTCAAAACGCGTCTAGAAATTTGGCCGCCTCCGCCGGTTTCTGGCCCACTGTGTGTCGTGCCCGCGTCGCCGCATCACCGTCCGCGCGTTGTGCAACGTCCCTCCGCGACCTAGCGTCGCTCTGTCTCTCTCGCACCCACACGGGCCGCCCCACGAGTGCGAGAGAGACGCTCTGAAGGCGTCTGGGCGCAGAGTGGTGGGGCAGCGGCATCACCAAGGACCGCGTGGACCGGCTGGACATCCAGGGCTTCCGCGACGGCATGAGCGCCCTCCTGGACATGGCGGGCACGGCGTCGCTGGACGCGCTCTACGCGGCCCAGGACCCCAACAACAAGCGCTACGTCACGGCCAGCCGCTGGATCAGGGCGCTGGACGCCGTGCAGGTGCACTGGAAGGGGGAGGAAGGGGTGGGAGGGGGTGGCGAAGGAGGAAGAGGGTGTTACAGTTACCATACTCTGATTGCGAACCAGCGCTCTGTATATGGTTTGCAACCAGAATGTGGTAAAACTTCGGCCCCTTTATCCACTTTTCTCCACCCCTTCAAACCACCCCAGCACCAGGATCCATTTCCCCATTTTCCTTGTCTAACCTCGGCGTCGCTCCGCGCTCCGCAGGGGAGCGACGAAGACAGGGCCAACCTGTGCTGGCGCGCCTACCTGCACGGCGAGGAGGGCGGCGCCACGCTCACCCGCGCCACCATGGCCAAGTACACCAAGAACATGTTCATCGACGTCGGGATCGATGACTTCAGCGGGTTCTGTAAGGTGTGCTTTTTTTTAGGGGTTCCCAAGAACCCCTATTACCGTTTCGACAAACATTGCTGCAATACCGCTCCCAAACTAAGGCGGCGAATCGCACTCCGTAACAAACGTGTTCTAATGGAAGGCCCAAAGAGTACCCACCCGTTGAGGGAGAACGATAAGCCGCCTTAGATTAGACGCAGTGGCTGCCTAAAGTCGGGCCAAACCACAATTATAACACTTTTGCCTGCAGGAGTTCGTGGACACCATACTCAAGGACACCGCGGCCGGCAAGGAGGGCTTCATGACGCACAAGCAGTACCTGAACCTGGTCGCCAAGTCGCCCCTGTTCACCGAGTTCCTGCTCGAGCTGCTGCCCTCCAGGGACGCCATGCGCACCTTCCTCGCCACCCTCAGCCCGCCGCCGCGCCCCCCGAGGGGAAGGAGGGCCTGAGCCTCTCCTCCCGAGATGTCAGATTCTCTTTAAAAAGCGGAAAGTTAAAAAGAAGTATTAACAGTTTTATTGCAGTTATCGTATTCTTACAAAAAGGCACTTCTCGTCCCTCCACACACACAAACATACACGCTCACAAAAAAAATCCAAACACACACACATTCCTTCATTACACTTACATACTCCTATCATTATTATTATTATTATTATTATATGTACAAGAGAGGCACTCAACAAAAACTAAAAAATACGATTTCAAGAAATCCTAGGAGTCACGAAGTCAATTTGATTATTGTGTAAGAGTGTGGAGAAAGAAAAGAAGTGGTGTTGTGAAGTTGTGGCTCAGGGGACTACCAATGGCAGTGGTACCAATGTGGTCGATGTGCCATCCGTCGAAATTTAAACTTGACAATAAATAGAAATCAAAATGCTGGAAAATTCAAAAAATTCCAATGCTAATGTATTCCGCAGTGTTCTGACAATGGAACATCTTTGAAGTCCATCATGATTAAAATGTTCTTAGCAGAAAGAAGTCAGTAAATTAATTTTCTCGGGTTGGCAACTATTTTCTCGGCGTCTGCGCCCTTGCGAAAATCGCGAAGCTGAAAGCGCCAGCAGTCGCGCATTAAAACTGCCCCTCCATTGTTGTGGACGTTGAATTGTTTGGCTTGTTTCAAAAGGCTATGGTTCTCTAGTCATGTTTTCTTCAATTCTGTGTAATAGTTCTCCCTTACAACGTATCAACACCACGACGGTTGGTTTGACAAACTTCATAAACTCGGGAGGGATGGTTTCGAAACGCGGGTGAGTCTTGTTCGAGGAACATGAGCACTGCAAGTCGCGAGGTGGAGCGAAGTGGTCCTAGTGCTAACTGAATCACAACAACAACACTGCGCATGTCCAAAAACACTCCAATCAAGAAGTATTATTGGATAGTTCTACCCGAAAAACTGCGTTCGAACCGGCACCAATTCTATTGTTGCATCTTGTCTACCTGCAGTCAAAGAAATTTTTCATTTCGAACGTTGCTTTTTCAGCTTTTGGAGTAAGCTGTACAGACCCAAAAAGAAGCTCCGCTATTGGTCCGCCCCGGCTCGGCTCCCCCCACTCCCTTTTTTTTCCTTTGACGAGTCGAGTTTTGCCATGGAAACGGCGATTTTGACAGCAAATTTCTCAAAATTGGCCACCAAATTTTTGACCAGATTTCAACATCAGAATCAGCGTTCAAAGTTCTACTAGTCTGCAAAATCTCATTAAAATCGTATAGAAAACTTCCGAAATGCATAAAGGGCCACACAAATCAAATCTCGAGCCGGCTGAGTCCTGGGTATACTATAAGGCTACTTCGTGCCTAAAAAAAACATAGTAATTGTAGAGTACCGTCTATGTTCGGCGTTGTTTAACGCCATGTCACTGTCACATGTGATTTGTCAACACAAATCGCCGAGCGATGTGCAAAAAAGGGCAGCCCTATTTCTTCTCGCCCTCGATTTTCACCTGCAGGTAGTCGCGGATCATGAAAGCCACCGAGGTAGGGTACAACCTGGAAAATGGCAACGCCTGAGTTAGAACCAGTTCCGGCGAAAATAAATTTTCAGAGGTAAGTTACAAAGTCAGCTGCACCGCCATATCATGGAGAATTTTCACCGTAATATGGAGAATCTTCACTGTAAGACACTTAGGGTGTGCAGGCAGATTGGCCAGGTAAGCAAACGACGAACTCGACGCACCTCATGAACCTGAAGAAGTGGAACATCCAGCCGGGCACGGACACCTCGGTCTCGTTCCTGCGCATGGCGGACACGATCTCGGCGCCCACCTCGGCGGGGTTCAGGATGGGCATGAAGCCGCCGAAGCGTACCGAGTGCGACTTGACGAGCCCCGTGTTGACCATGTAGGGGTAGATGGTGGTGAAGCGCACCTTGTCCACCAGGTCGGGCCGCAGGTCGTACTGCTCCACGGCCAGCGACTCCATGAAGCCGCGCACGGCGTACTTGGAGGCGCAGTAGGGCGCCAGGTTGGTGGTGCCGGCCTGACCGCACATGGAGGACACGGCGACCACGTGGCCGTGCTTGCGCTCCATCATGGAGGGCAGGAAGGCCTGCAGCAGCTGCGGAGCAGAGACACTGGCCTCAGCGGTCGCTTTCGTCGCTCCAACCCTATCCAACCCTCCACAAGCTACTGAATAAAAAGTGAACGCGGCGAGAGACGCACCCAGCAGTGGGCCAGCATGTTGATGTCGAAGATACGCTCGATCTCCTCCGGGGTGTGCTCCAGGAAGGGCTTGGTGGGCATGATGCCCGCGTTGTTCACCAGCACCGTCACCGGGCCCACCTCCTGCGTGATCTTCTTGGCCACGGCTAGCACCTCGTCACGGTTGGACACGTCACACCTGCGGGGCACAGACAATCAGTGTTGCGTAGACTTCCCGCGAGGCACCAGTGTCGGAATGGTTGCCGACCACAGCCTGCCTGGTGGCCTGCTCGACAGCGCTATGACGCGCCTTCGCGTGGCGGTGATAGGCAACCTTTCCAACTCGTGGCAGCCGAAGCGCCTGCAGGCTAGGCAGCCCACCGCACGCCGCCAGCCAGACCCTGTGGCCGGTGAAAGAGACTGGTGTGCACTCACTTGTAGGCCGCCGACTTGACGCCCATGCCCTTGATGTCCTTGGCGGTCTCGGCGGCACCCTTCTCGTTGATGTCCATGCACACCACCGTGGCGCCCAGCGACCCGTACTTGAGCGCCACCTCGCGGCCGATGCCGTGCCCGGCCCCCGTCACCTGCAACGCGAGCAACGTGAATCCGCGGACTCCTCCTCTGTGCTGACTGCAAGAATGCAAGGGAGCGGACGGACGGAAACAGACAGGGTTCCCTGTTTGAAGTGAACTTCAGGGAAGCGCCCGCCGGGTAGGCCACCACCCCAGCACGCAACGCGGCGCTGTGGAGACGGTAGCCTACCTCGCTACCCGCCAGGCGCTACGCTAACTACGGTTCAAGTTCAGTTGAACAGCTTGCCGCATTTCGCTACTCTACGTATCTAGTCGGACTGTTCCTCACCAGCACCACCTCGCCGGCCACCGACTTCTCCGGCGGCGGCACGAGGGTGAGGTAGACGCCGCGGAACACCTCGGCGTAGATGCGGACCTGCAGCCAGAGGACCTCCAGCACGGCCACCAGGACGCCGAAGATCTTGCCGGCCAGGCCGCTGCAACACGCACGAAACATGTGACCACTGTGTGGAAATCGGGGTTTTGTGTGACCTTTGGACGCCACCGCGTCCGACTTTTTCTCCCTCAAGGGGCTGTATTCTTTGACGCTCGGCGAGTACTTACCCCGTGGCTACTTCCGCCATCGTGAGTCCGCAGCAAGCAGTGAAAAGGTCTGAAACAGAGCAAAGACAGGCTAGAGTCAGATCACGGTTATTTTAATACTTTTTACTCTACTCCAAATAGAAAAAGCTCCCAGCACCTCATGCAAGCGTGGTCCATTATCTTGAAGGACGTGATTGGTTCTAGCTGCTAAAGCGACTCGAGACGAAATTTGAATACACTGTAAAAAATTCCGTACTTTTGTACGGAAGTGGTACAGAAAAATATAGTACGGAGGTACGGAGAAAAGTACGGAACGTTCCGTACTTGCTCCATATAAACCCATGTTTAATGTACGGCCAAAAAGTACGAACGTTCCGTAGTTGGCAAAGTACGGAACGGTCCCCAAAGGCCCAAATTTTTTTGACCAGACATTTTGGGTTTTCCCGTACTTTTTCCGTACTTTTTTCTCACAGTGTAGCAAAAATGTTGCGTCACTCGGCCGGTTGCAGCGAGTGGTGCACTGCACCGCACCTTGGCCGCTTGGCCGCGCCCTGCCCGGTCCGCGACTCTGAGACTCCGCGACCGCAACGCGCTGAACGCGCTGCAACGCCTCGTCACCGACACAAAGCAAAGCGAAGCAAAGCCACTTTGCATTTGCTCCAAAGAGAGACAAGGGCCAAGGGCACAGGCAGCGGCGGACTGATTCCGAGTCGTTTTCTGTCGCCCTCGCACTTTTCTTACTCAAGTTGTGAGTGTACTTTTCTTCCCCAACCTGCCCCTGGTACTTAAAAAAACACGCTTTTATTGAATGATTTGCAGATTTGCGAATGTGGGTGGTAACCCGCCAGAAGAAGGGGCTGTTCCTATTTCCTACGATTCAAAGTATTTTTCGGACGTTAGTCGCACTTGAGGTGCGAAGTTTCATTGTTGCATTGCGCCATACTTTGGTTTTACAGTGTGGCGTAGCGCAAAAAAGGGGGTTCCGTCACCACGGGGTCGTAAACACCGACCTGCCCATCCCATCTACTTGCGCAATAGCAGTGCAGATCCAGCTCGGGAAAGTTGAGGGGTGGGGGTGGGGGAGTTTTCCGGCAGATTCAGGAATGGACTTCGGTTGAAAGCAAGCGACGCAGCCGAGCTAAGCTGCGGCATGTGTTACAACAGACTAACAGACAAATGAAGGGAGGGCTGGAGCGCCACAAAAGGGCGTTCCAAGGGAAGACCACCTTTGCCGCACGCGACGCACTGACTCCGTACACACTGTTATAAACTAATTGGAGAATCCCGGAAAGTGCGTTCCGAAGCTCTGTCGCGATGGGTGCCGAGTGGTTCACACAGCCTTTCTAAAGGAACAAAAAACCGACTCGGAAGAACCGCCTTGTGACACACGCTTCGCGGTCGGTCTCCGTTGCTAAGGAACGCCTGACTCGAGTCTGCTCGGAAGAGATTTTTCAAGATTGGTCGATTTGACAGCGGGTACAAATAACATTTTAATTAACGCATCCAAAAAAAAATAAGTTGTCCTTACTCGCTGAAACGTTGGTTAGGGCCACTGATTTTTAAGCGTATCCACTAAAATGCCTGTATTGCCACGCAGCGTGGGTGTTGTCGCACCTGGGTCTTAAAGAGGGGGGGACGCCCCCTGACCCCGCCCCTGCTTCCGCCCCTGGCGTCTGTTTCGTTGTCGCTCCTTCTGCGCTCGCGTCTTCGCTTCCCAGTGTGCCCGCCTATTTTCGTCCCGTCATGAAAAACCAAACCCAAACCGAGCCTCGAAACGCGGCGCGCCCCGTCCACTCCGCCCGGCCGGTCGGCGGATACACCATAAAAGACAAAGAGGTAAAAATATTTCGGCTTTACTGCCCGCCACAAGGAAGCGCGGCTGCCGAAGCCTGACTGCTGTTGCTGTTCGCACCTACCACCGCCGGCGACCGAAAATTATTTTCGACCGGACAGTGTACCACCAGGCTCTAGAAAATTGCCGAGTGACTCAAAGAGTTCGTGAAACTTACATATCGACTGTACTCAATCGAATCCCCTTTGTCGCAGCACAATAAGTCGTGATCCAAAAACTGGAGCGTGGTCCAGAATAGCAACCGGACATTTTTCACAAAGCAATGGCTCATTTTGCTGGAGCAACAAGCGGCCACCTGTTCAGAATTGAGTCAAAATAGCCAAAAATAAACGAGCATCAGTCTGCGAAACTGTTTGCTTTGCACTAAACGCTTCCGATAGCTCCACTTCCTTATCGAGCGACATGGCAAGCTCTGCGGAAGTTGCGATAAGCCGGCCCGGCCTGCGCGACGGGGAGATATTTTCCCTGACCCACTCCCAGTGCACCACACGGGCCCAGATCCGAATGCCTCCAACCCAGACGAGCCAACAAAGTCAGTGGCCCTTCTTGTCCTTTGAGGAACCCTTCGGTGTGGTGGGGCCTGCTGGATACCGAATGCGGGCGCCCGACTGTGGAACTTTTGGTCACGTCAATTGATGACAAGGTTAATTTTCCAAGATATTGTTGTGACGCCCTTGCGCAAGTAAAGAAGAACAAATTTTCGCGGTGTACCGGCATTAAAAATCGCGTCGGCAAGTGCCGGGCCGGGTAAACAAACTGGGCGAATCCAGAGACGAGTTCAGAGGGGCGAAGTATGAAAAATCGCCTGCCTACAGAAGCAAAGTGTGACCTTCTGCCTGCATTGCAACCCCCTTCTCCCTCCCTGGATCCGCGCCTAGCTGGTAGCCGCAGTCAAAGGTTAGTTTGACGTTTGACCCGGGCTTCACTCACCTCGACAAGCTCTGCAGGCTGCCCTGCCGCTGGGGTGTCCACTGGAGTGTCCTCCGGGGTGCCTGCTGGGGTGTGGCTTGCAGTGTGGTGTCGGTGCCGCGGCCGTTCGGAACAGACTGCAGAAGACTAAAGACTGCGGAGGAGGCGTGCTTCGTTGCTTCGTCCGAGTGTCGCGGTGCTGCTGGCTCGCGCGGGAGCTCACTCGCTCACTCACTCGCGTCGCAGGCCCTACAGTGGGACGCTCAGAGGCACCACCCCGCCCCGCCCCGCCCCGCCCCGCCCAGACACGCACGGAAGGAGGGGACTTCCCTCCCCTTCCCTCCCCCTGAATGTCTCGTTGAGACTTCTATTACAGCCATGGTTCGGTCCGCGGCCCCGCGGCCCCGCCTCAAAGAAACAGACCGTGCCCGGCGATACTAGCGGGCCATGCGATGCCCCGCGACCAATTCGCTATCAGCGCCACTAGAAAATAATTCCAGTGTCGTCGCGACGGGATTACCTCGGCCTCAAGACCGTTTGGCGAGTGAAAATCGAAAGATGAGGTTATACGTCACCGCCGTCTGACTGCCGCTGCACGCAGTTTGCAACTTCGACGCGTGCTAATCTGCAACACGCAGTCGCGACGCTCTGTCCCACACGGGACGCGCCGAGAGCGCGAGCGAGACAGAGCGTCGCGCCTCCTTTTTATCGCGGTTTACGGCGGTTTTGGTGCCTCGGCACTCCAATTGGCACGGCAGCGCGTTCCTGCATCCGCGCTCTGCTTTCGTCGCTCTGTCTCTCTCGCACCCTCGCGCGACGCCCCGTGAGTGCGAGAGAGACAGAGCGACAGAGCTCAGCCCGCCGTCCCGCGCGTCGAGCAGCCGCCGTGTTGTCGACCTGTGCGACAGAGAGAGACGCATCATATCGGGGGCGTCGTCGCGCCGGGAAGCCCCCCCCCCCCTTTCCCTTCAATCCTTTTAGTCCTACTCCCGCCGCTCCTCCAAGCACTCCGCACAACTACACTGTACATACTGTTTTTCCGGAGTTTTTTTGCGGTGTTAGGTGCGGGTGCCCTCCCTGCTCATCGCTCTGTCCCTCATGTTCCGAGAGTCGTTTTAGGACCGCTTCGTCCCTCTCGCACACACACGGAGCGCCCTATGAGTGCGAGAGAGACAGAGGGGAACGGCCGGGCCCCACGTAGCGTGCTTGGCAGTGCTTGGCAGCCGTCCCCTCTCTGTCAAGGTCCACTGTCCTTTTCGTGCAGCAACCTTGAACGGCTAGCTCAAAGGAAAGGGGTGGGGGTTTGCTTCGATTGCATCCTTGTGTTTATGTGCGAAGACTCTCCGCGACGTGTCTGCCCGCTGGCCAGCTGCGCGCAGAGGGAAGGGGGAGGGGGGGGGGGGCTGATAAGGAGAAGGGTGGGGTAGTGGCGCCTGCTGTTGCCTGTCGCTCTGTCTCTCTCGCACCCCCGCGAGACGCTCCACGAGTGCGAGAGAGACAGAGCGACGAGACAGGCGGCTGAACAGTGCACCGCCGACACAGGCGGGCCCTACGGCGGCTCCGCCGCGGCTGTGCATACAAAGTGCGCGGGGTCGCGTCTCACGCGGTGGAAACAAACGTGACAAAAATGGCCTGAAAAAAAAATAACAAACTCGCGGAAGCACGCTTTACAGTGGCCCTTGCTTCCGTCCCGGACACCTGAGAGCGCGACCCCTTTCTGGAGCAGCCCTGACTGACGCACGGTTTGTGGAGAACCACAAACTGATGGGTTCACTCCGAAAAAATTTGAATCCAACGACAGCCGTAAATGGCACGCGTTGTAGACCCACATCGGCGAAGCCGACCGTCGGTCAGCTGTAAAATTTGGTTTTCTTTTTCCTCTTCCTGGTGGAGTGCCAATCATGCCCCCCCCCCCTCCCAGGAGATTGGCTCAAGTTATAAACGCCTCTCATAAACAGTGTAGTGGGACCTGGCCCCCGCCTCGCACAAAACTTAGTCATTTTGTTGTTCGTTTGTTGGTTTTTATGTGTGCTTTTAAGGTTGGTTCGAGTCGTCTGAGGTCTTGCCCGATCTTGACCTTCCCCTCTGTAAGTGAGGACGGCCCGCATTGTCCACCGCCCGATAGCACACGGAGGCAATCCACGCGGAAGCGTGGCTCCGAAGACGCTATCAGTGCAGTGCACCTCGGTCGTCTCGAACACTGTGGTCGACCAGCAGCAGGCTCTGTCTCTCTCGCACTCATGGAGCGCCTCGTTAAGGTGCGAGGGAGACGGACCGCCCTGCTCCGTAATGACCCTTTGACTGGCAGTCTTGGTTGCCGGCCGTTTGACCGGCATGGCCGGGCATGGCGTGCGGAGCGTGGCGCCTACACTAGTTGCCAGTCACGGACACCAAGACCGCGAAGCCGCGAGCACACTCCAGTGACAAGGCGAAAAGACTCTAGTATCAGCTGCGTGCGGTTTGCCAGGGCAGGGGCAGGGAATGGCCTTGAGCTCGGCCGGCGCGGCCCCAACCATGACCTTCCCTATCTCCCTCCATGGAGACCGGGCTCCAGACGGTCAAAGGGTGCTGCCCTGGTGGAAGCAGGAACAGCGGAGTCGGACCCAGAACGCCGCGGAGGTTTGTCCAGGCTCCTCCCATTCAACTTTATTGTCGTACTCGTAAAGTTCGGTGTCGGAAACAAACAATTAAGTAGCTGTAGTTGATGACCTTGCAGCTCGTAGCTAATATTGCTCACTGTCAGTTGGCGTGGGATTGTTTTAATTTTTCCAGTGTGGGGACTTTTGAAGGGATATCTCGGCTTTCCAGTTGAAATTCATCAAACTCCGCAGTGACTTCGCTGGGCAAATAGTCGTAAATTTGCGTTTAAAGAAAAGTTGGAATTTTGTTCCGCCCCGGGTTGCACGGAAGTATAAACCTTGGCGTGAGAAAGTCGGGAGGCCATTGTCTTCAAGATGACACGTCTGACATCCCTGCCACGCAATTAAATGTTTTCGCCTCCGCAGTGCGTACTGAGCAGCCCGGCCAGCCGGAAAGAAGCCCACTGGCCACAAACTCAAACCGACAAAAAAGAAAGAGACGGATCGCTAACCGGCTATCCAAGCGGCATGGTGGCGCCTTGCTAGTAGGCAACCCATCCTGCAGCGGGGTGCCACAACCAGGCAGCCCCTTCCGAGCAGGCAACCCATCGCACAGTGCACCGCCCAGCAAGCCGCGAGCGCCGAGGGTGTAGGCAACCAATGCAGCGGCATTGTGATTGCAGGGCGAGGCGCCGCCATCTCTCTCCCACCCGTGTTCCTGTAGTAAGAGGGACAGAGACAGAAGCCTCACACCGATGCGGCGCAAAACGCTGCGCACCGGGACCAAAGGTACGTTGGCGTTTTATCAGCGAAGTGAGGAAGAAAAGCAGCAAAGTGTACTATGTGGGGTAGCAACTAACTCAAGATGCGCTAGGCCGGTGAAATGTTAGAAACAAAACAAAAACGAAAATAAATTTCTACTATAAAGTTTAATGCAGTAAACAAAAATAATGACAAACTTAGAATGATTTGCAGAGCTATCACAGAGTAATTGATCAAACAATTGTTTGTTTTGATGAAATATCAAAGACGAAACAAATTCACATTCAGTAGTCTGTAGTGGTCCTGACGTAGTTGCCGCCGGAGGGCATGGTGACCCTGTCGACGCCCTTGGGGAACAGCTTGGGGATGTCGGCCTCCTTGACGCTGGGCAGGATCATGACCTTCTCGCCAGGGACCCAGTTGGCCGGGGTGGCGACGTAGGGCAGGCGGTCGGTGAGCTGCAGGGAGTCGATGACGCGCAGCATCTCACTGCAAACACACAGAAGCAACGTGAGTGGGCTGCAATGCGACCGAGTCGAGCGAGCAGACTGCAGCTAGGACACTTACTCGACGTTCCTGCCGGTGGACATGGGGTAGTGCATGGACAGCCTGAGCTTGTGGTCCGGGGAGATGATGTAGAGCGCGCGGACGGTGAGGGCCGTCTCGGGGTTGTCCTTCTGGTCCTCGTCGATCATGTCCAGCTTGACGGCCAGGTCGCGGCTCTCGTCGCCGATGATGGGGTAGGGGAAGTCGCCGGGGATGTCGCGGCAGTAGTCCTTGATGTCGTCCACCCAGTCCTGGTGGGACTTGAGCTTGTCGCAGGAGTGCGCCAGCAGCTTGACGTTGCGCTTCTCGAAGTGGGGCGAGTGCACGGCGATGCGGCCCAGCTCCGTGGTGCACACGGGCGTGAAGTCGGCGGGGTGCGAGAACAGCACCACCCACCTGCGGAACAAAAGCAGGTCGGTCAGCCCTTCTGTCTGACTGCATGCATCACCCTGGCAGCGCCCTGGCGGCGGGCAGCGCGGAGCGCTTTGCACTTACGATTTGCCCTGCCACTGGTAGAAGTCGATGGGGCCCTTGGTGGTGTTGGCCTTGAAGTTGGGCACGACCTGGTTGATCCTCATGTTGGCGGCGCGGAGTGCTTCTAGGGGGGGGGGGGGTGTGCTTCTAGTTGGCTGTGGCGGCGCTGGTGGGCGACTGATGCCTGGGCCAGATCTGGCTGCCTTCTTATACCCGGCCCGGCTCTTATCCGGGGTGCGGCCGTCGCCTGATCAGGCTGACGTCAGAGCGTCACGCGGCGCTCGGCGCGCCCGCTTCTGCGCGGTGGCGGCCAGCCCGCAGTGTACAGTAGAGCCCGCCAGATCTGACCCCCACTCCGCCCTGTTGCCAGGCAGCCCGGATAAGAAAGTTTCTGGTTGGATCTGGTTTCTGGTTCGAGCCGTTTTGATGACTGTTGCCGTGGGACCGTGTTGACAACACTTTTCTGGAAAATTCTTAGTCCGCATTTTTCGGTACCGTTGTTTTCTCTGGTATCACGGTTTCCCCGTGGTTACTTAAGAAGAAAAAGTTTGTCGAAACGGAAACAAATATGTAGAAATCGTGGTTTGACCTGACTTTAGGCAGCCACTGCGTCTAATCTAACGCGGCTAATCGTTCTCCCTCAACGGGTGGGTACTCTTTGGAACAACTTTCTTACGGAGTGCAATAAGCCTCCTTAGTTTGGGAGCGGTATTGCTGCTTTTCACGGAGCTCTACCTTATCGAAGAGGATACATGTTCACGTAAGACGTGCCTTTGCGCGTGACCCCCCAAATAGGAAGTTCAGAGCTATTCAAAGAACGCGAGTAAATTTTGCTCGAAGTAAATTCTTTGGCGTTTTGAAAAGTTTTGCAGACGCAGTTCACAAAGGTCGTGAGAATGAATGCTGAAGTGTTTTCTACACGGTGCCGGGACAGCTTCGAGTGGGACAAACACCGATAGTACAGTAGGCCGGCTTGCTGAACCCACCGAGTCAGACGAGGCCGCGCCCGCTCTTATCCGGGGTCCCTAGCAACTCGCCGAGTGGGGGCCAGATCTGGCCGCTTGCACGTGCCGCAACTGCGCAGTTCTGGTTCTGGTTGCGTCAGCCTGATCAGGCCATACCCCGGATAAGAGCCGGGCCGGGTATAAGAAGGCAGCCAGATCTGGCCCAGGCATCAGTCACCCACCAGTGCCACCACAACCAACCAGAAACACTCCGCGCCGCCAACATGAGGATCAACCAGGTCGTGCCCAACTTCAAGGCCAACACCACCAAGGGCCCCATCGACTTCTACCAGTGGCAGGGCAAATCGTAAGTGCAAAGCGCTCCGCGCTGCCCGCCGCCAGGGTGATGCATGCAGTCAGACAGAAGGGCTGACCGACCTGCTTTTGTTCCGCAGGTGGGTGGTGCTGTTCTCGCACCCCGCCGACTTCACGCCCGTGTGCACCACGGAGCTGGGCCGCATCGCCGTGCACTCGCCCCACTTCGAGAAGCGCAACGTCAAGCTGCTGGCGCACTCCTGCGACAAGCTCAAGTCCCACCAGGACTGGGTGGACGACATCAAGGACTACTGCCGCGACATCCCCGGCGACTTCCCCTACCCCATCATCGGCGACGAGAGCCGCGACCTGGCCGTCAAGCTGGACATGATCGACGAGGACCAGAAGGACAACCCCGAGACGGCCCTCACCGTCCGCGCGCTCTACATCATCTCCCCGGACCACAAGCTCAGGCTGTCCATGCACTACCCCATGTCCACCGGCAGGAACGTCGAGTAAGTGTCCTAGCTGCAGTCTGCTCGCTCGACTCGGTCGCATTGCAGCCCACTCACGTTGCTTCTGTGTGTTTGCAGTGAGATGCTGCGCGTCATCGACTCCCTGCAGCTCACCGACCGCCTGCCCTACGTCGCCACCCCGGCCAACTGGGTCCCTGGCGAGAAGGTCATGATCCTGCCCAGCGTCAAGGAGGCCGACATCCCCAAGCTGTTCCCCAAGGGCGTCGACAGGGTCACCATGCCCTCCGGCGGCAACTACGTCAGGACCACTACAGACTACCAAATACTGACAGCTGGAAAATCAAAGTTGTAAACACTGTCATCGTTTTTTTTTAAATTTTTTGTACATACATGTATATAAAGCTCTGTTATATTTGCACTATTTATTTCGTAATAAAATTTCTAAAATTCAATGATGGTTTTTATTATTATGCAGTCTTGTGTTTGCTGCTATTCACCCTTGGTTGAACCCTGAAACAGCGTGTCAACACGGCATTAACACGATCAATTTCAGAATCGATAGGACTGTTAAAGGATACCCTAACTTTTATGTATAATCATTTATTATATGCTAATTTTTAAATTTACTTATTTGTACTTACAAGTATTTACAGTTATTAACTACATATATTACAGTTACTCATGGAGGTCAGCGTGGTAAACATGGCAAATTTTCTATGGTCTTTAGCACACTTGCTTTCCATATTTTTTACTCCAAAAAGTCTTCAAAGCATCATAACTAGGAAGAATTTTAAGGCGTTGTAGAATTGATTACAGACATGAAAGAATGCTTCGTTACCAAATTTCTTCCGATACGCAAATAATTTCTTCCTGGATTTCACAATGCCTTTCTTTTTCTTTCTATTACAGAGCAATGCTTTGAAGACTCTTTAGAGTTTTGAGATCAGTATAATCAGGCTACCCTCCGGAAAAAAGTGATCATTTGATTGTAAATCTTGTCGGTGCCATGGTTTATTTGCACCAAAGAGGTACTTTAAGGGCAAAAACCCATCATTTTCAGGTGTATGAGGCTTATATTTAAATATAACGCTGGAGGCACTATGTTGAAGCTTAACAAGCCGCATCGAAAGTTCGTGTGTACGATTATTTTATTTTGATCACTACGATGCCTCGAGGCTTTGATGGACTAAAGAATCACTCAACATTTCTTTCCGGGGTGCCGAATGTTATTAAAACGGACCGGGCGACACGTCGCGACGGCCCCCTCAGAGAGTGAGCGCGCCCAAGAACTTAGTCATGGCCTGCAGCCGCTCGCTGGTGCTCTGCGTGTAGGTCGTCTCGGACACGAGGGACGACGTGAGCTCCATGAGGTCGCTGAGCGGCATCTGCTTCAGGTTGGGCATGCGGGCGACTTCGTCGATGAACTTGATGACTTCGTTGAGGGACGTGGACTCGTCCATGGACTGCGCCGCAAGGGTCGGGTGGAACATCTCGGGCTGCCTTTGCTTCGGCTGCCGGCTGCGCCACGGCTCCCGCCACACGTCGTTGGTCGTACGGATGTAGTTCTGGCCGGACGGGGTGTCCACGGTGTCCACGCCGCCGGGGAAGAGCGCCGGCAGGTCCTCGTCCTTGACGTGCGGGAGGATCATCAGCTGCTTCCCAGGCTGGAGCAAGGAGTGGGCGCTTAGTCACTGTTATGCCATGTTTTCCCTTAATAGTGTACCCAAGGAGAACAGGGATGAAAATGTGTAAATAAAAAGAACCCCCCAAGACGCCTGAAGGGTAGGCTTTCTGCTGGTCACCTGTGTCTTGGATGCCTACCCTCCAGGCGCTTATTCCCTTTGAAACGATGTTTTCACCTGATTAATCTGAGCAATATTCAGTAACCAACCCCACTGTATTTCTATCGGACTTCAAATCACTGCACGAAGGGGGACAACAATGCATTGTGACAGTTAGAAGCAAACATTGTGTGCAGAGATCACGCTATTTGCACTGATGCGGACGTACCTCCCAGTCACTGGGCGTGGCCACGCACTTTAATCTCGATGTCAGCTGGAGGGAGTCGATGACCCGTAGTATCTCCCTGGAAAAGCCAAACCGGCGTTACAGTGAGGTTTCCACGCGGAGGGTTTTAAGCGTGAACTTACTGAATGATGACTCAGATACGCACTCGACACTCCGCCCAGTGGAATTGGGGTACTGCATGGTGAGCTTGACCCTGCGGTCAGGCCCGATGATGTACAGGGACCTGACCGTCATGGCCATCTCCGGGTTGTCCTTCTGGTTCTCGTCGATCATGTCCAGCATGACGGCCAGCTCGCGTGACTCGTCCGCGATGATCGGATAGGGAAACTGCGTCGGCAAGGTCCGGCTAAACTTCTTCAAGTCCTGCAACCAAAAGAATTGCACTAAAAACAATTTATGTTTCAAGTTTAAGCGGTTTAAATGTTTCCAATGGTTTTAGTTCGGCCTCTTCGGACGTCCAAAATAACTGTGACTCATTATATGGTGGCTATCGAAAGTGCCAATCTAATTAGATTCTTATCAGAACACTGTACCTCGAGCCATGAGGTGTGTGACCGCAGTCGGTCGCAAGACAGGGCCAGGAGTTTGACACCGCGCTGCCAAAACTCGCAGTGACTTTCTGCCAACCGGCACAGCTCGGACGTGCATACTGGCGTGAAGTCGGCCGGGTGTGAGAAGAGAATGCACCATCTGAAAATAAAGTATCAAAATAAGCCGGGGATCAGGTTCCTACCAGGCAGGTCGAACTCGTGTCTCAAAATGTCATTTTGACGTCTTCAAATGCCTTTGTTTTTATTTCTTTTTGACCTGCCTGTTCTCGAGGTAGGGAAGGTGGGTGCCCTTCCCGCAGCTTTGTGTGCGTTAGATAGGGCCTCCCTTCCCGTGAGTTATGTGGCCCCTCCCCCACCCCAGCCCCTGGTTTCTGTCCGTGTGATCCGCTTAGTGCTAACGAACGATCCCGTCTCTCTCCAAATATTGAAAGCCGCAGATGTCCATGAGAGATGGCACGACATCCCCCCCCCCACACACACACACTACGCACCCTCATACGTGGACAGAGGGAGACACAAACTAAAACACACACAAAGAGGCGCGCACCACACACACACACTTACGAGTCGCCCAGCCAGTCGTAGAACTGGAGACGGCCCTGGGTCGTCTCCGCCGCGAAGTTGGGCACGTACGCCCCGAGCCGCATGGCGAGCCCCGATGATGCCCGCGGTGTGCCCGGCGGGGCGTGAAGGTGGCAAGGCGGTTCGGGCTCTCCGAGCGGGTGGGCTTGCTGCTCCGATTGCCTCGAGCAGCTCGTGAATGGCCGGCCGACCGCCGACGAACTTTCGCCCCGCACTCACACACGCGCACACACGAGGCACTAACACGCCCCACACCCGGACGCGGCGCGGCGCACACTGGCCGACTGCCGACTGGCCGACCGCTCTGTCGCACGGCGAGGCGCAGCCGACTCGTCCCGAGAGTCGCTGTCGTCGCTCCGTCTCTCTCGCAAGCTCGGGGCGCTCTGTCTGGGTGAGAGAGAGGGATAGAGCCCCGAAAACAACTTCGGAATCGGTCTGCCGGCGTGGCTGCGTGAGGCGATACTCGTCGGCCTCGTCGCGGACTCGAGGCTTTCTTCTTTGCGCCACCGCCTGACCGTTGTGTTGGAAGAGGCGCCGCCTGGGTAGACTCGGACACAGCCGCGCGTCTCCGCCGCTCCGCGTCACCGCTTGGTAGTTGGTGCAGCGGCCGCCGGGAGCGACACCAGCGCCTAGATAGTGTGGCCAAGCCGGCAAGCTGCTTGGTAAACAGACCGGGTCTGGGCGGGAAGACACGCAGGCGGGACGCGTTTACGTTTCTATTCTGGGCGATGCATTTTACTTTGACCAATTTGACTAGAAGCAGAGATTAGTGCCGTCTGGTTTGGCGGCAATTAAGGTAGTGTAGGAACAATAGTGAACTGAAACGAGACAGGGTTTATTGACAGTTTGGCAGCGTTATGTAAACTGCTAAATAGGAGACGGCAAAATCCAAAACGTGCATGGCACGATCGGACAATGTGGTTCGACATTTGTCTTAGGTTTATTTTAAAATAGGGAGGACAAAATGACACAAAATTTGAAAGAAGCTACTTAAATCAATATCCTTATCCTAAACATTATAATAATTGAGCAAAAATAAAATGGTAAAAAGAAATCAAAGGTTGCTGGGTGGGGCGGTGCTGTTCCCGTCGGAGGCCGGTGCGGGCGGTGCCGGCGGTGCCGGCTGCTCGAAGGCCCACGAGGGCGGCTCGCTGGCAGTGAGCGGGTCGTAGTCCTTGAGGCCCACGATGTCCAGGCTCACGTCCCACAAGCGCTTGGCTGCCTCGTCGTCCCGCCCGATGGCCAAGGGGGTCGTCCGTGAGCAGTCCCTGCAGGTCAAGACACAGCCAACAGGGCGCTAGCTCAAGGTTTTCAATTTTCAACAATGCTTCACGGGAGTTTCCGAAACCCTAAGTGGTGTGTTTGCCCTGAAATTGGTTAGGTCGGACTGAGTGAGTTAGTTGAGGTGCTCGAATGCTCACGTGTAGTAGTGGCCGGTCTCCTTGGCGGCCTTCTCGTCCACGGCGCAGTAGATGCTGGTCTGTGCGCCCTGCTTGGCGGTCTTGATGAAGAAGCGGCCGAAGTAGTCGATGAGGAACTTGGTTCCCGGGAAGATGAAGGAATCGAAGTGCCGGAACAGGTCGGTGTCCACGGCCCGGGATGCAGGCAGTACGTATTGATGCCCTCGATGGAAGCCTCTGAAAAGCGAGAGAGATTTTAGTTACGTCCTTATGCAATATTTACCTCGTTTTCTTTCCCCATTCGGCCGATTTATTCATCCTCTACAAATGACTGCTTTTCGCGGCGGAAGGCGGAGCATGCATGCCAAGAATCCGCAGCTCGAAACGCACCTTGGAAGCGGCGCGCCAAGTCGCGAGTGAAGAGCATGTTGGCCAACTTGCTGCGGGAGTAGGCCATCAGCGGCTTGTAGTTGTTGTCGAAGCGCAGGTCGTCAAAGTCGATCCTGGAAACTGTAGTCGTGTGACCAAAAGACGGAAAATTCCCATCAACTTAAAGCTGTCTCAGAGCCACCCTTCGTTCCAACGCAGGCGTGTCGGGTGGAATGCCTGCTCGGCGGGCGCGCATCGCGCATGGACGGGCAAGCGAATCCAACGCCCGCGCTGTAGGCAACCAACAGCCTGCAAGCGACTTGCGCGTTGAGTGGGGTGCCTATCCCGCAGGCGGAGGTCCTGAAGACCGCCTTAAAAACTAACTGTCTCGATTGGAGGTCTATTGACACCTTCGTTGTGACGTCAGATAACCTCATGAGGCTGCTTTGGTTCTGCCGCAATGGTGGGGATCTTCCCAAAAAGTGACACCCAGAACCTCTCAAGGCCACGCCAGACGACGTAGACGGAAACAACTGCAGCTCATGCATAACTTTGTGTCTATGATGGCGGTAAAAAAGAGCTCGGTGCGTAACCACGACCGCTCAAAGAATGGCAGCCATCCATCACTACAGTGCAGAAAATTGTGAGCATTAGCATTTACTGTGTACACACGCCAACCGCCTGCGTAGTCTTGGGTAGGCAACCAACGCGCAGAGGAGTCGTGAGATTGCCTACCCTGGGAATCGCAGGCGTCAAGAGACGCGTGCTTGAGTCCTGGAGCGAGTGCAGCTACCCAGGGAGAGTGGAAAAGTCTAAATTTGGTCCTTATTAACGGCATTTGGGCCTGATTTCGACCTTTCTTGTTCCCCTTGTGGGTTTTGCCTACGGGTGCTGCCTTCCATGCTTACACATATACGCGAGGGACGAGACGGTGACGATCCTGACGGGGTCCTTGGCGGCGTCCACGTCGCGGGCCGTGGCTCGCAGTCTTGGCAGCAGTAGAACCGTCAGGAGAAAGTGGCCGAGGTGGTTCACTCCGAACTGCAGGTCGTGGCCGTCCGCGGTGCTCGCCTTCGGACACGCCATGATGCCCGCGTTGTTCACCAGGATGTGGATGGCCTTCTCCCGCTGCAGCAACAGCCGCGCGCACTCGCGCACCGACTGCAGCGACGCCAGGTCCAGGCGCTGCACGTCCATCTCGCCGACGGGGTGGTCCTTGGCGGCCTTGCCGCTCAGGAGGCGCTGCCGGATGTCCGCGGCCGCCCGCTCACCCTTGGCGGTGTCGCGGACCAGCATCACGACGCGCGCACCTGAGGAGCACGGAAAACTAAAACAACTGCCGGTGCGCCGGGACTCGAACCCGCGCCGCCGCCGGGCGTGCTGGAGTCCAGAGCTCCTATCTCTGCTCGCAAAGTCTGGAGAACCCACCTCTGCTCACGAAGTCCAGCGCCGTCTCCTTGCCGAGGCCGGTGTTGGCCCCCGTGATGACGGCTGTCTTGCCGTCCAGGCGCGCGTTGCTGCGGCACACGCCGCTGAAGATCCACACCATGCTGGAGCTGGCTCTGTTTTGCTCTGCGGTTTCTGCGCGCCCGGTGCCAGCCGAGGTGCCAGCGGGCAGCCGGCAAGAATTCCAACGATCCGATCGGATGATCGCGCGGCAGACACTGACGGGGACTGGACTGGCGGCAGACGGGAGTGGAATACTCCTCCCCCCTCTCCCGGGTACAATCAGGACAGTGAGGGGCGTGGCGGGGTGGGGGCAGCAGGCGGTGTGAGCTCAACTCGCCTCCTATGCTGAGTCTTAACTGGACAGACCTCTTTCCGGATTCCCCCTCCTGTGGCTTCCTTCTTCCTTCTGCCGCTGACCTTGGGCGGCAGACAGACCAAAATAACACACACACTCAAAAAACCTGCGTCTAATCAAACTGGGACAACATTTTTCAATCCGTAATTGCATTGGATCGGCCGGCGAAATCGACGATGGTGAATTCCCTCCAGTAACGCCAACATGCAGCAGCTCATTTTTTTTAGTTTCTTTTTCTACTGCTCAAGAGTTACAGTATGAGCTTTCATTCTTTCTTTACTAACAGTAGGGCAAATATCATTCGTTGATTCTTCGTTATGCGATTCGTTTTTATTTGGATATTCCTGTTCGTGTTTGCAATAAGTAATCCCGCTTGTTCTGCTACTGCTACGCAGCTTCGAAAGTTAATGGCAATAGCAATGTGAAGCTCATGGCGGATTGCGGCAGAGGGGAAGGGGAGAGTAAAGGAAGGGGGGGGGGCGAGAGAGGGAAGGGCAAGTCTGAGTGGGGGTACTGATACGGTGGTCTCCTGCTACCAACGTGAGCAAATAAGATGACACTTGGGAGTGATTAGTAGCACCCATGGTGGTGAGTCAAAAGTGCCCAACTACTACCCCCTACTGCCAAACACTGTGGTCGCTGCCTGACTTTTGCATAAAAGCTGGGCCCCGACCGCCGGTCCACATTGCGGTTCGGTTCAACAAGTTGCGAAAAAAATAAAATAATAACGAGTAAAGAGAGGCTGTGTGCTATCAATGAGCCTTATCAGTTTGAAAATAATTGCGGGGCATCTTTCAGAGAATAACATCAGTCGGCGTCAAGGACGCCCATAGGACGAGATGGCTTCTTTTGATCCTACAGGTATAGAAGGATAATAACTCTTGTTATTCCCTCCGTTTTCATTTTCCCTCACCGTCAGTGAAGGGATTAGATCCTGTCAGGTATAAGGTACCTAATATCATTCTGTTTAACTGTTCCAGATCACCAGCATATAAGATGGAATCCCCTGAAAGCAGAATGGGTACTGGTTTCACCTCATCGTATGAAGCGTCCATGGAGCGGACAGGTGGAGAAGACTACAGAGGAGGAAGTGCCCGAATTTGATCCTAAAAATCCTCTCTGTCCTGGTGTTACGAGAGCTAATGGAGAAGTATGAATATTTTCTGTTTCCACTTTTTGTTTCTTCTTTCATGTTTTTAGATAAAATCAGATATCATTTTAATATTTCAGATTAACCCTGTTTACGAATCAACCTTTGTGTTCACAAACGATTTCCCTGCTCTCTTGGAAGATGTTCCTGCTCCCAAAACAGACCCAGAGGATTCTCTTTTCCAAATGAAAAGAGCAAACGGAACATGCCGTGTCATGTGCTTCCACCCCAAATCTAATGTAACCGTTCCTCTGATGTCTCCAAGTGAAATACGAGCTGTCATTGACAGGTCAGTATCAAGCTACAGAACATGAATTTATTTTATTTTGGCTTAGTTTTTCTTTCGAACCACTTAAACAGGTGGATTGAACAGCAAGAGGAGTTAGGACAAAAATTTGAGTGGGTTCAAATTTTTGAAAATAAAGGAGCTGTTATGGGATGTTCAAATCCCCACCCACACTGTCAAATCTGGGCATCGTCCTATGTACCAAATGAACCACGGGTAAAAGATGAAAATCAACTGGCATATTATTTGAAGCATGGACGTCCAATGCTGATGGATTATGTGAAGAAGGAATGCGCTAAAAAGGTTGGTTTGGGTGTTGTGTTTATATAATTGCCTTTGAACATGTCTAACACATATATTTTCCATCAGGAAAGGCTTGTCCTTGAAAATGAACATTGGATTGTAGTTGTGCCTTACTGGGCTGTTTGGCCTTTTGAAACTATGGTTCTTCCCAAAATGCATGTGCAACGGTTTACAGACCTTACTCCACCCCAGCGTGATTCACTAGCTGACATCATGAAACGTGTAACCACAAAATATGACAACCTCTTTCACACCAGCTTTCCTTATTCAATGGGCTGGCATGGTACGTTTTATTTTTCTAACTGTCAACTACTGAATATTCTTTCAGCTGATTGTGTAATTTTTTCATTTTCTTTGTGTTGCAGGTGCACCCACAGGGAAGTTTTTAAAAGAAGATTTGAAGCATTGGGTTTTCCATGGAATTTACTATCCTCCTCTTCTTCGGTCAGCGACAATTAAGAAGTTCATGGTGGGGTAAGTGTCTTGACCACCCATAGTCAAAACTATTCAGGTCTATATATTTCTATATAATTAAGCTTGTAAATTTTTCTTTCATCCAGCTACGAAATGCTGGCACAGTGTCAGAGAGACCTCACTGCAGAGCAAGCAGCAGACAAACTTCGTCAGCTGCCTGAAGTTCACTACAAGTTATCAGCAAAGAAGTAGAAAACTATCTGCTGCCCTGATGGCAAACTCATGTTAGTTCTCAGTTCACCTGCTTTCTCATCAGTTTCTCTGAAAGTTTGGTGTAATTTCACAGAAGGTTGTTTCTAAAAATAGATGCTTTATGTACAAAATACCTTTATTTCCACAATGAGCACTCCAAGCACTTGCAAGTAGTAAGTATTTTGTGAGTAAGGGGTTTTAACAGGAACTGATGAAGCATTTCATTCATCACTCCTATTTGTTACAAAGAGAAATTAACAGGAAACAAGAGAATTGACAGTTCTAGTGTCTGATAGTTAAACACACATCTTCCATTGAGTAGCAACAATAACACAATTAATCCACAATCATATAGATATATGTATATATGTAGGATACAAATTTTTAGCTTTGAATACACACACATGAACAAGGTAAATCCCCTTTTCTTTGGGAAAAGAAATCCTTGCCAACATTGGCAATTCAAAATAATGGGTGAGGCAATAAGTTTTAAGGTCTTAGAGGGATGACAGAACCAATTCTTATTCCAGCTTGTAATTCAAACCTTAAACTAACCAGATCATTACAAAGTAATCAATTCCTCGGATATGACACCATTCACCCCTATCTTGTGCGTTCTGTTCAAATTTAGAGTTAAATTTCTTAAAATGACATCGTAAAGGAGCACTTGCAAGAATTGAGCTGTCGTAAGGTCAGTCTGGGAACATTTTATAAGATAAAGGTACACAGTTACAAATATAAGAAAAAGTTGTTTGTTGTCTGCAAAGACACAAATGCTGCGAAGAAAACACAATTAAGCTTTCTAACTTATTTGGGAAAGAAAAATACAGAGGCAAGAGCTGGGATTGACAGTTGATTGGGCCATACAAAAAAAAAGAACTGACTGACATTCCCCTCCTCAGCTCCAGTGCCTGAGCGCATTTATCTGGAGAACAGTTTCAAATCTCACATACCATTCTTAATTAGAAGTCTTACATGGTTACGATTATAGTATACACACAACAACAATACTAATAAAAGTAATAACAAAAAAAATCAGTTCTCACAAAATGGCAATAGTTTCTAAAGTGTTTCATTTACGAGGACCAGACTATAATGTGAGTGGCATGGAGAAATACATGCCTTCATTTTGTCCTTTCAGGCCCAATTCAATATCCTTACATGAGATTTGCACTAAAGCCAGATTATGTGGAGTACAAACCAACAGTAAATACAGTATGGCTCACAGTCCTAATCCAAGAATCTAACAAAGATTTGATACACTGGGTGCTAAAACTGAGTGTATACGAGAATGTTGAGAAGGTTACGGAAACAAACATTAAAGACAAATGAGCGCACAAATAGAACTTGATTATGCCTTCGCTTGATATCACAAGAGCAGGTAAATTGCAATGTTAATATTTACCTGGTATAAACGGAGATCCTATGCAGTTTGTACAAGTATCATCTATCAACTACAGACACTTATATTAAATTGCAAGCTTCTCTTAGAGAATATTTAACACAGATGATGCTTCATAAGTTCCATAAAAAAATATCAATCCACACATATTAATGCTATATGCTCATGGTTCTTGCTTCTACATCTATATAGTTCACTACACTGATTCTTTTTAGATTTATAAAACTAGATTGATGAATGAGCTTCTATGAACTAATAAATGACAAGCCTTCAAATTTCAATTCAAATGAGTTTCACTATGTTTTCAAATACATATAGTTACTATAATGGACTTTTCAATGATTCCAAATAATAATGGGAAGGCATTATTACTTTTAAGATTTAAGACCCAATTCAAGGGCAGAACCTTCAGAAAAATTGCACGACACCTAAGAGCAGCTGCTACAGAAAACTGCTGAGAGCAAATTCAGGATAGATTCAAAGACACACAAGCAACATAAGAGAGGAACAAAACTCATGTGCATGATTTATAAACCACCCCGAAAATTGTTTCTCTATGGTTTGCAGCTATAGAGACCGCATCAAAAAGAACACATTTTTTCGCTACAAGGTGTTTTTAAACATACAATTTTCAGTTTCTATTTAATGTAAAATGCTCGCATATCATGTCGGGACGTTCACGACGGCTGTCTGTCTCAGACAGCATCTTGTCATAGCTCAAGAGAAATGCAAAACATGAACAAGAAGCCTCATGAATAATTTAGAAGTCTTAAGTATTTTCTATCCAATCTCAAAAATAAAGTTTTCACCAGAAGGTGATTCTACAAGCTGTGATCCATCAGAGGATCAACATACAATGCTAAAACCAAAACAGTCACCAAAAACATCACAGAAAATAATGTCTCTTCAAACCTCAAATACACTTAAAAGTACAATTAGAGAAAAGTTTTTAAAAATAAAAACAAAGGTATTATTGTCTTATGGACACTGATTGATTCACTTAAAACTTATAAATATGAAAAATATTTCTCACTTTTGATTAAAAAATATAACTTAAGCCTCACTCAATGACAACATACATTTCTACCCTTAACAATCAGTTATCTTGCCACTAATTCTTAAGGCAAGATAACAGCAAGCGTAATAGTCATAATGGCTTTTAAAAAAATGACACCAATGAAAGAGGAAACATTCCTCTAACAATTTGCCTAGAATTGCAATGTTTCACAGTTGCAATTCAAGATAGCTATTTAAATCAACTATTGCAGAAGGTAATGATCATGACACTACTCTCAGTAGTTCTTCACGATATTAGCCATGCGTGTCACATTCAATGAAAAGTGGTAGCATTAACCATCCACAAGGTAGTAATGCAAACACCAACTATAAACTTTGAAAATAAAAAAGTGGCTTTATATTAACCCTTAGTCAAAATAACATTGACATTTTAAAACACTATGGAATATCCCACAAGGTTAAGACCAACATTAAATAGAATCTGTTTATGTTATCCAAATAAAAGAGTTTTGTCCTGAGCGCCTCTATACATCAATAAAAAGGGTGCTCGCCAACATAAAATTTCCTCCTCAATCAACTTCAAAATTAGTAAACAATAATTAAGAACCTGCGCCTTATCTAGAATGCATTTGAAAATAGAACATCATTCCTGTACAGTTACTTTTGAATATAAAACTCTTTTCAATTCTTCTTTTGGCACCTTTACCCAAATCACAAAATCAAATTGGAAGTCAAAAGGACCTCAACATACAGTCAACATACAGACCATAGAATTAATTGTTAGGTTGTCTGAAGAAAATATCAATAAAGAAATAGTTGATTTTGAGGAGGAAATGTAAAATTTAAAAAAGCTCTCATCAAGATCACTTCACTATTCTTCTAAATTATTAACTTCTTACATATTTTTCACAGATTGAAGAACTAAAACCATTCACAAACAGTTGACCAGCAACTGAGCTAACTTCATTCTTGCTTCTAGACACTACATATAAAACATATACGGTATGAAGCCATATATCATGCTTAAGATATGTTCCTATCATTCAACTCCTATCATTCAGGACAACTGAGACACTGTCTGCCAAACGTAAAGGCAAGCCACAAATAGACTATGATACAACCAACACTTCCCCTAAAACAAGCAGAGCAATTGAGCATGCAAAACCATGAAGTTTCATCATAAACTTGGAAAAGGCATCAGCAATGTCAAAGAACAAACATGTCAGAAAGGAACTCCTACTGACAATCTTGAGACAAAATACAACTTGCTTTAGCTCATAAAACAACAATTTTAACATGACATAGGGTAAATACATACTGATTAGCAATTGAAGGTTGAAATAATAATAATAAATCACAATCACAGAGAATACAATGAGATCAACACTCCTTTAAACATAAATATTTATGTGATAATCTTTGCACTTCACTCAGGAGTCCTTCTCAATGTAAATAAAACTCATATAGGGAAACCAACAGGTACAAATTTTAGCTTTAGACCTAAAATTATTGTTGTTGTTATATGTACATCAAGAGTCTGGTAAAACCTTAACAACACTATGTCTTGTTACATATGCTGTCTACTAAGGTCAACATCATCACACAGAATCACTGTGCATGCACTGGTAGCTGATGGGGATTGATCCGATGTTGCCCTGTTAGATGGCCGAGCAGTATAAAGGCTTCCTGATCTTCCTCTTGGCTGTGAGGGTCTTCTGGCAGAATGTGTAAATGCATCAAGTTCATGGCCTTCACTCCCACTTGTATGCAACGGATAGGTCGTGCTTGAAGCTGATAACGTTGATTCAGACAAAACATTGCCATACATAGATTTGTTTGACCTGTTCACACCACTTGGAGTTTGGCTAAGACCTCTCCTTTTGCATAGGCAACAAAGAAAACTATCATATGAGAACTGACCAAATCCATGCCTAGGACCAATAATGCAAAGAAGTGGCATGAGGAAAAATGTTGAATAAGTCCAACTTACGCACATTATAATGACAAGGAACATTCCAATTTGAATGTAAGCCAACACTGACGACGGCAGCATGAACACGCCGGCGATTCCCGTGGTCAAAGCACCCATTGCGGTAGGCCCACCCATTCTATGCAGGGCACATTTCACAGCTTCTTCTCGGCTGGCATTGTTGGGGGCCAATCTATAACTGACACTGTAGTGTAGGCTAAAATCTACTGCAAGGCCAATAGATGTACTGATTGCAACTGATTCTAAAACATTCAGTTCCCAGCCACACAACAAGAGAATGGCCATTGTCACAAAAATGGTACTTGTTACAGATAGAACAGCAAATAATGATACCAGGGTGTCCAAAGTGACAGCAAACAAGACAAAAAGAGACATTGCCATTGATATTAACAGGGCAGAGACAGTGCTATCAGAAATAGTTTTCTGAAGATCATAAAAATGTAGGTCAGTTACAAACCATCCATTACGCATTCCAGGAGGGGCACTCTTCAACTCTTCCTGCATCCAGTTTTCCACCTAAAAATTTAAACAGAAAAGAAACAGAAAAGTAAAAAGTTAGATTTTTTAAAAAGGCAAAGTTTTAAATACCAAAAGAATCAGAAAGAAACAAACCTCCTCATAGAAATCATTCATTTGTTCAAATGACTCCAAGTAAGAATATTTGCTATCATATTCCACAATAACAACTCGAATTTTAGGGTGTGTTAAATTCTTTGAGAACTTTGGACCAGCTAAACCAGGTTCAAACAAGTTCTGAGGTGTGCGATACAGACTGGCCATTGCTTGGATGGTACACTTTTTAAAAACAGACCGCTTATAAGGTAAAGACAAAATCTCACAGCATGGACTACGATCAATATTGTCCACAGGGTCTTTGCAGCGTCGAGTCATCCATGTTTCCTGAGTTTTAAAAGTTAATATTAAAACATGTAAATTAAAGCTGCTTTTGTACTTCCTAGAGTTGTACCATTGTAACTTACCAGACTTTCAATGAAACAGTTCGGTAGCAAAGGTCCAGTGGTAGATTGGTAAAAGGCCTGTTTCCTAACTTTGCCACAAAATTGTTTCAACCAAAGTTGAGAATCAGCATCTGCCATATCAAAAGTGTTGTCAAATTGAAGTTTTCCTTTGGAATATGGATCATAGTAGTTCCCTGAATCAATTGGTTTCACTCCCCAAACAAATCTCAGAGGTAGTTTGATATTAGCCATTGAATGCTGTAAGTAAATGAGACAGAAACATATTTTAACAACAAACACAAAAAAGGAAAAACAATCAGAAGAGGTACTGAAAATTTTAAAAACTTAAAAAGCCACCTTTTCTAGCCTTTCGAACCAAAATTTCTCTCTGAAAACAGCATCATATTGCTCAAATGGGTGAGAGCTACTGAACAGCTGAAAGTCAGGCGATTTGGGTAGTTGAAGACCAGGGTAGTAGAGCACACAGATACAGCTTCCAATAGCTATACTTCCCAGAACCACAACCCACAGAATGGGGCACCTCACCTAAAAAGAATATAAACATTTTGGAGTTACAGTATTTGCGGGTCCTCTGTATGGAAAGCACCAGATGTAAGAGAGAGTGCATTACCACTAAAAAAACAAGACCCCGATCAAAACTGCTTCTGATACGCTCAAAACTGCTGCTGATGCGCTGCAGGAGTGAAACAAGGTGTTGCAGGAGGTATCTCAGAGGAGGCCAAGTAAAATTTGGAAAAATTGACTGCTCCGAAATGATAACACATGCTGGCAGCCACGTCACCATCAGGAGGAGGTTGGCAATCACTGCCATACCAGCAAATATGCTGCAAAAGTCAAACACAGAAATGAAGAACCAATTTACAGCTACCTTTTGTTAAATGCATTGAAAAAAATCGAGTTACAACTCACCTAAAACAGCGAATTGCTGTTATTGCACTGACAAATGAGGATAAAAATGCTACAGCAGTTGTGAAGGAAGTAATGAACATTGACAAAAGAGCATGGTTCATGGTTTCTTGAAGAATTTGTTGTAGTGATGCACTTGCTTTTTCAGTTTTAATGCATGTCCACATTTTACAAAAAATGAATGCATCATCAGCTCCAATTCCTGGAAACATAAGACAACTGATAGTATTGTGTTTTAATTACTATTTAGCCTCCTGTCAATATTTTTTGTCCAATTTCAAAATTAAATAAATTGTATGATTTACTCACCAACTGCTACAACACATGCAAGGAGGTTCATGAAGGGAAAAAAGTGCAACCCAAAGACATTGGTGTAACAGAAGTATGAAATCCCAAGGGAAAGACCAATAGCAATTATGGCCATAAATGTGACAAGGAACGACCCAGTGTACAGCCACATACAAAAGAAGACACAAAGAGCTCCTAGCGAAATGAGCCATGTATCCCACACAAGGCTCTCATCAAATAGTATAGTCTTGAGGCCTATTAGAAAAATAGAACAGAGGAAAAAACATAGTTACAGTTACAGTAGAAGGAAAATGGTATACAAGATAAGATAATCAATAATTATAATGTAATTGAGAAAGTTATTGCAATAAAAAAAAATCGAATAATAAGTAATTTTATTTCTAATATGAATTTTGTGTCTCCCTTACCAAGATCCATTGCGGACACTTCTACATTTCCAAATCTTAGTGCTTTTGAGTACATAGCCCTATAGTATGGCATCATGGCAGAAGAGCGAGCCATTGGAAGGAAAATCATGGAATGTTTGACAAAAACTTGGCTGATGTTCTGCAACATTCAAAGCAAATTATTGTAACAATTAATAGCTTTGAATTGTTAATAATAAAAATAAGATTTAAAAGAAAGTCTAGACTTACCTTGGGAGGAAGGAAATCAACATCAACAAGATAATGCATAATATTGTATACAGCATTATTCTTGGTGCAATGTGGAGGTACAACTAAACAACCTGCAGCTGCATTGAACTTGTCTTCTTGACAGTCTTCAGGTAGTTTCAGATCATGATAATACTGGGCACAGTCTATGAGTAATTCCCTTGTCTTCTCTACATCATGTTCCTGAAAAGTAACACATATTTTTGAAATACCGGTAAAGTAAGGCTTTTTATATCACAAATAGCATTGAAGATGTATACCTTTATTTGAAGACAGTCAGAGTGACCATGTAGAACAGCTACATAGTTGTGTAAAGTCCAAGAGCGACAACAGGAATTGGCTGTAGAAGTCTGACAGTTTGAAGGAAAATGTGGTGTTTCTCGAAGTACATGATCTAATCGGCAAGCTGAATGTAGAGCAGCAAGAGACAGTAAATCTGATCCATCAGTTGTAGACAAAACCATGTGTGAGTATTCGGGGCCTATAAATAAAGTACAAAGTACAATTTCTATCTTCCTGCAGAAGCATTCAATAGTTCACTTCATTTCACAACAGAAACTTACTAGGGGCACCACAGAAAAATCCATCTCTTGAGAAATGGTCATGATCATGACCTGAAGACAGTTTTTTTTCACTCAGCTCATCTCTCAAAGTTTTCCATGGCTCAGATGCATTGCCATAATCAGGTTGAGCCTTAATAGGAACAAGTCCAGGTTCAATCAAATTTTATTAAAAATTTAAAAATACACAAAAAATGGAAAATTTACCTCAGACACGTTCACACCAAAAGTCCAGTTTGAGTGCTGTTCCCGATCATAGGTGTCAGATGGTACCACAAAAGCAGGAGGAGTCACATAAGTATCAATCTTTTTCTTCTTTTTCTGTTTTGGACCCTGAAAAAGGAGAAGAAAGGTTTTTACTCCAGCCTGCTGAATGGAAGTTAAACTGCCTCAGATGGCTAACCTTTCTTCGAGAAGTTGAAGATTCTTGGGGATATGACGTAGATGCTTCTTCCGTTGCATTATCTGGATTCAAGTCAATACTGGATGTCAGCGATAGTTCACTTGGGTTTGATGTCAATGAACCAGATGGCCTGGTGGCTTCTTCAATGTTTTTCCATGCTGTTATTCTCTCAGAAATTGGGGTACCTCTAGTTTCAAATCCCTGGAAGGTTTCAAAATAGTTAGAGTTTATGAAACCTTAATGTTATGAGATGTTTCAAACTAAGACACAGGTAACTTACCAGAGTTGGATCAGTAAATGATGGTATCTTTTCAGTGCTAAATGGAACTATGAAACATATTCCTGAAAAAACAGCAACAACAGCCAACACTGCAAAGGGATGTTTGACCAAAACCTTCGCATACCTAGAAATCAACAGGTGTCAGCGTCAGTGGCAAAGTAGTTACCGCAACAGACAGGATTTTTCGGTTTGACACTTACCACTTCATTTTCAGGTTGACAGAATCACCGACTAGTTCCACGGAATCTCGCACAGCCAAATGGGCAACATTATATCGACTGAAAAGAACAAAATAACAAACAAGGTAAGCAACACAAGAAAAGACGTACCACAATAATAGTAGAAAGAACTATTTTAAAACCGAATCTAAGACATGTTATTTTGTTAAATTGAAATATTTAAGAAAATAACGTCATAGCTGAGTAATGCTTCACAGTTAAAACCATTGAAACTAAAGACATAACCTATCAAAAATGTAAACAAATCAAAATGTACACACTACCGTTATGAGTTGATTTTTCAAATGACGTCGCCTCAGTAGAGAGGCCTAAAAAAATAATAAAAAATGAGGAAGAATGAGATAAAAAAATAAAACAAACACAATAAAAAATGAGTTGCCGGTCTAGCAAACTTTAAACACTAGCCGCCATAGTTCTTTGTTTACGTGCGCCACTCAATATGAGAAATTTCTTTCTACACACTTTGGGGTGGGGGAGGGGCAGGGGAAAGGCAGGGGAAGGGGCAAGAGGCTAGTTTCGCGGTTTGGCTGAAACGTAGTTCTCCGTTTAGATCCTCTCCCAAAAACTACAGCCCGACAACCAAAATACATGGGGGAATTTCTTCTCTCGGCATGACTGTAAGCGTAAAGTCTTGAAGCGTAGTTGTATGCTTGGATAACGCTTGCGCGTACAACTGCGTTTCCGTTTCTCCAAATGACTTTTCTGCGGGTCTGTGTCGTTTGTGGCTGTCCACACAATTCCCCCCTCATTTCCCAGTCTTTTGGGGCCGTGAAGAGATCTATATGGATGCAGCCCAAGTGCCAGGACGCAAGGCATCCTCCCCTGCACCTCCCCCACCCCTTTGCTCCAGACGGTGGTGGCGCCTCTGGCCCCGGCCCGCCTAGGACCGCCGTGGCTCCATCCGGACGTGTGCAGCAGTGTGCAGCACAAGCCGTGGCGTCGGGCCAGCTGATTTCCAGCGCATTTCGACTGGCTGGGGGGGGGGGGTCCAGGCGGGCCACGGGGGCGCATGGTGGTTGCATCCGGACGGGGGAGGGGGTGTCCCTGACCCAGTTGGACGCGCGTACTACGTTCCGGCACGGGGTGGGCACGGGGTGGGCACGGGGTGGCCCCAGCCTCCCAACCCCCCTCTGGCACTGCGTCGCACTGCGTCCGGGGGGCGCTTCGTTCCCTGGTGCCATCTCCTTCTGGAGCACTGGCGCCTGTGCGTGTGAGTGAAGCAGCGAGACGGGGCAGCGGCCGCATCCACGCAGCCTCGCTCCGCCGCCACGCTGCCACGCACGCGCACTGCCCCGGCCGCCCCCGGCCGCCCCCCGGCCGCCCCCGGCCGCCCCCCCCCGGCCACCCCCAGCCGCCTCCGGGCCGGAGCTTCCAGGCTGGCTCCAAGGTCGACCCGGCCACGTGCCCGGGGCCGGCTACTCGGTCGCACACGTGGCACCAACGCACAAACCCGCTAAGTGTTTATGTACTTTTACTGTCCATAACTATGGGCACATTTGTACATAAGCAAGCTATGTACAATTTTGTACGTGAATTGGGGACAATAATTCGACATTGTGCTTCAGTATTTATAAAATTGTACCTAATTTATGCAAGAGTTGGTACCTAACTTTTGTACTTTGTACAAATATGGACCATGGACGAAAGGTCCATAGGAATTAAGTGTGAAAACACTGGCTCCAATACCTGGTTCCTTGGCTCACCGTGCACCGGCTGTCTCTACATAATAACGCGTTCACACCAGCTCAGCAAACGGCCCACACACCAACTTCTCTCAACTCCAACAGCCCAGCTGTGCGAAGTTCCTTTCCCGCCAATACATTTAATTTGTCTCTCTCTCCGCGTTCGTGCTGGCGTCGTGAGAAGAAATTTAGAAGCGCCGATATCGATTCGCGCCGCACCGTATGCTCTCATCTCGGGAAAGAAAGACACAAGAGGCGGCGAGACCCCGACTCCGACCAGCGAGGCGAGACCCCCCCCCCCTCCGCCACCCCCTGCCTGCCCTGCCCCCGATCGGGAACAACATTATTGCGTCGCGCGTGCAGCGTGCTTGCGGGCCAGGCATCATCACGGGAAGCGCTGCGAGGCTGAGCCAATCCCAGCCAATCAGAGCGAATCAGGGAGAGGAGCAGAGCGATGCAGAGCGATGCAGAGCGCCTGCGAATGCCGGGTAGGCCAGCCCGCCGTGCGCCGGTGTCGCTGCGTTGCCTACCCGCCGCTCGTCGGGCGTTACCATTACCATTAAGGGCCAGACCACGCTCGTCGGTCGGGCGCCCCACGCTCCACTCAGCCATCAGCCGACCGTCGCTCTGTCTCCCTCGCACTAATGGGGCGTTCCGTACTGGTGCGAGAGCGACAGAGCGACGAAGAAAACTCTCGGAATCGGTCTGCGGGGCCCACTGCACAGGGTCCACACCGCACGCTCTTGGCACCTCCCCCGGCGTTCCTTCCGGTCCTTCAGTATTGCTTCGACCTAGAAGGTTATTGAAGGTTCGAAATTGGTAGGGCGCCTCGCTTCAGCTCGGAGCCTGACTCTCTCAGGGAGTTTGACGTCCTTTTTTGTTGTAGCTACAACAGCTGTCTTTCCGTCTGTTTGTCCGTCCGTCCGTCTGTTGGCGGCTCGTGTCTGACTTGCCATCCTGAACAGCGCCTAACCTTCCTCTACTACGACGCCTGCTACTACTGCATCGACCGGAGTGGCTACGCGGGCTGGGTGGGCTGGGCGGGCTGCGCGTGGCGCGGGGGCAGGCAGCATCCACAACCCTCCACGTGGCTGGCTGGCTGGCTGGCTGGCTGACTGGCTGACCGGCTGGCAGCGTGGCGGAGTACGCTACAGTTTACGCACAAACAAAAGGACACCCCCCCCCGTCCCCACAACTTCTCTGAGGGGGTGGGGAGGGGGGCAGACAAAAGGACGCCTCGTGGCGCGGTCAGGAGTCTGTGCCACTCGCTGCGCCGACCGAGCGTCTGTCTCTCTCACGGCCAGGTGCCCGCGGAGTGCGCGGAGTGCGAGAGAGACAGGGCGACGGCATCGTGTTCGGAGGCAGCCTGCTGGCAGCCTGCTGGCATGCGCCGCGAGGCCCACGAGGGCCACGGCATGGCCACGGCGCCATGGGGCACCGTCTCTGATTGGCGGCGCGTGGGGCCGTGGCGCTGGGGCGCACAGCCGCCGACGGCCACCGTCTCGGCGCCCCCTCCAGGGTTGCCACAAAAAGTAGGGGAAGATACCCCCGGCGCACGTGTCGGCGCTGAAGGGCAAACCTCAGCCTGCCTATGTCTGGACCTCGCTCTCGATAATTTGCCTAGCTGGCTCAAGTTGGCTACTCCTTCGGCACAACTTTGCGTCGGCGACACTGGTCCCGACAGTGTCCCGGGGTCGAGGAGGGCCGGTGACTCCACTGCCAGGTAGGGCTTGCATGGCAATGGCAGAGTCCGGTTCCCATGGCGACCGAAGGCCGAAGGGTAGCAAAGGGGGAAGGGGGGGGGGCGGCCCCAGCCTTCCCGGCCGTCCCGGCCCGGCGGCGGCAGCTGCGGAGGTGGATTGGAGGGGTTGGAAAAGACTGCTGGAAGGGACTGGTAGGGACTGGTAGGGACTGGCAGGGACTGGGAGGGCGCAGAGGGCCGAGAGCGACATCTGGTGCTCCGCAGAAAACGGACCAGGCGCGGGTCGGGTCACTTTTCAGGTGTGACGACCGAGACCCAGGCCCTGGGGGGATTCATGCAGGCCGCTGGAGGGCTTTTGCCGCGCGGATTGTCTGTACCGTCGACCAGCAGGGGAAAGGGGGGGGGGGCATCAAACCGCGCGCAAAGGCTCCACGCTCCAGCCCGCTGAGTGGCTCCCCATATTGCGGGGCACTTCGCGGCCAGCGTGGCCTGTCCGTCTGCCTGTCCGTCTGCCTGTCCGCCTGCCTGTCCGTCTGCCTGTCCGCCTGCCTGTCCGTCTGCCTGTCCGCCTGCCTGTCCGTCTGCCTGTCCGCCTGCCTGTCCGTCTGCCTGTCCGTCTGCCTGTCCACCTGCCTGTCCGTCCTGCCGTGCTCCTGTCCGTCTGCCTGTCCGCCTGTCTGTCCGTCTGCCTGTCCGCCCGTCCACCTGTCTGTCCGCCTGCCCGTCCGTCTGCCTGTCCGCCTGCCTGTCCGCCTGCCTGTCCGCCTGCCTGTCCGCCTGTCTGTCCGCCTGCCTGTCCGCCTGCCTGTCCGCCTGCCTGTCCGCCCATCCACCTGTCTGTCCGCCTGCCCCGCTGTCCGCGTCTGTCTGCATCCGTCTACCTGTCTATCTGTCTTTCTCAAGAACAGAAAAGTGTGCTTCAGCGGCACTGTCGGCGAGGACCCCCAATCAATCTACGAGTAAATAAGAAAGCAACCCTCAAGAGGAGTGTGCTCAGGAAAAACACTCTCCTCGGAGAGCGCGAGAGAAAGGTGTATTTAGGTAGAAAGTATGCTTAAACAAAAACTGTGCTGTTCCGGCAGGTGCCTCCGACAGGCCAAAAAAAAAAGGTGGTGACGAAATTCGTACATCCAATGACCAAACGCCCCAACGACGATAAACTGTTGAGTGAACTTCGGGTTAAATCCGTCGGTTCAAAATTCCGGGGACTCGAAACAAGATTTTTGTTAAAACCTCATCGCGTTTTTAAAAAATCGGTGTATTAAAAATAAATTGTTTTTGCACGGCTTTGATACGAGGCTCTCCCCTGTTCCGCGCGCCACAGAGACGCGCCCGGCGGCGAGCTCGGCCGGTCGGCTGGCAGTAGCAATATTGGCCCTTCTTATGAGCCAGCACTCGCGGCGGGAAGAATGCGCCAGGCAGAGAGGGAGAGAGAGAGAGAGAGAGAGAGAGAGAGAGAGAGAGAGAGAGAGAGGGGGGGGGGGAACGAAGGGAGAGCAGGCCAGGCGCTCTCTCTGTTGGCGAGCAGGCGTAGGTGGACGACAGGAGTGTGGGTGGAAACGCCCCGGGCAAGAGGGGGATGAGGTTGATGATTCAGTGACCGTCAGAATCAGACCCCAACCTCAAGCACGTCAGGAGGAGAGCACTGGCGCTGGAATGCCCCTCCGCGCGCTCCAAAGCCCCTCGACCCGCCCTCGCTACAGGTGAGACCAAAGGGGAGGGGAGGGGAGGGGAGGGCTTTGCGAGGACACAGAGGAAAAAAAAAACAGGCCAACTTTTCCGCAACAAAGACCGCGAATACTTATTGGCTCAAGATGTTTTGTCGACTGCCTCGCCGCCGGAGCCGCCGCTCTCACGTGGCGTGGGCGTGAGGCTGCTGTGGGACAGCGGATTGCCAATATACTTGATCCGACGACTTGCTGAGAGGCCTGAGAGGCCTCGAACCGCGGCGGGCGGGCCGGGCGGGCCGGGCGGGCCCCAGCTGCCCCCTGCCCCGGCCGGGGAGGGGGAGGGGCGGACTTTTCGTTTTCCTTCGAGTGGAATGAGCCCGTGTTGGCTGTCGCCGCTGCCGTCGCTGTCGCTGTCGCTCAGGACGACGTCAAGGGACGCAGGCCAGGGAGCTCTGCCCGCTCCGCCGAGGCGGCGTGCGTGGGTGTCTCCCCGGAGTGGCGAGGGAGGGGAGGGGGGACTCGTTATTGGCCCTACTTAAGTCCGTCTAAAAAGGGATCCATTAGTTTCCCTTTCTCCAATTTAAATAATTATCGGTCGCAGAATGGACCGAAAATGCGTGTTGCCAGTCCCGCTTCAATTAGCCTTTCCGCATCGCTTCTCCGTTCTCGGCCTCTCGGCTCGGCCAGCACGGCCAGGCCGCTCCAATTAGCTTCCAGTCTCTCGGACTGCTCAGCCCGTCTGCGTCGAGGCGCGGGGCGGGGCGGGGCGGGGCGGGGCGGGGCGGGGCGGGGCGGGGCGAGGCGGGGCGGCTCGCGTCGAGAGGGGGGCGGGGGGAGTGGAAGAGGCTTGTGGGCGTTCGGAATCCTAAACGCAGCGCTGTTGTGGCCGGTCCAATGGTCCGATGGCTTGCCGATGGCTTGCCGATGGCTTGCCGATGGCCCGATCAGACGCAGCCAAGATGAACTCCGAGCAGAGCCCTGGCAGCCTTGGCAGCTGCTCGAGGAACTTGCAGAATCTGCGCGCCAATTCGCCATTACGCTTGTCTAATGTCTCCGGACTCCGGGCCGGGGCGGGCCGGGGCTCCGTGGGGAGGGGGGGATGACCCCGTCGGGGGTCCCTGGCGCCTCCAAGTTGAAAACAGAGTCAGAGCCGCGCAATCCCTAACTTTGCACGGCTCGACAAGGGGAATGACGAGTGGTTCTCGGTCCGTGCCCGGAGTGGGAAACCAGCAAGGAACAACTGCTGCAGCCTTGGCTACAGCCTTGGGCTACCACAGCCTTGGGCTACCACAGCCTTGGCTACCACAGCCTTGGGCTACCACAGCCTTGGCTACCACAGCCTTGGGCTACCACAGCCTTGGCTACCACAGTCTTGGCTGCACGCACAGAGCCGCGCAGCTGCCGAGTGCAGGAGGGCAGTTGCGTGGCTTTGACAGATCCTGCCGGTTGAGTTGCCAGGGGTTGCTTTGGCTTGGTTTCACTCGCTGGCAGCCGGTGGCAGCACTGGCCCCTTCCTTCCACATTCCCTCCCCTTCCCCCGCCGACTAATCCCGCGCTTTTGTTAACGAGAACAGCGCGCCGTGCCGTGCTGAGCCACGCCGTGCGGAGGCGTGTAATGAGAGAGGTCTGCACATTTTTCCTCACCGAAAAAACGGCTTTCATCCTATCTTGGTAATGTATGCTCTGTGCCCAGTCTGATAGAGTTGCACGTGCGCTCAGGTATGTTATGTTACAAAACGACGCCACCCAGGAAACCGCATAAAGCTCAACGATCTCCTTTTTCTGAAAATTTTTACTAAACACCAACCGCAATCCTGAACTTAGGGACGTGGCTTATACTACTTCGAGAAGCGAGTGTCTATGGGAACATTTCCCGCTGGCTGCGACTAAGGCAGGGTGAGTTTTGCCTCAAGGTGGGGAATGCAATATCCGACAGGACAGGTGACGCGGAGGGAACGCCTGGGGAAATCCAAACGCACGCTGGTCTGGACGTTCTTCGCGGCGCCTCCCTCCGCTCCGTCGCCATGCCTCCTTCCGACAACAACGTCGGCGACGCTAATAACAACAACAACAACATCAACAAGACCTTGTCATTCTCACCTGCTGCCCATGGACTCTAGGTCGGAGGCCAGGCTGATGGCGGCGACGGGGCCGCGCCAGGCCGAGCAGTAGAGTCCCGGTGCTCCGGAGACGACTGCGGGGGCGTTGGCGGTAGTGCTGGGGGCGCAGGCGAGGATGGCGGCGTCCCGGCCGGGGAGGCCGGGGAGGCTGGGCTGGGCGGCGGGGCGCGCGTCCAGCTGCAGGACGCCGGCTCCGCCGACAGCGCCGCCCCCAGCGCTGGCGGTCGCGGCGCCGGCTGCGCGGTACTCGTCGTCTCCCATGTCACCGTCGTCGCCGTCGTCCGGCCGCCCCCCGCGGACGGGGGCGACGGGGACCGCGGGACGCTTCGCGGCTCCAGCGTGCTCCAGCGTGCACCAGCAGCACCAGCGGCCCGGGAGTCTGCAGCCGCTGCAGCCTGGGTGGCACGGCGCAGCGCGGCGGGGCGCTAAGGCTCCACAGGCTGGCTGCCTGGCTGGCTGCCTGGCTGCTGCCTGGCCCGACCCGGTGGAGCGTCGCGGCCGGACTGAGCCCAACGCCAACACCCCGTGCGCCTGGAGTCCGCCGCAGCCCGCCAAACAACCCCCACCCACCCTGGACTACCCTGGCGCCGCAACCCTCCACGCCACCGCGGGGCCGAAGTGCGGAGGGGGGTGCGGACAGCCCCCAAGCCGCCCCCTACCCGCGAGGACACTCACACAGACACGCGCGCACACAAAAGCACGCCCACACACATGCAAAAGCACGCCCACAGATCCCCCTATTAACGGTAAGTATATACACGGGCCAGGGCTGATAATAAACAAATGTGGCGCAAAATGTGTACGTACACAGAGATTGTTTTTTCGGGTAAGGGAGCCCGCTTGTGTGGAAAGGAAGGAAAACCGGCTTTTCCGCACACACTGTAAGACCCCTCCCTCCCTCCTTTCCCCTCACCGTTACCACCCCCTGCTGTCCCTTGCCCCCTGAACCTCCCACAGCTCTCTCTCTCTCTCTCTCTCTCTCTCTCTCTCTCTCTCTCTCTCTCTCTCTCTCTCTCTCTCTCTCTCTCTCTCTCTCGCACACGGGCTGTACCGTGTAATGCTTGCGTAAACTGTTGGTGCAAGAGAGACGCAGAGAGACGGACAAATAAACTTGGATCGGCAAGGCAGGGAATGCTTCGTTCGAAGGGTATCACCGCCACCCCCTATTTTCCCCCGGACTCGGAGCTTCTGAGTCACAGCGCAGAGCGGCGAAGAGCACAACACCGCGTTTTCCATGGAAGGCGGAGAGTGTGCCATTTAGGGCGGGGATTAATTAATTAGGGTTGGAACTGAGGGTGTAATTGGCAAGGCACAGTGTAGGCGCTCGCCATGACGCGCTCTATCTCCCTCTGGCTCTCCACGCCATCTCTCCCTATCTCCGTCTCTCCTTCTCTCTCTCCCTCGTGGTAAAGGGCAGGGGGGGGCGGCTTTTCCAGGAACTGCGCGCAGCACAGTCCCCATGATTCCTGGCGCTTCCAAGAACACTCGCACAAAAAAGGGCACGAAATGAAAAGTTGATGCAATGACATGGGCGATTGGAGCCTCGTCGAACCGTGGCACCCGGCCAAAGACACTGTTGCCACAGTGAGGGAAGTGAGGGCCGGGCTTTTAGCGACGCAGGGAGCGCGTTGAGGCGCAGAGTTTGAAACTGATGTCGAAACAGTTAAGGTTGTCTGATAAGATTAAATGAAAAAAGTAACTTGAAATTTAAAATAAAATTTTAAACAGTTACATGAATCTAGACGACCTGTCAAGCTATTTCAAGAATTCACTTCAAGAATTTTACATTTGATTCATTCTGTGATGTCTTTCTTACAGTTAGTAATATTTAGTGTTCAGATTTTTTTAAAAACCTGATCTTTATTCGGGATACAGTTTGAATTTTTGCGCTGGAGGTACACACTTTGTTGCCAAGTGCCCCGCCGCATCTGAGCACTTAGCTACACTTAGCTAGTGGGAGTATTTGGGATTCAACGCACATGCAAACGCGCACATAGTTCTGAAGAAATTTCGAAAATTTTATCAAGTGGGGTCTGGCACCATTTTTTTTTGATTTACAGACGTTTGCATCGACTTCGTTTTTTTTTGCAGTTGGCAATGTTTTTACCAGTTTCCGACAGCAGCGCCCTCTGCCTCCCCAGTCGGCTTCCAGAAACCTTAACCTAAATTTCTAGATCTTTCTGCAGGTTGAGTCAGATTTTTCAGGGAATACGGTTGTTGCGTTACAGTCTCAAAGCCTTCATTTTCAGTACATTCAATCTTAATTTTCGTTGTATAAAATGGTTGACTACAGTAGATGGAAGGATATTGAGGTAATAGAACTAAAAGAGAGTTACGTTTTATGTTAGTTTGGTGTATAGTTGTATGCTTTGTTTATAGTTGGTGGACAATATTGTTTTGTATGTGTCAATTGACCCTTATGAATTCGTTTGTGACTAAAATCCCGTGCCCTGCTTCGGCTGAAGATTTAAACTGGTCATGTTTCACTTAATTTCATGCATCATTTCTAACAAAGTCTTTTCTGTTTGCAGATTTCAGATGATGAAGATGAAACTCATCCCAACATCGACACTCCTTCCCTTTTCCGATGGAGACACCAAGCTCGTATCGAGCGGATGGAGGAACAGACAAAAGAGAAAGAAGAATTCGACAGGAGAAGAGCTGAGTATGTACTTTAAATAGTCTGGACTTTCTACGCTATTTATGGGTCTTCTCATGACACTTTCTGTGTTTCTTCAGGCATGAACGCAAAATGAAAGATGCACGTCAAAAACTCGAAGATGCTAAACAAAAAGGCTTAGATCTGAGTGAACTGTCGAAAGCTATGAAGGACTTAGAGGAAGAAGAGAAAGAAATCAAGAAAAAGGCTGATGAACTGAAATCTAAAGAGAAGGTATTTCAAAGTTTCCAGTTCTGTTTCCCATCCTTTCTCTGCTAAACCCTTTAACGTGTTTTTTTTTTTACTTAGATTACGCCATGGAATGTGGATACCATCAGTAAGGAAGGATTCAACAAAACAGTCGTTAATATTCCTCCTAAACGGAAAGAGGATGATGAACTAACAGAAGAAGAAAGGGAAAAGAAAATGAAGGAATTTGTCAAAAACCACGAAAAAGAACTCAAGCAGTATGGAATGTTCAAGCGCTATGATGATTCAAAGCGTTTCCTCCAGGAGCATAGCTACCTTGTGAGTGTCTCATACATTGTGCCACTCTTCATAATTTTCTGTGATACTCAGAATATCTTTTGTTAATGTAGTCTGTTTCTTCTTGTCCAAGGTTGGGGACAACACAGCCAATTACCTTGTAATTTGGTGCATTAACTTGCAAATGGAAGGGAAGGAACAGCTGATGCAACACGTAGCTCACCAATGCATCTGTATGCAGTACATCCTTGAACTAGCCAAGCAGCTTGATGTTGACCCTCGTGCATGTGTTGCACAATTTTTCTCAAGGTATTTAATTTCCTAATGTTTCTTAATGTGTATTATCTATTGTGTCTTTCACACACCTTAACTGATCGTTCCCTTGAACCCTATTTAGGATTCAAGTTGCTGATGCTGAGTACAAGACTGCATTTGATGATGAACTTCGTGCTTTCAAAGAAAGAATCAGGAAGCGAGCTGATGAGAAACTCCAGGAGGCTATCAAAGAGCAAGAGGAAGAGGAGAGGAAAGAGCGCCTAGGCCCAGGCGGTTTGGATCCAGTCGAAGTCTTCGAAAGCCTTCCTGTTGTAAGTCAAGTTCTTGAAATGTACCAATTTTCCCTTGCAGTGTACGTTAGTTCTTACTAATAATCTTTTTTTATATTAATTTTTCTAGGAACTTCAAAAATGCTTTGAAAGCCAAAACATTCCTCTCCTTCAAGAAACCATTTCCAAAATGCCTGAGTCTGAAGCTGTGTACCACATGAAGCGATGTGTCGACTCTGGCCTCTGGGTCCCAGAAGCTAATAAAAATAAAGATGAGGAGGGGGAGGAGGAGGAAATATATGATGAGCTTACTAAAGGAGATGAAGCTGCTGCCGGCAGCAGTGGAGACAAGCCAACATAGGATTGAACAATCAGAAAGCAGCCTCTACACACACCACCTGAGGTGTGGAGTATTTGTACTTGATTCAAATTTTGTGTCTTCTAATTGCTGGAATTGTTTTAGGCACATCCGTATTTAATTAACCAATCTCTTTGAGTTGTTTTTGGCGTTAGGTCACAAAGTTGTGCTGATTAGCTTCCCTATTAAATTTATTCTCAGACCATCAATAAAGTTGCATAATTCATTCTGTTTCTGTTGACTGAGTTTTTTGTTTCATACATTTTAATTCATGTTTCATTATAATTTTCTCTGATTGTGATTAATTTTTAGTAATAAGCATCTTGTTTCTAAGTACCATCGTCTTTATATTTCTGTGAGATTAAAGTTTGTGTGAATCAACAAGAAGATTCTCTTTTACTTTTGTCTGCTCAACTATGTACATTTCAAATTTTCATAGAGCATCAATAATTGATAAACACTCATTCTATAAAGAGTGTTCAAAGGTTTCATTTTACAGTAGAACTAATTCCTTGGAATCCTGGCAATATTTTGGATTGGTATTAATCTAGACACTTCCACAAAATCTCTACATAAAGGACACTGAGCACGAGTTTGCAGCCATTCAGTAATGCAGCTCCAGCAGAAAACATGTCCACAAGGTGCTGCTGTATCTTGCGTACGGGGTTCTAAGCAGAGAGAGCAGCGATAATAAGCAGCTCCTGCTCCACTGCTTGACTGATTGGGTTCATCTTCCTCCAGGGAACTATTGGAAACGGCCAAAGACTTCTTCAGTCTGCAATGTAAAAAACATTCACATTAGACCCCATTTAAAATTGGCTAAGCTGATAGTTTTGGCTATTGTATTACCTTGGAAAGGTTGCTGGTATTGTCTGAGCCCATCTAAAACTTGAAATAGCGGTATATATAAAGAGTTGGAACATCGTTACAGTGCTCAAAAGCTGAAAGCCCTGACGAGTTGAATGGTCTTTTAACCACCTTCTGACCAGTACCTGTGAGAGGACAAAACAAACAAAATCAATTATTAATTTGTAAACATTTTTGTTTACTTTGCTAAACTGATGGGTACAATGTCGAATAATACTTACATATCTAATTCCTGCAAGGCGTTTTGAGAGTTGAAAGTATTCACCTCCCCAATAAAACACGCCTTTGTGTAGACGAGTTAAAAATACTAGTGTGCTTTTCAATGCACCAAGACCTTCAAGAAGCGAGGCCCGAGCTTCAACAGTCAAGTCAGATGGAATGAGGAGTTGACGCTTGAAAGCTGCAATCAATCGCTCGCAGACTATCCCTCCAAAACATTCTAAGAGCAGCGCCAAAAGTCTCCTCTGCACAAAAACAACAAGAAAACATTACTTGAAGGAAATCCTTGAGGATCAGGGCACAGGATCCTGCTCACACACCTTCTTGCTTGGAAGTTGCCTGAGGGTACTGTTAATTTGAATTATACCGGTATATTCCTCCCCGAGAGTTTGAATGTCCGCAAGAGTAGTAACTGCAGCATACAGTATTTTTGACAAAATTGGAAGAGAACCATGATATTTCATCCACACTCGATTTCCTGAAAACAAATAAATTTAATTGCATGGATTACGTTTATAAGGAAGGTTTCTGTGCAAAAGAAAAATAATAATTCTAAACCTGCAGCTTTTAAAAGTAGATCTGATGTTTCTTGATGTATTCGTTCCACCATAAGCTCATCACGTTGAGCAGCACGTAGAACTTCTGCAGTGCCCGCAGGCTCAAGTGTTCGCAGCTTAATGACCATTTTTAAAATATCTTCTTGATAAAATAATTTGAAGAGTTGTCAATGTGACAATTGTAGTGAATATGAAGGAGATGGAATTCAATCATACCACAGTATGACTGGTATTTTCAATTGAAGTACATAAAAAAAATTGTTTTTTCAAAAACATCCATTTTAGGGTATATTAAAAACCAACCATAGAGGCAAAAACCCTTCAGGAATAGTTCAGGAGTGCACGAAGCAAACTCAAACTAGTCCTCAACTACATAAAGTGCATAACAAATAATTCACACGATAGTTTCTGCTTCTAACTTCTGCTCGCTCATTTCTTCTGCTTTGGGGAGTAAACAGTAAAAACTGCGAATAACGTTGTGACGTGTAAATAACGCTGATATGTTGTACTGCAATGAGAAATTCAGCGCTCAGCACAACCCACGGTCGCGGCAGCAAGTTCTTTCACTGCAGTCATTACACATATTTGAAGTTTTAAAGTTTCAACATTTCTCTGCTGGATCCGTAAAAATATGAAACTTGACAATTTGAGTAGATCGTAAAGAATTTCGCATGTTTGAAGGAATCTTCAAAACCGGTGACATTGTTGCCCCAGAAACTATTTTGATGTTCTTAAAGTAGTATGTCTTTTTGTAAACAAACACTGATATGTCGAATATGTCGGGCTTCGTAGGTGTACATGCAGGTACGAACTGGTAAATTTTATGTACCTAACCTCCATGCTTGATATGCTCTATGGTTTACTTCAAAAAGTTCGGTATAAAATCTCTTAATGTTCTCGTAGGTGCTGGCGATCACTCTGATGATGCTAGTTCAGCTTACAAAAAACTTTGCAGGGATGCTTGTAGAAAGGTAAGACAATTTTTCTGTTTGTGCAATATCATTAAAGTATTCCTGATTGATTTTCTTTAACTCATGTCTTTGAAGGGTGTGGAGGTCCTGAAACAGGGAGGCAGTGCTCTGGAAGCAGTGACAGCAACTACGTCAGTCTTAGAAGACTCTCCTCTAACCAATGCTGGCTTTGGTTCCAATTTAACGTGGGATGGTTGTGTGGAGTGTGATGCATGTGTCATGGATGGCCAAAGTTTGACATGGGGCGCCATTGGTGCCGTACCAGGAGTGAAAAATCCTGTCACTCTAGCAAAAAGCCTTTGCATGAGGCAAAGTGGTTCAGGCCTTTCAATGGGCCGAGTGCCTCCATGGTATGTATGGTTTGCATGGGTTAGATGCATGTCATTCATCCGAATTTACATTTGTTGGCCTTGTCTGTAGAGCTCTGTCTTTGCAGTCTTCTTGTTGGAGATGGAGCTCGCTTGTGGGCCGAAGAAGTGGGGATACCCACCACGGATCCGAAGTCTCTTGTGTCTGGTATGGCAAAGCTTTCATATTTATTTTGAAACCCCTTTTTATTCTTCAAGTACTAAAATTGCTTGCTCTGTTTATTGTCAGAAAGATCAAGGAACATATACAACCACTACAAAAAGAAGCTGGCCAAAGTTCAGAAGAAAGATATAAATGTAAGTTCCATAATCTATGCTTTGTTAAATATTGACTCCACTCCTTCAATTTTTGTCTTAATGCTTTTATAGTAACATTTTAAATATTTTGACAGACACTTAGCCCACTTGATACAGTTGGTGCAGTTTGTGTGGATGGGCAAGGACACGTGGCTGCTGCCAGTTCAAGTGGTGGCATCATCTTGAAACACTCCGGCAGGGTGGGTCAGGCTGCGATGTTTGGTTGCGGCTGTTGGGCTCAAGAAGGCAAAAATGGTCAAAGCTCTGTTGCCACAAGCACGTCAGGCTGTGGTGAGTACTTGATCCGCACTATGCTCGCAAAAGAAGCAGCAATCGACCTTATGACAGCAGACTGTGGCACCACTTGTCTTCATGGAACTATGGTCAATAAATTTTTAGGTAAGTTGTAAAATGGAATACGGCTGGCTCTTGAGGCTCTTGTTTGTTTGCGGAGAATCAATTGTTGTTTTTTTACATACAGATTCACCCTTCTTAGCTGGAATGCCTGTGCGTCTTGGCGGTGTGATCTCAGTTAAATGTGAAGAAGATGGTATGGGCGAGTTTCTATGGTCACATACAACACAAAGCTTTTGCATTGGTTACATGAGCTGTGAAGATACCACCCCAAGGGTAAGTAACTATGCATTAAGAAAAACTATTCGAGCCAAAAGAGAGATCTGTGTCAGTTCTGTTATTTGGTACTTGTCTATCGATTTCAGAGTCACTTGTCCAAACTTCCCCGTGGAATGGCCCCCGGAACGAAGGCTGTTGTTGAGGGAGTAGGATTCAGCTTAAAACGAGGAGATCCCAGCAATTCATGAAACAATCATCATCATCTTATGTTTTTTTCACATTTCTATTGACTTAATAAACAAGAAACTCACGGAAAAAAGCGTTATGTCTCTTCCCGGCGGCTCCTGCTGCAGGCTATACCCCGCGCGCGTACCCTGCTGTCGATACCCCGGTCGGCGGCGCGGGGCGGAGATACCCCGCGCACGGCGGAACGCAGTGAGTATATACCCCCTCCCCTACAAAAGTGCATTTTTTTCTGAATCGGTTGAAAGCAAACATGGCAGAGAAGGCGCGCGGGTGGGTGGGTTCCAGCACGATGTAGAAACGCGTGGTTCCAGACAGCGAAGTAATTCAGGAGTCATCACCATGATCTAGTGGTCCTCCTCAGGTTTAGGATAGCAGGAACAGGAAGAGTATAATGAGTTGTCAAGATAAATTTTATTCTGCGACTACGATGACAAACTTATAATAGATACTGTTCTGCCTGTAAGTACCGTCAGTTGGCGCCCGTTGGCGCGAAGACCACTTGTTGAATGTGCCCACCATGACACCATGCGCTGACACTGTGCTGCAATATTTCGTCTAAACACGTATTGTCGCGAGGGCCTGACATGCATCGTTGCATGCACATGGACCCGTCGTTAGATTCACTCCACGAAGTGTTTTGTTTTCTTAATAGTGTTCTTGAGGCGGAGAGTAGTGGTAGAGAGGGGAGGCGCCTTCCCACCTGCGGCAGCGGGGGGCAGGTGCCTCAAGTGTTGCCCAGGGATCCTCAAGCATCCCCGTCGTCTGTTTCTCTCGCACTCTCGAGGCATCTCGTACTGTATGGGTGTGCGATAGAGACAGTGCGACGGAACGCGCTTTGCGGAATCAGCCCGGCGCTCAAACAGATATTTCCCCATCCGGCGCCGTGTCACATATTTCGGGTGTACGTGCGGCCGAAAGTCGAAAGCTATCACTGTCGCGGCGTCGCGGCGTCGCGGCACGCGGATCGGATAGGACCCGGACAGAACGGAGCCGACACCAGGCCGTTTACCGCCACCGATTTGCATGAAAATGACGAGGCAGGGCGAGGCAGGGCGAAGAATGGGGTTAGATGGCGCCATTTCACGGCCCAGCGGATCCGGCGGATCGCCCGGAGCCCACCCCCGCGGCCACCCAGACTCCGCATAGCGCCGTCGCGTCTCTCTCGCACCCACGGCGCGCCCCAGGGCCGCGAGAGAGACAGCGACCTAGTCCTGTTCGGATTTGAACTGGTCCCCTCTTGCCGCGCGATCCATGCCGGCGTGACTTCCGCCTTATTTCTTTCCTATTCTTGTTTCCTTTCGGAGGAGAAAATTGCGCCGGACTTTTTTTCCCGCCTTGTAAAGTATCTTTGACTCCGAGCCGAGATATTTGACTGTGCCACTGTGCAGCGAGGCTGGCGAGGCGCTCGAGGCGCCGGCCGTTGGAAAAGAAACGAGCTCACTCCTTTCATCGCTGCCTCGTTTTTTTGGCCCGAATTATTCCACCTCACCCACGACTTTGTTTCATTCCCCTTCCAGTGGCATAGTCGATTTTACTTCTCTTTTTCCGGGCAGGCTTTTGTCGCATTTTTCGCCTACTTTGCGGACTCTTGTGTTTCCTGCCGGCAGGACCAGAGAAGAGGGGCATAACCCACCCCTTTGCTACGCCACTGACAATCGTGAATCGAAAAAGGGGCAAATTATGGCACTCTCGCTCCCCAAAATGTATAGGTAAAAACAGAAAGCGTGCGTAATTTTGAAGCCACGCGGATAGATTGGTTCGGCAAAAATGAGAGCGTTTTGTTTTATTTTTAAAAGGTGGATGGACCGTGGCACCGTGGCCCGGTGGTGGTGCCCCGCCTCCCGACGGCTCATGTCAAAGTGTCACCGGCAAAGTGGCGCCACGCCACTGCCATGTATATTTGTGTATGGGAGACGAGAGGACGTGTCTGCATGCTGTGCACAGGATGTTATTGTTGGTTCGGCGCCTGCCGTTGCCGAGGCTGTCGCCGGCCGAGTCCGAAAGGACCCCGGAAAGAGGGGATGGATTCGAGCAACGAGAAAATAGATCGTTTCGAGATCTCGAAACGACTTTCGCGTTTCTAAAATCAACTGGGATCTTTTTCTCTGCAAGGCAAGCAAACGTCTCGGTTAGCCGCGCCGTTTTCGGTCTGATTTTAAAAATTTTGAGGAAAAAGTTTTCCTCCCCCCCCTCGGCCGACACCAGCCACAAGCCAATTACGCTTTATGAATGAATGGACGAATGAATGGATGGTGAAACTCGAGGGCGCGGCGGGCCGGCCGGCCGAGGGCCTTTTTCGCGCACTTTTTAAAAACGCAGAAAGATGGGGCGAGATTCGATGACGCGCCGCACAATGAATGCTTGTATCGCCACACTGAATGCAGTTTAGCACGCCACTGCAAAGAAAAGGCCGTGAATGCGGAGCAGTGGTGAGCCGTGGTGAGCAGCAAGACAATGTAACAAAACAAGCGAGGCTGGGGGGCGGGCAGCGCGTTGCGGCCCTGCGGTGCCCTGCGGCCGCGCTCCCAAAATTTAATCTGCTTTTCGGGTCAATAGGCTCTGTGTATCCCATTCCAGCGATGACTACTCGGGTTTCTTGTTCCGCCGTCCGGCATCGGGGGATCGACTTTGGTTCGGGGAGTGTTTAGTGCACAGCGTGCGTGCTCCACGGGTGATAGCATCAGTGACACCTGAGGTCTATTTCCACAACTTCTGCGAACGTGCCTGGCACTGCCTGCGAAGGACGATCCTTTCGCTGACGGGTCAATTTTTGACAGTTTTCAAACACGAAAAATCCTCGCCGAGAAAGAGAAAAAAAAAAACATCTGACCGCTGTACAGTAGACTCAACTGCACACCATGGCGGCCAGACCAGCATGCTAGTCTTTACATAATGTTCAGTTCAAGGCCAATTTGGAGCGCGTGATGGAGCGGACCTTTATAGTCACGAGTCAGCTTCAAACTTTAAGAACGTGTTTTTAAATAAATTTATTTACACTCAAAATGTCTTACAATAAAAATTAAACTGTGCTATATAGTGTTTATCAAAATTATGGAGAAATCTCATTTACGTCTGTACACTCTGAAACAACAGCAGCCCAACAACATGCCCGCTTCAGTGTCCGTGCGGACGCGCACTTTGGATAAAACATGTGGCCCAGGCGGTCCGGCGGTCGAATTTGAGTCTAATAAGTCGGTTTATGAAAACTTTGGTGTAATCCAATCCGCTGCGCATGGGGGTCGATGGCGGCGGCCGGGCCCCGCCCCGCTAACGCGTGTAAACGGTGATGTAACCCAAGATTAACCGAACGAGACGACGCGAGCGGAGCAGAGCCGAGCAGAGCGAAGCGATTTGGCAGGCTGTGCGCGGCGTGCGCGGGGTGGCTCGCCCGGTCGCGGTGAAGCGACTACATAGCGAGGGGGTGACTATATAACTGCACTATCAGGTTATCCGCTTGGATTAGGCACGCTTGGTTCGGCGGGCTCTGTTGCCGCCCACAGTGCGGCGAGCCGCGCTTTCATCGCTCTGTCTCTCTCGCGCCCCAACGGGACGGCCCGTGAGTGAGGGAGACAGAGCCTTGCGGTGTGGTAACAAGTACGACGCACAGGCTTATCCGAATCCCAGGCCGCGGAACCGACCGGAACGAAAGTTCCAGCCGAAGAACGACCAAGTATCAGAAATGAGGATCGAGTCTGAAACGAGTGTCGTTCCATGCTCCATGTGGTCCGTCGCAGGCCTTGCCTTGCCGCGAAAGCAGTTGCACTGTACTTCCCCGATGAGAGATGGGAACTGTCGATAGTCAAATCGAGGTCGACGACATTGTCCCAACGTGTCCGTTACTGTCGCGGGCTCCCCGTTCGGTCGCCATCGTATCGTCTCCGAATCCAAACTCTACACTTTTCACAGTGTTACAGCTCGCGCCCGCTGGTCTCCGCGGCACACTTCGGTCCACTCCATTGACTACAGCAGCTCCGAGATTATGTCGCTCTGTCTCTGTGGCACTCTTGGGGCGTTCCAGAGGTGCGAGAGAGACAGAGCGACGACTCTCGGCTGGCTGCTGGGTGGCAGTCCGACTCATGGGCCCGCTCGGTGTCCTTGTCGGCCCCTCGCAGCCTCACTCACTCTGTCTCTCTCGCACTGGGGGCTCCGAGGTTTGGTGCGAGAGAGACAGAGCGTGGCCGCCGCGGTGCAGCGGTGCCCCCTTCCGCAGTGCGGCCTGCTGATGATCGGCGTTGGGTTACATTCTGTTCACTGCTCTGTTCACTTCTGTTCACTCTGTTCACTGTTGCTCAGCTCGCCAGCCCTGCCAGCCCCGGCGTGCCTATCTGAGAGCAATTATCTTGTTAAAGCCCGCGCGGCACGCCACGGCACGGCACGGCACGGCACGCCACGCCACGCCGCGGTCCCCTCTAACTTCCCCCTCTTGGTCGACGCGGAGTTCATGATGGCGGAAGACGATTCAAACAGACGGGGCGGCCGGGAGAGGGGGAATGTGATCGATTTCAAAGTGCGTCATTTTGGGCCGGGTTTGTGCGGGCGAGAGGAGAGCCGGCGAGTAGACTCACACGACGTCGGCGTGCCAGAGGCGTGCCAGTGGCGTGCCTCCGCGGTGCGTGGGCGTGAGAGGGGGATGGGATGGGGTTTTGCCCGTCACTATCAACATCGCCTTCGTCGCAGCGTGGCGTGGCGTGGCGGGGCGTGGCGTGGCGGGGCGCGGCGGGGCGGGGCGTGGCGGGGCGTGCGTGCCGCACAAATAGGTCAGCACGCCGTGGTTGCGGTCCGGCGGGCGCGCGGGTCTTTTCCCCGGAAAAGGCATTGCCTCGCCGCAGCGCTGTCGCCGCGCAGTCTGCCGCGAGTCGCGGGGCGTGGCGGGGCGGGGCGGGGCGGGCTGGGGTCGCGGTGCTGGACTCCAGCAGGTGACTCCGGCACACCTGCACACACACCGCAGAAAACGGGGCCGAACGGGTGTCAGCCTCGCAACATGCAAGAAGCACTGACCGGATTCCATCGCGCGCCGCGGTACTTATTCGCACAAAACAACAACAACAACAAACATAGTAAAAAGAGGGGGTAGGGCGTTACTTTTAGAGGAGAAAGTACATATGCCTGTATTTTGTGTTTTATTTCTGGGCGAACGAGTGTATCGTGAGAATTAAAAATCGACACGTACGAGGTGCTGACAGTCTTTCTTGGTTGCTCGGGTCAGCTGGCTGCCTTTTATATTTGGCGAACGTGCGCGGAGGCAGGGCGGACAGGCAAGGCAGGCGAAGGCAACCGTTCGTAGCGGGGATTCCCAAACAATGAAGAAGCACAGAGCGTCTGTCCGTCTGGCTGGGCCGTCCTGTCGGTCTTCTTGGCCGCGCGGCATGCCGCCTGCAGGCGGGGGTGTCGGAACGGAACGTCGCAAGGAGAGCGAGACGTCTGTGTGGACTCTGCGGCGCGTGTCGTATACGCGCAAAAGCAAACAGTAAATATTTCATGAAGCATTTTGCGTTGCCGAAATTCCATAGGGGGATATTTAGCTAGTGGGGGTTCAGAGCCAGCACAAGTGAAAAACAGAGGGGGCAGCACCCCAGCAGGCGAAAGGTTGCACTCTTAGCTTTTTAGCATTTTAGGCTGCTCCCTAGATGCTGAAAAGTGGGCGTTTTTGTCCCTATCGCCTTTTCTCCCCCTCTTGAATTTATCAATGGAGCTGCAGAAAGCCGAAGGGAACTCCGGGGAAAGCCAAGCCAAGCCAAGCCGTGCGCGTGCGTCGGGAAAGTCTGTACTTCCCCTGCGAGTAGTGGAGGCAGCTCGGCGGTATCTTCTGGAACAGCCACTGTCAGTAAATACAAAGATAGTGTTGTGTACACTAAGTAGCTCCAAACCGCGGACCGGTGTCCAAGTCGCGAGTTCCCCGCGTCCCGCTTGAAAAAATTTTTCCTCTCCCCCCTTGAAAGTTCAATTTTCTCTTGTGTCTTGCGCAATGAAACTCCAAACTAGATATATGAACGTGGAGTTTCCGCCATCCTGCTTGCGCCCAATTCACTGTAAAAGTTGAAATTTCATAGGCGTTGTATGATCTGCGAGCACGCTGCATTGCAGCTGGACCCGCTCGGCGTGCCTGCGTCTCGTCTCTGCAGGACGGAGACTGCCTCAGCGGTGGTTGTAATCCGCGGGGAGGCCTCTGCCCACATGTTGGGGCGTGCGTTACGTGCGTTACGTGTCCGGTTCGGCTCGGCTCGGTTCGGCTCGGCTCGGCTCGGCTCGGTTCGGCTCGGCTCGCTGGTCACGCCTCACCACCCCGCGCTGCGCCATGGCTGCGCCGCTACACCGCGAATTCCTCCGCGGTCTCGGGGAATGCTCCGCGTGGCTCCACGCGGTGCTGCTCTCTGGCGGGCGCGCTTCAAACTTCCTGTTGTGTTGCAGTCCTTACGGGGGCGGCCAGGGACGCGGCGCTGCCGACTGACTCCGCGCACATCGCTGTCACCCCCCCTCTCTCTCTCTGACTCGTGGGAGGCGTCAGGCATATGCGCGAGAGAGACAGAGCGATGAGTCCCTTGGACGATCGCGCCGCTCAAAAGGTGCGTCCGTGCTGTGGGCTGTGTGCGCCCGAGACGCATTCCCAAACGCCCCTCCTTCGTGTAAGGGGGCGCTGACAACGGAGGGGAACAGGGACACGCGCATGCCGGTGGCTGTGACCTCATAATTACTCATCACCGTTTTTGTTATTTACTATTAGGACTTCATTTGTTATGCGTTGTTTGCTTTTTAAAGAATGCGTTTAGGAGTGGGTGGGGCGCGACGGTACGGTTGGGAGTTTGTGTGCGTTCCCTTTCGATTCTTCTTTCCTTTTTTTTTCTTTGTTTTTTTTTCGGTTTGTTGTTTGTGTGCGTGTTTTGAAGGCGTCAGATTATAGGACGAGGATTGTCTGGAACTCTGTCAACGTGTAATTTTTCATTTTTATAAAAAAATTCTACTCGTTTTAGACGAACAAAAATTTCTTTTTTTAGCGTCCCTTTTCTCAATTACTTTGCTGTGCTCCCTTTCTGTCTCGTCCCGTCTCCGTCCGACTCGTTCTCCACCGCAAAATCGCCGCGTCTCCTCCCCAGTGGCGTGGCCGGCCTTCGCTCGCACCTATCCGACTCCCCCTTCCTCGCCCGCCTCGCCCGTTTTGATGTTTGATCCACGTAATGAGAGTTTGTTGGAGTGCGCTGCCGAACAACCCTGGCATGGAGTTGAGCCGGGCGGGGCGGGGCGGGGCGGTTTGGCAAGCCGAGCCTGAACACGTCCGCCTGCTCACACCCGCAGCTCATCAGGCTCGGCGTATCGCATCACGACCAGCCATTCCGGTTGCGTTCTCGACTAGCGCTGCCGAAGGCTGCGTCACTCTGTTCGCCATGGAGCGAGTGAACAAGTTCAACCACCCCCTTCGCCTCTGCTGCAATGTGCAACGCCCTGACAATTACAGATACTGAAACTTTTACCTCTGGTAATACTGATAATATGCAAGCTGATGTACAGTAAGCATTCGACATAATCTGGAACTTCATGTGCTACGTAGTCTCAGAAAATGATGCAAAAACATCCGAAAGTTTACGAAAAACAAAACTGAAAGATCGAATTTTGGCAGCGCTACTGCTCCACCGCTGTCAGGGTGGCGAGCGTTTCGTATCATGGGTCGCCATTAGGATCATGGGCGCATGCGGAGTGGAGGCCCCCCCCCCCCCCCCCCCGCCCCGGAGCGGCAGCGGCACCCTGCCTGAATCGATATTAATTATTCGAAACAAGTATAAATTGCCGGTAGTTAAATGTTAAGAGGAGCGGGCTGGCTCGCCGCGTTGGCAATCGAAAGCGAGTTCTTGTTTTTGTTGTTTGCCTCGCGACACGCAAGCGGAATGAAATAAAATAATAAAGAAAAGAAAAACTTTTTATTCGAAAGCCAGAAGCTTTGGGAGGGGGAGGTACACGCGACAAATGTGGGCCGTCTATGTTTCGTATCAAGAAGTATCGAGAATCGAAAGGAATAACCGCGCTGGCTAGCAATAGCATCGTTGAGTACTCTCCCAACATCCAACTACTTTCTAGGACATAAAAAAAAATTCCATGAAGTACAAAGTATTTTTATCAGAAGCTTACAAACAAAATGCTTCGTATAGCAATTCAAAATAATTCAGGCGAATGGTTCGAAACCCGGCTGCCATAATCCGAACCCCGCGAGGTGAAAAACGTGAGCCGAGATTAATTTACCGGACACAGGATTTGTTGTAAAACCGTCTGTATGACACAAAGTGTTTTACACAACAATGTGGCGTCAATGCCAAAGCCAGGGCGCGAAATACGCCGGGGGGCTACTCACTGGCAGGGCCGGCACGGCAAGGCCTGGCAAGGCCCCACCCTTCCGGAGAGGGGGACGGATATTATAATGGAGGAGCAGGGGGAAGGGAAGGGGGTCGTCGCAACACCGAAGCAAATAATAAATCCCCGCGCCAAGCAGCTCGTGAATGCCGTCGAACAAAACGAAATCACATTAAGCTAATCATCGGGACAAGCCGAACCAAAGCGAGCCGCGGCGCGCCGAGCGAACCGAACCGCGACTCACACTCCGCATTAAGCGATCCGCGGCCGCGTCCGAGGCGTCCCATTTGACGACCGCGGCGCCGCCCCGCCGGGGCCGCCAGGCAGGCAGGCAGCGCCGGCGAGGAGGGCTCATCCCGGCGTCGCGACGCTGCGCGACGCGCTCTTGGATGCAGCCCTTCGCCGCCCCGGGGAGGGCCCTCCCCGTGGGGGGCTTCGGCAGGCGTCGGCAGGCGTCGCCGCTTCGGCAGGCTTAGCCGGGAGTTGTTTTCAAGCTCGCCTCGCAAACAGGGCCTGCAAACTATCCCCACCTCGTCGTCACCTCGGCCCCCTCCCGCGCCCCGCCGGCGCCGCCGCGACCCCTCCCCCCTCCCCCGGGCGCCTTGCCGCCTTTGTCGCGGCCCTGCGATTGGCCGCGCGCTTAGCAGGGCGCGCGGACGGACGGCGTTGCCACGGCGTTGCCACGGCGACCGCGGCGCGATCGGCCAATCAGAGGGCGGGGCGACGCGGCGCGACGCGGCGCGGTGGTGGGGGCAGGCTGGCGGGCTGGCCGGGAGGGGGCCGGTGCAGCCCAGCCCGCCGCCGCGCCGCATGGAGGCAGCGCCGAGGCAGTGCCAGTGAGGCAGGCAAAGGCGTCGCGCAGGAGAGTGCGCCGTGCTGCAGCGCGACCAGGCCAGGGAAGTGCACCAGGACAGTGCGGCGATCGTCGCAGCGACAGTGCAGTGTGTGTGTGTGCGTGTGTGTGTGACAGTGCAACAACGGCGTCCCCAACCAGTGCGAGTGACAGTGACGGCGCAACGTGTGACTGCGACGACGGCCAGTGCGAGCACGCCGTCGTGGTCGTGGATGCCGCCTCGGCCGTCACGCCCGTCACCGTGACCGAGAGCGCGCCGCTGTCTCCCCGGCCGGGCGTGCCGGGTGCGGGCGCGCTGGGCGCGCTGGGCGGGCTGCAGCCCCCGACGGCCACCCTCTCCCACCCGGTGGGGCACCCCGTCGACACGGCCACCCTGGCGGCGCAGGCGGCCCACGCCGCCCACCAGGCCGCCCATGCCATGGCGCTGGGGCTGGGCGGGGTGGGCGCGGTGGCGCACCAAGGCCTGGGGCCGTCCACGGCGGGGGTGAGCTCGGTGTCCGCGCTGTCCGTGGCCGCCGCCATGGCGGTGGCCGCCACGGCCAACGGCCCCTCGGCGCCGTCCCCCGGCCCCGGCGGCCGCGGCGTGCCCCCCATCATGCCCAGCCCGCTGTTCGCGCTGCCCACCCTCAACTTCACCGTCACCCAGGTGGCCGCCGTGTGCGAGACCCTGGAGGAGAGCGGCGACATCGAGCGGCTCGCCAGGTTCCTCTGGTCGCTGCCCGTGGCGCACCCCAACATCGGCGAGCTCAACAAGAGCGAGGCCGTGCTGCGCGCGCGGGCCATCGTGGCCTTCCACAGCGGCCACTTCCGGGAGCTGTACTCGATCCTGGAGCACCACAAGTTCACCAAAGACTCGCACGGCAAGCTGCAGGCCATGTGGCTGGAGGCGCACTACCAGGAGGCCGAGAAGCTGCGCGGCCGGCCGCTCGGCCCCGTGGACAAGTACCGCGTGCGGAAGAAGTACCCGCTGCCGCGAACCATCTGGGACGGCGAGCAGAAGACGCACTGCTTCAAGGAGCGGACGCGCTCGCTGCTCCGCGAGTGGTACTTGCAGGACCCGTACCCCAACCCCACCAAGAAGCGCGAGCTGGCGCAGGCCACCGGACTCACGCCCACGCAGGTGGGCAACTGGTTCAAGAACCGGCGACAGCGCGACCGGGCCGCCGCCGCAAAGAACAGGTACGCCTTCCACGACTGTCCCTCGCAGCCCGACGGGCCCCACGGGACGCCCCTCGCGTGCGAGAGGGACAGGGCGACGAGAGCGCGCAGGGCCTGAGACGGGGCCAGGCTGCCCGCTGCGTGCTTTTCGCGGGAATCGCCGCGGGAACTCCGCTAGCCGTAATCGCCTTTAATTCGCTTACGGATTACGGGTGACATCGCCAAGCCAGCGGGTCTCATTGTTGCTCGAACCGGCTGTTGCAATTCATAGTCACAGTCATTTAAAATCGGGGAAACACTTCACTTCGCCAGGCCCTGACCCTTCTTGTACAACCACCATTCATTATATACGAATGGAAAACGCTTGCGGCGTCGAATGTGACGGTAACTTTGCCGATTTCCCTCGCGAACGTAGGTTTTATAAATATATAATTTAGAGTAGATTTCTCCACCGTCGCCAGCTGGAGCTTTGGTTTGTTTTTCCGCTGCAGGTTCGCGGTTCGGCGGCGCCAGGCCCGCCAGGCGGCACACTGTATTTTGACAGGACCGGTAGGGCGGTCGGCGTGCCTGTGGTGCCAGGGCTGCCTGCAACCGGGCACAGCCACGGCACCGCCACGGCACAGCCACGAGGGGAAATGTGCTGGTCATAAGAAATAACGATTCGTCCGCGCGTGCACTTCCTGCCGCACTGCCGCCGTATCAAATCGTCAAATCGGGATCGCGTCGCCGCCATCGCCACCAGGCCGCCGCTCTAAAATTTAAAATCGAGACGTGTTGGCCGCCGCCGCTTTCAGTTACTAAAATCGAGATATTTTGGCGGCCGCCGCTTTACATTTAAATCGAGACATTTTGGTTAAATCTAAATCGAGACATTTTGGTTAAATTTAAATCGAGACATTTTGGTGGCCGCCGCTTGAACTTTAAATTGAGATCCCCCGCATATCTCCCTAAACTTGAGGGAATGTTTTTCTTCTATGGGCTTGACTTCAAGTGTGTATTTGTATGCTTGACTAAAGCGTAACTACTCCTTCAGTTCTACCAGTCTTCCTTCTCTGTGTTGCTATGGTTTTGCTTCGGTCGGTCGGCGCGGTGAGGTGAAAAATGCAAATGCACTGCTTGAGTAGGGGCACGCGTTGTATGCAACCTTCCATTTAAAATTAAAACTATGCCTGTTTTGCTGTGTCCTTTTCATACGTAATCGCAGAAGAGTGTTTTAGAAATTTCATTTAGGCGTTCTCTCTGAGGAATTTTGTCTGCTTCAGGAATGTCATTTATTTTCTTAGATATTCTAGTGGAAATTTGAGTTTGTCGTTGACTTTTAGGTCAAAGCACTGTATCAGTTGCCGAAAGCAAATGAGAATTCAGAGTTCGAAGTTCGAGGTGTCCGTGACACTGCCTGACTCTGCGCCGGGTTGGTCGCACCACTGTATTTGCTGGCGACGTGCGCGAGAGAGACATAGAGAGAGAGAGAGAGAGAGAGAGAGAGAGAGAGAGAGAGAGAGAGAGAGAGAGAGAGAGAGAGAGAGAGAGAGAGAGAGAGAGAGAGAGTGTTTGGGGCCGCGAACTGTGGAGCGAGCAGGATGGCGATGTTTGCATGGCGGTGACTTCCGGCCTCAAACAGCAGCCTGGCAGAGCTGGCGGCCCCGCCGGGGGCAGCCAGGCAGGGCTGGCAGGCAGGGGCAGCGTGGGGCCTCGCCGCGCCACTGGTGGGGGTGTGTTCATGAGGCCGTCAAGCAGCTCACCCCCCCCCTCTCTCTCTCTCTCTCTCTCTCTCTCTCTCTTCTCTCTCTCTCTCTCTCTCTCTCTCTCTCTCTCTCTCTCTCTCTCTCCCTCCCTCTGGGTCATATGTAGCCATATCCGGCACGGTACGGCGTGGGGTGTGTCGGCGACACTGACAATGCCACTGCGATAAGCGCGAAACACTCGAATCACCTTCTCTGGTCCCGAATTGCAATGTCGAAGTGACACCGTTTTCGTCGTTTCCACGTTGGCTGGCTGCGCAGGCTGCGCCGCCGGGTATTGATTGTGACTTCCAGTGGAGTGGTTTCCGACCGGGCAGTGCCTCGGCAGTGCCGGCGACACGTCGCACAGTAGTAGTGCGTCGTTTTGTCTCTCTATCATTTGGCGTCATGAGGTAGCGAAGCGGGGCCGCTCTCGAGCCAACACTTGAAGCGCCGAGATCCAATTTGGGCCGTCACTACATCGACTGCGTGCGCGTGAGCGTGTGTGTGTGCGCGTGTGTGTGTATGAGTGTGTGTGTGAGAGAGAGACTGTGCGCGAGGGGTCGGGAGGTATTAGCGCCGTGCATCGACAGGTATACCTGAATGGTTCGTCATTAGTCAAGAAGTAGGGGGATGGGGAGAGGCTTAGGCTAAAAAGAAGAGGGGGGGGGGAGAGAAAGCATCTTCGTGTCGTCACCTTGGCCTTCCGTGGAACGCAATGATCCTCGGGGTCGTTCACAGTGTGGTTCACAGCCTCCGAGAATGGAGTGTGTTTCGCTGATGGACAATTAGGAGAATTCGGGTTTCTTGGACTGGCCGTGAAGGCGACGACCCGCGGCCGAGAGACACGCGTCGCTTCTCTACAAATTGATGAAAAATTTGAAGTGACTTGAGAGTGAGTTTGTGGGAGGCTAGCGATTGAGGGACGTGCCCTGCGGGTCGGGAAGGGCGGGCCGTGGCGGGGGCGCGGAGGGACCGGGGCTGCCCAGGCTGCCCCGGCAGTCCGTTTGCCCCGGGAAGTCCGAGACGGAGAATGAGAGCTTTGCAGATGTATGAGCGTGTGCTAGTTCTCTGCAGTGCGGATGTCCGTCCGCTACTCTGCCAAAAATTTAAGCGCTTCGTTTATTGTCGTCCGATGCGCAAAATATTTTCATCACAGGCGCGCGCTTATGTAAAAAAGTGTACAGTGACGGCTACATTTCTGAATTTTATTGGCGAATTTGGTTGTCGCCGTTGAGGCAGGCAAGAGGGCCAAGGGCACCCGTAGGGCAGGGCTGGGCAGCAGACTGGTTCCGGGAGTCGTTCTCGTCGCTCTGTCTCTCTCGCACGTACACGGGACGCCCCATGAGTGCGAGAGAGACAGAGCGACGGAAAGGCCTCTCGGCCGGGAAACCCTGAATGGCGATCCGCAAGAATCAACTGATGAGGTGTGAAGGGCAGCCAGGGCAGCCCAGGACGGATCAGCCGGCCGCTTTATCCTGAAATGGAGCTGCACAGCTCCACGGCCTGGGCCGAGGCCTGGGCAGCCTTTTCAAGCAGCTCTTCCCGGAAAACGCCCGGACCACAATGAAGTGCTGCGGTGTGCTGATCCACGGACCGTGCACGGAAGGCAGGGCCAGGCAGGGCCGCGCAGAGGGCGTGTGTGGGGGTCGGTCGCCTCAGGAAGGAAAACGAGAAAAAAAAGGAAAAAAAAGTTTTTTTTTTGCAGACGAGGTTTGCAACGTTGTTGGGAAGTTTTCTATATTCCGCGCCGAGCGGAAGAAAGAGAGACAGACAGTCACTTGCGAATTGCATTACACTCCACATTCGTTTTCGCGATTTGTTTTTTGGCAGTGGACCGGGACTGCACGTCGATCGGGGATCGGGAAACATTTCACTCGCGTTTCTTTATTTTATTCATTATTATTTTTTTTTTTGCCCGGCGAATGCTGAAACCTCGTTTAATACCGCCGCCGCATTCCTGGCCATATTTCGTGTTTGAAAATGATACCGATCGAGTGTAGGCCCTGTCTCCACCTCGAGACTTCCTTTGGCCTATTTGCATGCCGTAGCCGCGGGCGTAGCGGCGGCGGCCGGGGAGCGAGGACCGCTCAGCGGGAGACGCCGCGACGCGAGAGAGAGAGAGAGAGAGGGGAGAGAGAGAGAGAGAGAGAGAGAGAGAGAGAGAGAGAGAGAGAGAGAGAGAGAGAGAGAGAGAGAAACGGCATTACACTGTGCATGCATGCGTATTTTGCCGCAATGGAGTTATTCCACCCTTCCCTTCCCTTCCCTTCCTTCGGAGGGGAGTGGACCTCCTGCCTGCAAAGAGAGGCTCCTTGCTGTTGTCGCTATTGTCGCTGAAATGGCGTTTCGCGGCGCCCTGATTTTCGGACCGATGACGTCGCGTGCGTTACACTGTAGCGGCGGTGTGGCCGGCCCGGCCCGGCCAGTCCCCGGGGGGACCTCGTCCTTCTCGGCGTCCTCGGCGTCGTCGGCGTCCTCAGCCAGCGCGTCCTGGATGGAATTTGCCGCTGATTTAAATGGCATCCTCGGAGGGATTGGATTGTTTTGTGCGACGACGAGAAGAAGCGGGGAAGAAGTCAGTCGGCGTTCCCCGGGGCGGTGAGTCGTCCCGTTGCTGCGGCGTTTGCAGTGTGGGATGTGCTGCCAGGATGCCGCCCTGGATGTCCTGCACCAGGCTGTGCGGGGACTGGGTGCGAGTGGGCAAGGGGCAGTCGTGGAGAGCTCAACGCAAGTCGCTCACGGCCTCTACTTGTTCCGGGACGCCGCGTCGGCTCCCGCTTTGCACCATCGCTTCTATCTGTTCTTCCTACGTGCGAATCAGGCAGAGCGGCTCACAGTGGGCCGAAGCCGGGGGAGGCGGCCAAAATCCCGACGCGTTTTTAGCTCCAGAGCCTAAATGGGGCTCGAACCGACGTGTGACCCCACCAATGGATAGCTTTCCCAACGAGGAATCATTGGTGGGGTCACACGTTCGGTTCGAGGCCTATTTAGGCCCCTGGAGCTCAAAACGCGTCTAGAGTTTTGGGGCCCCCTCCACCGGCTTTTGGGCCCCCTGGCGGCTCTCAAAGTAGAGTCGTGGGGTTTTTGGAGGGATAGCGGCCGATACGCCGAACGCGTTGTGCCCGAGGTGTCATCAGCGCCGCGTCCGATGAACCTACTACACTGGAGAAGGCGCAGCGGCGCAGCGCGGCGTGATGGCGGGTTTGGATTTAACAATCTGCTCCAGACCCCCTCCCCCTCCCCGGCCACCCTCTGCGGACGAAGCCGTCACCCCTTCCACCACCCTTCCCTTCCCCG